TCAAGGCAACAGTACCTGGTTTATATCTATGAGGTTTTTTAACACCACCGGTTGATGGAGCTGATTTTCTGGCAGCTTTTGAAGCTAATTGTTTTCTTGGGGCTTTACCACCAGTGGATTTTCTTGCTGTTTGTTTTGTTCTAGCCATTGTTGATTGGTTTGATGATGATAAGAGAAGAGTAGAAAACGTAATTATCAAAGGATGGATTCTTGTCTTTATATATTAAATCTCTACTGCATACATCCTTTGAGATCCAACTGTTTACCTTTTAACAATTTTATCGTGATTTTTGATTCGTGTCGTGTTTGTTTTGATTTAGTGATAAACATTGGAAACATTTGATTAACCGCTGTGGAAATACAATGAAATGTAAACAAAGACCTAAATTTACACACAGTTCACACCCTTAACTATTGTACATCTCAGCACTGGAATGACACGAGTCGCGACTCGCGAACAGAAATTTCATTTGTTTACGTTCTGAGATTTACATAGTGCACTGTGTAATTGTGAGTATACTCTTATCTCCAGTACTCATAATTACCACTATAACACATACTTAACAATAATCCACAGTGGTAAACTTCAGAACACAACCGTGTAAATTCCTATTGTTTACTTTTCAAAATTGACGTGTCTTTCCATGAAAATTGGCGTTTAATCGTGGATTTGTTTTGATTTTAATGTATGTATGAAATAAATGAAATGTAGGTATTTTCAAAATGGCGTACCGTGATTGAACTGAGATTTGTATATAAGGAATCCAGTATCCACTTTCAATCAACACATTTACTTTCCTTTAATTCTATATCAATTAATCAATTAATTAAACATATAATAAAATGTCCGGTAGAGGAAAAGGTGGTAAAGGTCTTGGTAAAGGTGGTGCTAAACGTCACAGAAAAATCTTGAGAGATAACATTCAAGGTATTACAAAACCAGCTATTAGAAGATTAGCAAGAAGAGGTGGTGTTAAACGTATTTCTGCTTTAATTTATGAAGAAGTTAGAGGTGTTTTAAAATCATTCTTAGAAAATGTTATTAGAGATGCTGTTACTTATACTGAACATGCTAAAAGAAAAACTGTTACTTCATTAGATGTTGTTTATGCTTTGAAAAGACAAGGTAGAACCTTGTATGGTTTCGGTAACTAAGGTGATTTTCAATGTTTTAATTATTTAATGATGGTTATTATGGGTATATTTGTATATTAGTTTCAATTTAAGTTATAAAGGAGAATAACCTGTAGTTTATCTATCAAATTGACCATTTCTATATGTTTTCCTAACTAATCTCTCTATTCTATTAATATTTATAGGTCTTGGTTTATGATATCCATCACTATTTAATTCAAACCATTTTTGCAAAAAATCATTATCACTATCTTCAATATCTTTATGTCCAGATGGACATTTACATCTACAACCAACACCATATGATTTTGGTGAATCATAATTTTCCCAAAATTTATCTTGTTTCTTATTAGGAAATTGGAAATTATCACTTTGTTTATATATTAATTGATTTTTCAATGAATTTGATGGACAATGTGCAATTGTTGTATGTTGATAACCAATATCTCTAAAATAATGAATTTCTTCTAAATTTAATAAAAACCCCAAGGCAAGACTATGAATTGGTGCATCTCCCCATCTTTCTTTATAAAATCCACCTGTTCTTTCTAAATATTGGAAATATTCATCATATATTGGATTATCCCAAAGATCAACTCTTGCAATTTCAAAATTTGACCAAAAATGATATAAATTATATCGTTCACCATTAATTTCTTCACCTTTCAGTTTTGGTAATTTCTTTGTTGTTGATGCTTTAGTTATTAATTCTTTAATTTCATCATTTGGTAACTTGGAATCATCATTTTGTCCATTAAATTTCTTAGTTTTTTTCAATAAATCTTGAATTTTCAATAGTTCCAAGAAACGATCACTTATTTCATCTTCATTTTGTAAATTCCCATACCTGGAATCAAAATCACCTCTATTATATATAAATTTATTATTTATATTTTCAACAAATAAATCCCATGATGATTTTTTCTTTAATCCTTGCTCTTTAATAAATCCATTTGTCAGACGAAATAAATTTGGTACAGTTTCCCATAATTCTTTAATCATAATGGTAAAACCATACTTCTTACCATGTTTTTCCATCTCTAAAAAGGGATCATAAGTTAAATCACAAAAAAATTTAACATCAGGTTCAACTCTCCAATACCATTTATATTTACGAACTAATTCATGTTTATGGAAAAATCCAGAATAAAATCGACACATTGAATGATAATTTTTTAAAGGTCCATACATTATCCCTTGATCACCTTGAATTTCAACACTTTCTTTAAATTCCCAAGAATCTTCATTTTCAAATTTCCAATGATTTGAAGGTATTAAACCAAATTCAACTTTTGCATTTGTATTATTTTTAACAATTTTTTGGAAATTTTCATCAAATTCAACATTATTTAAAAAAACATAAGGATATTGAAACCATTGATTAAAATGTCTCTCTAATGATTCCATACTTGATAACACATCTTTTAATTCATTATTTCTAGCCAATATAACAAATGTAGCATTTGCTCTTAAATCATCTTGTTTTAAAGCGGATATATCAGCACAACCTTCTATGAATGGTGAATCTTTCTTACTTTTATAATTAACAAGAGATCTATGTGGATTCTTATCGTTTGCTCTTGATGATTTAACACTATTTGTTATTAATATAATTGAACCTGCAATTATAAATGTGATGATTATGATCAATATTGGAACAATTTTCAAATGGATTTGATTGATTTTAATGGAGCGTTTTTGGAAAAGCCGTATTCTTTGCTTTGTGAAGTGTAGCATACTTCCTCTATTCCATAAGAATCTTTTGACCACCTCTTTAGTTGGATTGTTGTTGATCAAGTTTCATTTAAAAAGTTTTGTTTGGCGGCTGATTTTGTTTTCGGTTTTCATAAAAGTTTCGGATTTAGTTTTGACAGATTTCTTAAAGGCTTTAACGAAAGCTTAGCATAAGTAAAAAATGAAAATTATCAATATGAGCTACTGCAAAGTTTTATATGGAAAAATTCAATATGATGAAAAGAGATATCTTCTAAATCTTATACACTATTTTTTTGTTCAATCTCATCAATATCTATAGGTTCATCTTTCTTGTATCCATCACTATTCATATAAAACCAATTTTTTAAAAAATCATGTTCACTATCTTCAATATCTTTATTCCTCAAGGGACATTTACACCTACACCCTACTCCATATGATCTTGATGAATCATAATTCCACCAATTAAACTTGTCAAATATACCATTGGAAAACTTAAAATTATCACTTTGTTTATATATCAATTGATTAATTGAATTTGATGGACAATGTGCTATAGTTGAATGTTGATATCCAATATCTTTAAAGTAATAGAAATAGATCTCTTTCAAATGTAATAAAAACCCCAGTGTAAGACTGCAAGGCTATGAATTGGTGCAGTTTTCTCCCATATATTCAAAATATTCATCATAAGTACAGTTTTCACCATTCATTTCTTGACCTCTTAAGCTTGATAAACACTCCGGCGATGAATTAAATTTATTTGAAGCCCCCATATAAGATATACTTGTACAAACCATGTTATAATGAAGATAAGATGGTAAAACATCACATTCAATACTCTAACTTCTAAAACAATTAAAAGAGTGAACACATGGGAAGAAGTTGAAGCATTAAAAAACCAAACCATCTTCTTGTAATAACCAGTATACAGATGATTCAAGCCTCTTGACAACACCCCTTAAATTTTTTTTCATTTTTTCATCAATGCTAAATCGTCATTAATTTCTTCAGTTTTCAACCCAATAGGCGGAACAAATGCCTTAGATGAATGTCTGGTGTGTACTTTCTCAGGTTTTTCACCAAACAATATAGAACTTAAATCACCAGCATCACTTTGATAAGTTTCCTCAGCTGAACTGTTTCCTGTTCCATTTGGTTTTCTTCTCTTTTTAGATGATGAGTTATTACCTGAATCATTTGCACTTAGATGACTATCATCATTGTTTGTACTATTATAGTTTGGTTCACGTCTTCTTAAACCTCTTCTATCACTTAAATATCCAATAGAACTTATGGAACTATCTTTGAGAGAATTTGAAGATCTTGTATTTTTATGATAATCATTTTGATTTGTTAACGTGGTGTCCATATTATAAGAATGTGAATTTGCTAAATCCAGTAGTATCTTATCTTCTTTCAATAGTTTAATTTGTTTTTCTAAATTAGCATATAATTTTTCTTTAACTAATTTTACCATCTCATCATGTTCATTATTTGCCTTTTCAACTTCTTCAGTAAATTCCCTTTCGGTTCTTTTCACTTGGTATTCTTCCCATAGCCTCAATTCAACTAAGTCATAATCTCTTCTTTCTTCAAAATCTTTAACACGTTCCACAAGTACTTCATTTGTTCCTTGATGTATGGTACTTAATGATCTTTGTAAATCTTGCAACATGGTACGATAATGGTAATCTTTTTCATATTTGAAGCCCTCATCAATCTTGTTTAGCTTATTCTGTACAGTAGCTCTCTTCTTATCCTTCTTGGATATCACTAATAATATCAATAAGTTAGTATTTCTCTCATATATTCAATGTTTGATCTTTGAAGGGGAATCACTATGAAAACACCATAAAATATAAATACATACAATCATTCTGAGCCTGAGGATAATATGCTGGTTCCATCTTAAATGTGATAATTGGTCTTGTATCTTGTCTGAATCTGAAATTGTAATATGTGTATTAAAGTAAAATCCTCTCTTTGTTGAATTGAATTTAAAAGTGCAAAAACTCGTCTTTATTGAATTTATTTACTTTTGTTATTTTGAGACTAAAAACAAAAAAGTAGGGTGAGTGATTATGTCAGCAATTAATACCGTTTAATACCGAGAAGGAAAAAAATATATTATACTCAGCTCGAAATTTATAGATTGAGAGGATTTATACAAGAGATTTAAAGTGGTTTGGTTGCAAATGGTTAAGAAGGTCTTAGTTGTTGTTGAAGATGGGAGTTTAGTGAAGAAAGTGAAGAATATATTGGATAACCATGGGAAACTGGATAAGTCTCAAAAGATTAGTAAAAAAAATGGTGAATTTATCATTCCTACAACTTATGAATCAATAAATGAAATTGAATTGGAATTAGAAGGGGTGATACGGTATGAAACTGTTGAAACAAAAGGTGAATATGAGAATAACCATTCATTATCACAAGTTATAATCCAATATTTACAAATTCAAAAAATATCTCCACAAACTATTGAAAATTTAATATCTAAAATACCCAAAAAGTATACATTATATCCACCTTTATTATTGATAAATAATCAAGATACTTTTGATTCAATCGAATGGAAAGAAGCATTAAATATTATAAACCAAGATGAATTTTTCCAATTAGTATTAAAACAATTCCCTCAAATTACACATATTGCAATTAATAAACCAATAATTGAACAAGATATAATGAGAAGACCTTTCAATATATCACCTATATATGGTGATTTTGGACCTGATCCAACAGACCAAATGTTTGATTCACCTACACAAAGTGATTTTGATCAAGCTTTTTGGTGTACAGTTGTTCAAAATGGAATTTTCCAATCATGGGCTCCAAGGTATACAATGTTTAGTCGGGGTAATATTAAGGAAAAGGCAAGAATTTTAAACAATTTTAAAGATGTTCAAGGTACTAGTGTTATTGATATGTATGCTGGTATTGGATATTTTACATTAAGTTATTTAAAATTAGGTGCTTCAAGAGTTTTTTGTTTTGAATTAAATCCATGGAGTATTCAAGGTCTTATAAAAGGTGTTTCACAAAATGGATTTACTTATAGAGTTGTTGGGAAGGATGAAGTTGTTGAATTTGACCCAAATGTCAAGTGTTGGATATTTAATGAAAGTAATGAGCAAGCATTAGAAAGATTGAGACAATTTGGAATTAAACATAATTTAAGTCATATAAACTTGGGATTATTACCTTCTTCAAGACAAAGTTGGGATCATACTTTGACTTTGATAAACAAATTTAGTAATAGACACAGGGACCTTGGTACATCTATCCATATCCATGAAAACATTAGTGATGAAGACCTTTCAACATTCATGGATTCCACAGCTAAAGAACTAGGACAATTACCACTCATAGATAAGTCTCCGAACCAGTTGGAAATATTCCCCTTGCATCTAGAAAAGATCAAGACATTCGCCCCTGGAGTGTGGCATATCTGTGCAGACTTCCTAGTGAAATAGTTAGGGCTCAGTAGGTAATATACAAACCAATCATTAATTATAATACTACTTTATAGGCGTAGCAGTGTAGCGGGCGTAGTTACAAGTCCGCAGGTATTTGATAATGACTGACATAATCCGCAGTCTAAAAAATTAAAAAAAAAATAAAGCGTTTTTTTAGGCCAAACAAAGTGGGTGGTGATTGGCATTTGCAACTCAGGAACAACGCAGTCTGTCTAATTTAGTGTGATAAAGACATCTTTCTTTTAAGAGATCTCATCGTGAATAGGTCGTGTTTGTTATTGCTCAGTGCTAAAAGAAGGTTGTGTTGCTAGAGATTGTACTACTATTCGTGTGTTTTTGCTGGTTTGTTTTCCCAATTGTTGACTATTTCTTTTTGATTAGCAGAAAAAAAGCTACCTAAAGTCAACACAAGAGAGAAAGAAAGGTGAAAGATTTATCAAGATTGTTTCAAAGAGAAAGACATATAGAGACGCTTTACCAGAGAGTGTGAGCAAAAAAGAGATTGCTTTTTTAGAGTCGTGTGAATAGGAAGACTTGCTTATAGATAATGCCAAACTACAACATCAAGGCCGAGACATCGGATGAATTTACCTATGACAATGGGAATTTGAATCATAATAACAATAACAATAATCAAGGTACTGAAAGCTTTGATCAATTTGTTAACTTTTCACCAAGTTCAACTACAAATTTGAACTCACCAATTGGATTATCACAATTTTTACCTAGTAATTCTTCAAATACATTCCCAAATTTTAATCAAAAGATGTATGGAGGTCAGAATGTTCAACATTTGAGTCAACAACAATTACATCCTCAAACTCAAATCCAAATACAACAAGCTCAACAAGCTCAAGCTCAAGCAAAAGCTCAAGCCACTCAAAATGTATCAAATTCTGGACTAAATCCAATTTCAAACCAACAACAACCAAACCTTTCCATTCAAACTCAAATACCAGTTGTTCAACCCAGTCAACATAGTCCAGTTCCTGGTTTCAAACTTGATTATAATTTACACAAGGCAAATTCTCATACTGATTTAACCTTAAATACTCAACAAACTTCATCTTCATCTTCAATACCTCAACAACAACAACATCATCATCAACACCAACAACAACATCAACAACACCAACATCAACAAAATCAAGGTCAAAGCTCACATATACAACAGACAGATGATGTTTCATTGTTTCTTGATGAATTAAATATGTTAAATTCACCAACAAATGTCTTATCTGTAAATAATCAATTAAGAAATTTTGGAAATTTTGGTGATCAATTCTATCCTCAACAACAAAATAGTAATAACAATAGTCCAATACAATTGAACACACCAAACTTAACACATCTCAATTCTAATGGATCACAATCACAATCCAATCATAGTTATACTTCACCACCACCAATGATAATATCAACACCTCCACAAGATGAAATATCTAAAAGAAGTAATCATAATCATAATTTATCTAATACTTCACAACAACAACAATCATATGTTCCAAGCACGCTTGAACAACAAAGTTTACAATATAGTTCATCAAGTACACAAGGTTTAATGGATCCACAATTTAATGGAGGTATAGGAGGAAATAGTGGTGCATTTTTACAAGCTCAAACTTCAAATGATAGTTCAAATTTATTAGCCCCAGATTTTGGTAGTGCAGCATTTCAAGGTTTACGTACTTCACCATCAAATTCTGCATTGAGTGATTTATCATCAGTTGGTGGATCTCCATATTTATCTGCTTATTCTCCATCACATTTTGGTGTAGATGATGATGTATTATCACAAACTGGAGGATTTTTAGATGTTCAAAATGATTTTAATGATGTTAATGGTTCAAATTCAAATGAAATAGATTTGTTAAGTAATCAATTTAATAGATTAACTGAAGAAAATTTACAAACTAATAATTTAATGAGTCAACCTTCACCAGTTACTATATCAATTGATGCAGCACCAGAAGAAGCATCTAAAAAAACACCATCATTATTTAGTTCAAATAGATCATCACCAAATAATTCACCAAATCATTCAAGAGCAAATTCAAATTCTTCACAAAATATGAAATCTGGTCATTATGCAAATTTATTATCACCAAATGATGGTTCACCATCTGATTTATTAAAACCTGAAGATCAACAACATTCAAACATGAGACAAGGTCGTCAACGTCGTCAATCAAGATCAAGATCAAATTCTACATCAAGAACAACAGGTGGTACAAGTCCTGGAGGTGGTGCAACAAGTGATCGTAGTCGATCTTTATCACAAAATCGTGAAAAAATGTTGGAATTGGCATCACCAAATCAATCAAATAGAAGAGTTCAAAAACATCCATCTATTTATGCATGTCATTTATGTGATAAAAGATTTACAAGACCTTATAATTTAAAATCACATTTAAGAACTCATACAGATGAACGACCATTTGTTTGTACAGTTTGTGGTAAGGCATTTGCAAGACAACATGATAGAAAACGTCATGAAGATTTACATAGTGGTAAAAAAAGATATGAATGTCGTGGATTTTTAGCAGATGGTAAAACACCATGGGGTTGTGGTAAAAAATTTGCAAGAACTGATGCATTAGGTAGACATTTTAAAACTGAAGCTGGTAAAGAATGTATTAGACCTCTTGTTGAAGAACATGAACGTGAAAAGGCAAAATCTGTTGCAGAAGGTGGTAATGGTGATAATTTAACCGTACCTAAATTAGAAGTTAATAATAGTCAATTTCCTGATGGATTATATCAACAATTTCCTGGTTTATTTAATGGTGGGAATTCACCAAATAGTGGGATAAGTGATAATGGAAGTGATTTTGAATAGCATTGATGTCGTTTAAGTGTTTTCGGTTGTTGTTTATGTTATGATTAAAAAAATCTATTTTAGAAAAAAGGTGCACAGAATGAATTTTTATATTCAATATTTATTACCCTTTATTGTTTTTGTTATTGTCTATAAGATTACCAGAAATTTAATTTGATCTCATATTTTGCTTGATTATATCCTTTTATAATATTCTGTGTGCTTGATGCTATGATTATTTGTTTAAAGTTATTCTTTTTTTTATATTATTCTTAATTTTTTGTTCTTTGAATTTTTTTTTATATTAACACGTTCTGGTATCTCTATAGAATGATTATGAATCTGATTTTTTCTGTTTAAAGGTTCATAAGTATGTATTATATTATATCCTTATATTTGAAATTTTTATATATTGTCAATTGATGTGTTTATGAATTGTTTTTGAATGTTTGAAATGTTGTAGTTTATATGCTTATTATGTGGTGTGCGGGTGTCGTGTTGATTGAACTTTTCATTAATATAATAAGATCTGAAGTGTTATATTGGAACTACTTGAACCACCAGGATCACACATCGATAAAACAATGTCTATAGATCTCAAAGAGGATGATAGTGTGAGTATAGGAACTACATGGTATTCCAAAGAACAGTGTACTAACAACTTTCAACAGGTGATTAATAGAATATCTCAAGGTTTCAAACCAAAAGAAGCTGAACTTTCAACATTAGATAAAATAGCTATAGAAAAACAAAAAATAATAAATCAACAAGGACAAAATTTCTTAGAGGAAATATTCCGTAATAATTCACAAAGAGCTATTTATGTTTCAAATGTTCAAATTGAAGGTACAGAACAATTTAGAGATGATTTCCTTACAAAGCAAATCTTACCATTTATAAATAAATCAAATAATTTAAACAATTTATTAAATAATATAGATACTGTTAGTGGGAATTTTTTCAAATCTGGTGCAGTGGAAAATTTAGCTATTCAATTAACCACAGGAACAGGTTTAAATTTTAAATCAGGTTATTATCCAGAAAATTCAATTGAAATTATTCCACATATAAAATTAATTCCAGTTAAAAAATTTATGGCTAAAACAGGTACAAATATTGGAAATGGTGAAGGTGATGGTTATATGACATTCCAATTCCGTAATATCTTTGGAGGTGGTGAAAATTTAATATTAGATGCTACCACAGGGACAAGAACAAGATCATCATATTTATTAAATTATTCAAGTCCAGGTTTTGGATCAAATACAAATTGGAAATTTGATAATAGTTTATTTTTTACAAGTAGGAAAATTGATTGGTCATCTCATGAACAATTAATTAAAGGGATGAATAATAAAATTGTTTCAATGAATATACCAAATGGTAAAAATCAAGATCAAGGACTTATAAATCATGAATTTTCAATTGAAAATATTTTAAGAAGTATTACAAATGTTAGTCCAATGGCAAGTAATAATATTTTATTCCATGCAGGAGATGATTTTAAAACAAGTTTTATTTATAAATTTGCATATGATTCAAGAAATGATAGAACTTTACCAACTAAAGGTGATTATTTTTCCCTTGTTAATGAAATTTCAGGAATTTTACCAAATTTAAATACTTCAAAATTCCTAAAACAAAGTTTTGAATCTCAAATTGCAAGAAATTTTATTGATGGTGATCATATAATTAATTTATCATTAAGAGGTGGTTGGTTATATAGTTTAAATAAGACAACACATTTAATGGATAGATTTTATTTAGGTGGTCCAAATGATATTCGTGGATTTTTTTTCAATGGATTAGGACCAAGAAATTTTAATGATACACTTGGTGGTGATATTTTCTTAAGTGGTGGATTAAGTACATTTCATAGATTACCATTTGTTAGTAAAGAATCAAATTTTAAATTTCATAATTTTATAAATTTTGGTAGATTAATACCATTAGATAAAAATGAAAATTTTACAACTACATTAAAAGAATTAATTAATGAACCTTCAATTGGGATTGGAACAGGTATAGTTTTTAAACATCCAGTTGCAAGATTTGAATTAAATTTTGTTTTACCTGTTACTGCACATGAAAATGATTCTATAAGAAAAGGATTACAATATGGTATTGGTTTATCATTCATGTGAAAACACTAAAAAACTTCATTTCATTATATATGTATATAGAAAAATTATATGATTTCTTAGATGTAAGGTATATTTTTTTAATGCTATATGTAAGGAGAACATATTAATTTATTTACTCGTGATTTTTGATCCAATCTTCATGAACTTTTATAACTGCTGGAATTATTAAACTTTCAATATCAACACCTTTTTCCACTTCTTCATCACTTAATCTAAACCATTCAGGTTCAATTTTTGGATCTTTTGTTACGAAAACAACTTCTTTTTTCCTAGTTTGTAATAAATTACCAATAACTAATTGATGATTATAACGATCTAAAGCTTGATTTGATTTTTTAATTAATATAGATTTATCAGTTTCTAATTTAAAACTTGTAATTAATGAACCTGGAGCCCAACTATCAACTAATCTTCTAAGAAATTTTGGAACAGGATCTAAATTAACCACTAATTTCCCACCATTATGATCTTGAGCTTGAATTTTATGTTCTGGTAATTTTGAATGTGGTAAAAAAAAATCAGATACAGCAGCAGCTAAATAGAAAAGAGCTCTACCACCAACAAGATTCAAAAGTTTTGAAATTTCTCTTAATGAAAATAAATATTGATTCACTGTAGTAAAAGGTAATAATAATAATAAATTTTGATCTCTTGCATCATTATATTTTTTATAAACTTTATGCATAGTTTCACTATATTTAGGATCAATTCTTAATTCACCATTAATTTCAGTCATATAATCTAAAAAGCAATTTGTAGTATGACTATAATGTCTTGAATAAGGTAATAAAGAGAATTCACGATGTAAAAAAATCACAGCATAACCATTTTCAAGAAAATATTCAGCACTTGTAGCACCTCTTGTACCAGCACTAAAATTATCAATAAATCTAACAGTATTATTTTCCAATGGGACAGTAGTACCACCAGAAGTGACCAGTACCACTTTTCTTCCTTTACCTTGGTCCTTATGAAATTGAATGAATTCTTTAGTTGATTTATGTAATTGATCTAAATATGAAGGTGGTTGATTTGTCTTGAAATAGTTTTGTTCATCAGAATCCTGAGCCACTGGGAATTCGGGCACATTTCTGTCAATGGCTGTGTCTGTATCTGGTGCACTGGTGTGAAGGTTCTTGGACATTCCGATGTGATTGAGTTGATCTTTTAAATACAAAAGTAGTTTAAACTGATTGGAATGATGGTATTCTAATATAATTTGAATATTCGTTTATTAATATAATTTATAATTATCGTATACATTATACTATTTTCGCGGAAATGTTACCCTGCTGTTTAATTTTAGTATGAGATAATGATTAATCTATGGTTTGCAACACCAATTACACGGTTAGAAAGCTGATATTTTGTATAATAAATATTCATAAAATTCCCTACAAAATGGTCTAATTACTGCTTGGAAACTCACCATATAACCCCTGATTGTGTGTTGATGCACAGTGTAATTACCGCATTCGGAAAGTCAACATTCCAACGAAAAGATAAACAAGGATTTAAATACCAGAAAACCTTCAAACCAACCACAATTCAACCACCAAAAACCACAAAAGAACAGCTCAAATCAGCCAGAAGAAGTCCCTGTTACGCTCTCCCTTCCAGTCGCTCTCTACCATATTATTACCCCCTGTTTTTTATACCAAGGTCCCGCTGAAAACGACATTTTTTTATAAACTTCTCGTTTCAAGGTTTAATTAATTCACTCAGTTTTATTATATTCATATAACTTTGAATAAAGTCGCTCATTTACTCTCAATTTTTATCAAAGGGTCAAAGCTACAATACCATACTGCAATAGACAAGCTACAAATTACTTTTTTTAGTTTTTGAAATAAATTACTGGTTTTTATATTACGTGTTTTAAAACAATAGAATTTCAATTTTAATAATTAATATCAATAATGACTACTGAAGAACATGAACAAGTTGTTGATCAACAACAACAACAAAATGATACTCAAAATGAAGTCCAAAAGGATGTCAAAGAAGATTTACTAAAAAATGAAGTTAGTGGTGATTCAAATGGTGAAGATGAAACTTCTGAATCAATTAAAGACACCAAACAAAATGAACAACAAAATGGTGATTCATCAAATGAACACAATGGTGAACAAAATAGTGAACAATCCCATCAACAACAACAACAACAACAACCTGAAGTTCAACCTGCTTTAGCTACTCAAGGTGGTCGTGAAGTTTCAAACAAGATCTTATACGTTGGTGGCTTAGATAAAACTATTAGTGAAGATCAATTACGTGAAATATTTTCTCAACATGGTGAAATTGATAATGTTAAAATTCTTTTTGATAAAAATAAACAAAATTTTAATTATGCATTTATTGAATTTCAAAATGAATTAAATGCTTCAAATGCATTTCAAGAATTAAATAATAAAACTTTACAAAATTCAGTTATTAGTATTAATTGGGCTTATCAATCTCAACAAGCTAAAAATTCTTCTGAACATTTTAATATCTTTGTTGGTGATTTATCAACTGAAATTGATGATGAACAATTAAAAGCTGCTTTTAATGAATATAAATCACTTGTACAAGCTCATGTTATGTGGGATATGCAAAGTGGTCGTTCAAGAGGTTATGGATTTGTTTCATTTACAAATCAACAAGATGCTGAATTAGCTTTAACAACAAAACAAGGTTCACAAATTGGTAATAGACAAGTTCGTTTAAATTGGGCTTCTCATAAACAACATAATAATCATGGTCATAATGGTCATCATAATCATCATCATAATAATCATCATAATGGTCATCATCATAGAAATAATGGTTATAATCATCGTGGTCATCATAATGGACATCATAATCATCATTTAAATGGTTATCAAACAAATGGTTTACATTCTACAAATGGATTCACAAATATAAATCCAAATGGATTAATTAATGGTTCAACTTCATTAACTGGTACTACAACTTCAGGCGCACCAGGTGCACCAACTCCATTAACAATCACACCAGCAGGTGCAGTTCCAACAGTTGCAACAGGTTTAAACATTGTTTCACCACAATCTTATGATTTAGTCTTGAGAAAAACCCCATCATGGTTAACAACAGTTTATTTAGGTAATTTAACTCCATATACAACACAAAATGATTTAATTCCATTAGTACAAAACTTTGGTTATATTGTTGATTTAAAATTTCATCAAGAAAAAAATTGTGCATTTATTAAATATGATTCTCATGAACGTGCTGCTTTAGCTATTGTTCAATTATCTGGATTAATTATAAATGGTCGTCCTTTGAAAACTGGTTGGGGTAAAGATAGAATTAATCATAATGTTCAATATCAAAATTATGGTCCTGTTATTTATCAAGGTCGTTAATTGTGAAAAAAACTTTAAAGATAGAAAAAAATAAAAAGTTATATAGATGTTGATTTTGATTTTATTTTCTTTACTTTTGTTGTCTTACCAGTTGCTGATTTATCAATTTGATTTTTAATTTTGATTTTGATTTGAATTTGATTTATTGTTTAGTGTTTCTTTGTTGAATTTTTATTTTTTTTATTTTACTCTCTTATATCCTTTTTTATATTTTCCTTTTTACTTTATCCTTTTAATTATACGTTTTTTGATTTTATCGAAATTTGCAAACATACTAGATCATTTACTAGTATTATAAAACTCTAATGAATAAAGATCTTTGTATATCTAGCTATTAAATTTGAAGACTAATTGTTTCCCTAACATACCGTATATCCACTCTTTTGACTCGAAAAAAAGCACACAATATGGCTAAATCCAACACTAGGAGTACGTCATACTTATAAAACGCTTTAAACTCGTTCAATCATGGATATAAGTCTTCATTCAGTATTAAATTGAGTATAATTTTAGTTTATATGTGACCGGAATTATTCAAATTTCCGGCCTTGCATGTTTTTTTTTCCATCAAAAAAATTCACAATCGATGAGGTCTTTTAATAAAAATGTTCTCTAAAGTGGTTAAAAATTAAAAGGGAAAACTGCTCTAAAGTGGGTTCAAATTGTTGGTTATCATCCTTTCTTAGGTCAAGCGCTGCTGTTTCTTGTGTGAACTTTTGAAATTTTACCAATTTTTATTGTGGTTACAAGTCCGGTTATTTGAGATCTTGGATAATATTAGAAAGATCAATTATATTCAAATTTTGATTCAATCGTTCTTTTTTCTCATTTTGAAGGTTTAAACTTGTTGATTCATTAATTTCCAAGTGTATGTCTTGAAGGACCAAAAAAAATCAATCTATATGTTGCATATATCATCCAAATCATATTTTTCTCTAGTCATATTTGCATTCTCCTTATTCAATTTAATATCAAAAACTTTAGCTATATCAACTGATAAATTAGCTTATTTGAATCAATTAGATAATAATAATTATTCTACATTGTCTAAATTAATATCAACTACTAGTCCATTGTGGAAAAATTGGAAAAATCTTTTATTTACTTTAATTGCATTAGGTATTCCAACAACTTTATTTTTTTTAAAACCTTCAATTTTAAATTATATTTGGGATTCAATGTTTAATAATTCTTCAAGAGGTAATTTTATGAATCGTAGAAGATTCAGATTTGATAAGAAAAATGATCCAACTTATCAAAAAGTTCAAAAAAAAGGTGGTAATATTGGTGGATTAATAAATGATGGTAACACATGTTTTATGAATTCTGTTTTACAAAGTTTAGCATCATCAAATTCATTAATGGATTATCTAGATGAAGAATCTAAATCAAAAGAAGTAGATTTCACCATTGCATTTAAAAAATTGTTGGATCATTTGAATTCAAAACATTTTAGTAAAAATCATGATTATAAAACAAATCCAATGTTGAAAACAATGACAAAGTCTCCAAATAAAAATTTCCTGTTGGGTTATAATCAAGAAGATGCACAAGAATTTTTCCAATCTTTATTAAGTGAATTAGAATCTGATTATAAAAAAATACATTCATCATCATCAACAACAAATAAAACAGAACCAATTTATAATACCGAGTTACCTTCAGATGCTGTTCATGGTATTGAACAATTAGGTCATTTAGGACCTGTTTATATTCCATCTTCACAAATTGATCCAAATTTACAAGATGCCAATTTAAAATCTTCACAATTTAATTTGATAACTCCTGTTGATGGTTTATCAGCTGAAAGAATTGGTTGTTTACAATGTGGTGAAATGGGTGGAATTCGTTATAGTGTTATTAGTGGATTAAGTTTAAACTTACCACCTGATAATTATAGTGCTTTAAAATTAACTGATTTATTGAAAACTTGGATTGAACCTGAAATTATTGAGGGGGTTGATTGTAATAGATGTGCATTAAATGCTGTTTTAGATTATCAAACAAATCATTTACAAATATTAGAATCCAAGGAGAATAAAAGTGAAAAATTAATTGATTTATTAAAAACTAGAATTGGTGAAATTAAAAATGAATTACAAAAACCAATCATTGATGATGAAATTTTTAAAAAATTACATACTGAAAATATGATAAAGAAATGTTCAAAAGCAAAACAAATTTTAATAAGTCGACCACCACCATTATTAGCAATTCATATTAATAGATCAGTTTTCGATCCAATGACTTATAGAGTTCGTAAAAATAATGCAAAGGTTGTTTTCCCTTTAAAATTAGATTTAGATCCTTTTGTTGCTGAACCAAATGATATTAATACAGATGCAAGATTACCATTATCTAAAAAAGTTGTTCATGATTTACAAGAGGAAAATGAAGATGTACAAGATGAAGATGATGATCAAGCTCAAGATCAACACAACCAATCTTCATCTTCTTTGGAAACACCAGAAGGTTCAGAAAAGCAAGATGATGATGAATCTGAAAAACAAACTCAAGAATCTTTGAAAACAAAAACAACTGAATTAAACTCAGATGGATCAGATTCTGATTTAGATTCTGAAGAAGAAGAAGAAAGAACTTATCCAACAAATTCAACATCTATACCAACAACTATAGAAAAACAAGATTTATCAGGTCCTTTAGTTTATGCCTTACGTTCAGTTATTGTTCATTATGGTACACATAATTATGGTCATTATATTGCATATAGAAAATTTAGAGGTGTTTGGTGGAGAACTTCAGATGAAACTATTGATATTGTTGATGAAGATGAAGTTTTATCAGCACCTGGTGTCTTTATGTTATTTTATGAATTAGATTCTTTAAGTAAAGAAGAAGAAGATTTAGAAGATTTAGAAAATGAGGTTCAAGATGTAAAGATTTCAGGTGAATCTGATGAGGAAGAAGATAATGAAGAGGAAGATTCTAAATCTGATAACGAACTAGAAGAAGAAGAAATTAATGATGAATCTGAAGAAGGTAATAATTTGGCGCAAACTATTGCAAACTTGTGATTGTTTAACTAATTAAAATGTTTAATATATAATTAATAATACAATTTAACATGTCCATGTTACTGATAAATTTAATAATGTTCTTGTATATCAATAAAAACAACGGTTATCATGTTATCATATAACGTACGTTAAAGTTTTATTATGATACCATTAGTACGTTTTCTAAGAGCTTCCAAATTGAGTCACTTCATTAGAAAACCTACATGTGCAATATTCTGTTATTATACAACACTGGAGTTTGAGTATTTGAAGAAGGATGATTCAAAACTTCTTAAAGTTGGTGATTTTTCATTTCAAAGATTACTTAGATGATTCTCTGTTTCTTAATGTTTTCGCGACCCGATGAGCTGAAAAAAAAATTGTCTACATAATAACACACAGTTAATACAGAATTCTACTAAAAAGAAAACCAAGTAATTAAAACCGCAAAAGATGGGTTCAAGTGACGCCAGAAAGGAGAGAAGAAAAAGAGATCAACATGATCATTCTCCTGAAGCACCAACCAAGAAGGCTAAGATAAACGGAAATAGAGGTAGAGGTAGATCTGAATATAGAACTGTTACAAGAACTGCTAAAAGACCTTCAAAATTTGAACAAGTTGAAGCTGAAGATGAAGACGATCATGAAGATAGCGGTAGTGAAATAGGAGATGATAGTAATCGTGGTGAAGAATTTGATAGAGATGATAAAGGGAAGGCTTATGATGCTTTGTTGACTTTATTAAATGCTGAACAAGTTGAAGATGAATCTGAAAGTGATGAAGACGAAGAAGCTTCAGAAGTTGAAGAATTGGAAGATGAAGAAGATGATGAAGAAGATGATGACGAAGAGAACCAACAAGAAGATGAAGGAGAAGAAGATGAAGAAGATGTTGAACCAGAATTTGATTATGACTCGGAAGATGAAGATTTAAGTGATCCATTTGAATATCATTTTGCATCATCATCAGAAAAATATTTGGATGAAGCATCTGAAGCTTTAAAATCTGCAAAGAAATGGAGCAATAGTAAAAATACACATGATGATTATTCTTCAATTGTTTCATTACCATCTACTTCATCATCAACAAAATATAAAGAAATTCCAACCCATTCAAATCTAAATGATTATAAAATCAAATCAAGATTATTAGAACCTTTCAAATCCAAGTTTCCTGAAGCTTTAGATACAGATATTTCTAAATTAGTTACTGATCCAATGTTTTCATATAAAGATGTTCTTTTCCCGTACCAACATTTTTCCAAACAAGAAGATTATAGAAAATTATATTCATTGCATTGTTTAAATCATGTTTTCAAAACTCGTGATCGTATTATGAAAAATAATGGTAAAGTTTCTATTCAAAATGAAAAAATTTCAGAAGGTAAAATCAAACCAGAAGATGAAAAAGAATTTAGGGATCAAGGTTTTACAAGACCAAAAGTGTTGATCTTATTACCAAGTAGAAATCATTGTTATAAAGTTGTTGAAAATATGATTTCAATGAGTGGAGTTGAACAAGTTGAAAAACAAAAAAGATTTAAAAATGAATTTTTTGATGATTCAACACCACCAGATAATAAACCTGAAGATTTTAGAAATTTATTTGAAGGTAATAATCATGATGATTTTAGAATTGGTATCAAATTCACAAGAAAATCAATGAAATTATTTTCATCATTTTATCAATCAGATATTATCTTAGCTTCACCATTAGGTTTACAATTCATTCTTGAAAACCCAGATAAAAAAAAGAAAGATGGTGATTTCTTAAGTAGTATTGAAGTTCTTGTTGTTGACAATGCTAATGCAATTGAATTACAAAATTGGGATCACGTCTTGACTGTATTAAAACATGTTAATAAAATTCCAGGAAATTTACATGATACAGATTTTGGTAGAGTTAGAATGTGGAGTATAAATGATCAAGCTAAATTATTTAGACAAACATTGGTATTTACAGAATATAATACTCCAAATGTAAATAATTTATTGAGTAAATCACAAAATATATTTGGGAAATATAGATTTAGACCAATTATTCATACAAAAGATTGTTCAATGTCAAAAGTTGGTTTGAAAATAAGGCAAATATTTAATAGATTTGAAAGTTCAAGTCCAATTGATGAACCAGATGCAAGATTTAATCATTTCAAATCAGTTATTGTACCATCATTATCTAAATCAACTACCTATGAAGATGGGTTATTGATTTATATCCCATTATATAGTGATTTCTTAAGAGTTAAGAATTATTTACATAATAAGACTTCATTATTATTTGTTGATACAGATGAATACACTGAACAAAAGGATTTAACTAAAGCTCGTGCATTATTTCAACAAGGTAGAAGAAAAATTCTACTTTATAGTGAAAGATTACATCATTATAGAAGATTTGATTTAAAAGGTGTTAAGAATATATTCATGTACGGGGTACCAAATAATCCAATTTTCTATACAGAATTAGTTTCATCAATTGGTCGTTCAGTTTATGAAGGAATTGCAGATTTTAATATTTCAAATGTTCGTATATTATATTCCAAATGGGATTCATTAGCTATTGAAAGAATTGTTGGTAGTGAAAGAGCACCAGTGCTTACCCATGGACAAAATGAGTTTTATGAGTTTAGATAGAAAATTGTATTATAATATATAGACATAATTTTTAACAATCATCTGTCAATGTTTTCTGGTAAAATGATTATATGTCAAATAAAGTTCTTTTTATAAAACCGGCACCGAATAAAAAAGAGTCTAGTGTGGGTCCTACCGGAGTCTAGGATCTACTCCAGCCTAAAGGATCCGAAGAGAACCCCAGCTAATTCTCAGTAATAAAATTTGTCTACGCTGTGATTGGGTTGTTGGACAGAAGGAGATACTACCATAGAATCATTTTACACAGGAACATCTTATAAACTTGTAGAAACACCAATTGCAGAACTAGTATTGACGATTTGCCACTTTAGCCGATATAAAACTCAAAGATATTTGAAGAACAATTAGCAAAAAAGAAGAAACTTGAGTGGCAAATTGCTCAAAGTTTAATGATGAGATAACTAGAATACTAGAATTATGTATCAAGTTTATAATATTTTTTGACTCCAGGTTTTGGAGATTATGGGTCTAGCTAGGAATCCGTAGCCATAAGCGAATACGATGAGTTTAGATTAATCTGATGGGTTTAGAAAAGGAAATAAACGGATGGACAGCTGTAAGCTGGAAGTGTTAGGAACCAAGTAACCTATTATTCATTGGCATTCAAATAAACAGTGAACAAACACCCAGATTTCATTCTACCACCCTTATTGATCCAATATCTTGATGATTGTTTAAGTACGAGGCATCTATCTGTCAATTTCCAGACCCTCCAGGGTAAGACTCGGGACTACCGCAAAATATTCGTCCAGTGCAAATTTAAAAAAGCTTTAAAACTCTTCAAAATCATTCAAAACAAACTTGTTGGCGCTTAATTCAAACAATTTTATAAACTACACACAATCTCAACATTTTCAATTTGACAACAGAATACCCACTCGTTTGGATGTTCATATAGTCACAGAGCCAATTATCTCATCGCTGCTTGTTATTCACACCCGCTTTTCTTATCAGAAGATCCTGTCAATTTTGCCCTCCAACTCGCTTGTATTGACCTGTTTTAAAGATCAAGATCCAATAGTCAGAGCTGACAAAATATAGAAAAGATTGAATAAAAAGTTATTGTTGAACTTCAGATTACTATTCATACAATCAATTGAATACTGAGAGTACAATTCTTCATCACAAACCCAATATGTTGAAAGCTTTACGTTATCGTGGGTTACCACGTTCTTCAGGTTTAGCTAAATCATTAAGATCTAAGAGTTTACGCTCTTTTGCAACTTCAAACGATAGTTTCTTACAAACCCAAAATGCTACTTATATTGATGAAATGTATGATGCTTGGAAAAAAGATCCTTCATCTGTTCATGTTTCATGGAATGCTTATTTTAAAAATTTGAATGGTAATGCACCAGCTTCTCAAGCTTTCACTGCTCCTCCAACTTTAGTTCCAACCCCAGCTGGTGGTGTTGCTTCAGTTATTCCATCTGCAAATGGTGCATCCTCAGGTGTTAATGATGATGTTTTACTACATTTGAAAGTTCAATTATTAGTTAGAGCTTATCAAGTTAGAGGTCATCAAAAAGCTCATATTGATCCTTTAGGAATTTCATTTGCTGATGATAAATCACATCCAACTCCAAAAGAATTGACCCTAGAACATTATGGTTTCACTGAAGCTGATTTAAACAGACAAATCACTTTAGGTCCAGGTATTTTACCAAGATTTGCCAAAGATGGTAAATCATCATTAACTTTAAAAGAAGTTGTTGATACTTGTGAACAATTATATTGTAGTTCAATTGGGTTTGAATACATTCATATTCCATCAAGAGAAAAATGTGACTGGTTAAGAGAAAGATTAGAAATCCCAACTCCATATAAATATACCGTTGATCAAAAAAGACAAATTTTAGATCGTTTAATTTGGGCAACTTCATTCGAAAGTTTCCTTTCTACAAAATTCCCAAATGATAAAAGATTTGGTTTAGAAGGTGCTGAATCTGTTATTCCAGGTGTTAAATCTTTAATTGATCGTGCAGTTGAATTAGGTGTTGAAGATGTCGTTATTGGTATGCCTCATCGTGGTAGATTAAATATGTTATCAAATGTTGTTAGAAAACCAAACGAATCCATCTTTTCAGAATTTACTGGTTCAGTTGAAGTTGATGAAGGTTCAGGTGATGTTAAATACCATTTAGGTATGAACTTTCAAAGACCAACAACTTCAGGTAAACATGTTAATTTATCATTAGTTGCCAATCCTTCCCATTTAGAAGCTGAAGATCCAGTTGTTTTAGGTAGAACTAGAGCTATTCAACATTATAAGAATGATGTTGGTAACTTTGATAAAGCCATTGGTGTCTTATTCCATGGTGATGCTGCTTTTGCCGCTCAAGGTGTTGTTTATGAAACTATGGGTTTCACAGCTTTACCAGCTTATGCTACTGGTGGTACAATCCATGTTATTGTTAATAACCAAATTGGTTTCACCACTGATCCAAGATTTGCAAGATCTACTCCATACCCATCAGATATTGCTAAAGCTATTAATGCACCAATTTTCCATGTTAACGCTGATGATGTTGAAGGTATTACATTCATCTTCACTTTAGCTGCCGAATGGAGAGCTACTTTCCACACTGATGTTATCATCGATGTTGTCGGTTATAGAAAATACGGTCATAATGAAACTGATCAACCTTCATTCACTCAACCATTAATGTATCAAAAAATTTCTGAAAAGAAATCAGTCATTGATTTATATACCAAAAAATTAATTGATGAAGGTTCATTTACTAAAGATGATATTGCAGAACATAAACAATGGGTTTGGAATATTTTGGAAGAATCATTCACAAAATCAAAAGAATATAAACCAACTTCAAGAGAATGGTTAACTACTCCATGGGAAGGTTTCAAATCACCAAAAGAATTAGCTAATGAAATTTTACCACATTTACCAACAGCTGTTAAAGAAGAAACTTTGAAACATATTGGTAAAACTATTTCAAGCTGGCCAGAAGCTTTTGAAGTTCATAGAAACTTGAAGAGAATTTTAGGTCAACGTCAAAAGGCTGTTGATTCAGGTGAAGGTATTGACTGGGCTACAGGTGAAGCTTTAGCTTATGGTTCTTTAGTTGATGAAGGTTACCACGTTAGAGTTTCAGGTCAAGATGTTGAAAGAGGTACTTTCTCACAACGTCATTCAGTTTTACATGATCAAAAATCAGAACAAACTTATACACCATTAAAACACATTAGTGAAAATCAAGCTGATTTTATCATTTCAAACTCCTCATTATCAGAATATGGTGTTATGGGTTTCGAATATGGTTACTCTTTAACTTCTCCAGATGCTTTTGTTCAATGGGAAGCTCAATTTGGTGATTTTGCAAATACCGCTCAAGTTATTATTGATCAATTTATTGCAGCTGGTGAATCAAAATGGAAACAAAGATCAGGTTTAGTCTTAACTTTACCTCATGGTTATGATGGTCAAGGTCCAGAACATTCATCTGGTAGATTAGAAAGATATTTACAATTAACAAATGAAGATCCAAGATTTTTCCCATCAGAAGATAAATTACAACGTCAACATCAAGATTGTAATTTCCAAGTTGCTTATCCAACTACACCAGCTAATTTATTCCATCTTTATAGAAGACAAATGCATCGTCAATTCAGAAAACCATTAGTTCTTCTCGTCTCCAAACAATTGTTACGTCATCCATTAGCTAGATCTCCATTAAGTGATTTCACTGGTGAATCTCATTTCCAATGGATCATTGAAGAAAACAACATCAACAAAGATGATATTAAACGTGTTGTTGTTTTAAGTGGTCAAGTTTTCACTGCATTAACCAAGAAACGTGAAACCTTAGGTGATAATACAACTGCATTCATTAGAGTTGAACAATTACATCCATTCCCATTTGCTCAATTACGTGATGCTTTGAATTCTTATAAGAATGTTGAAGATTTAGTTTGGTGTCAAGAAGAACCATTAAATATGGGTGGTTGGTCTTATGCTCAACCAAGATTAGAAACTGTCTTACAAGAAACTGAACATAGTGATAAGAAATTCCGTTATGCTGGTAGAGATCCATCTGCTTCAGTTGCAGCTGGTACTAAAAGTATGCATCTTGCTGAAGAAGCTGCATTTTTGGAAGATGTTTTCGGTGCTTAAATTTAAAATTTATCAATCTTATATATTTTTTGATAAATTTCTGTATATTGAATTTTAACATTTCTGTTATAACTGTTGTTTTTTCTGAGTTAGTTTTTGATTTTTTTTTTAAGCAAACGCAAGTCATTCATCATTAAACAGACTGCCTTTTATATATTTAATTATTTTTTTAAAACAACTTATTTATATATATCTGAAAAGATTTCATACATGTCATATTCCATTATATAATATATCAACACTGTATAACTTAAACATTACACAATTGATTTGAATCAATATTTATTACTGAAGAATGTAGGTACGTTAATTTTTCTAAAGAATATTAACTATACGTTGTCAACTTTTATAGCTCATGTGCTATATTATAGATTATTTAAATATTAATATTGATCAATTCATTTAATATCAGCTATCACTAGTCCAATTAATAATTAGCACAACAGCAGTGATCAAAGTAGACGGACGGGGCATGTGTGCACTTGTACGCGTATGTCAGAAGCTATAGCTGAATATTGAAAATCACAATGGCTATAATGCAGTAACATCATCCATTAGAAAATAATTTTAGAACAAACTTTAGTTAGTAGATATATATCCCAAAGACTACAAGTGGAAAGGTACTTGATAAAATAATCCAATTATTCACGAAATACTTACATCCACTAGTATATACAAATTTAACGAACAAGTGCACAGAGCACGCGAGATAATGGCAGAATTTTTCAATAAATAGTAAATATCTCAGTAGTTATAGCGATAATATAATTTTTGAGCAGACTTATCCTCCATAGTCAAGGACCATTAAAAGATTATACCATTTTACCAACAAAATGTCAACTCAGCTCGACTTTTTGGGGATTGTTTCGTTGTATAAATCTTCGGACATTTAGGTTATGTATTATTTCAAGATGACAAGTTACATAATCAGTCATCTTGATTCTTAGCCCAGCGCCTGCTAGCCGGCTGCTCCGGCTAATATGGGGGGAAGGCACCTTCTAAAGTTTAGGCAGAGCTATTTCCTTTAAGCAAAAACTTAGCAATTGCGCAAAAACAGAAGCCGGCGATCGATCTCAAGTTTCAACGTTTTCATGTCAAACTAAATCTTATAAACATCAACATCAACAACATATATCACATATTCACAACATTCAAATAGTACTTGACCCAGAGCAGCTTATTATAATGTCAGAAACACGTCAACCAACAGCTTTAATCACTGGTGCTTCATCAGGTATTGGTTTTCAGGTCTCCAAACAATTATCTCAAAAAGGTTATAAAGTATACGCAGGTGCTCGTCGTCTTGAACCAATGGAACCTTTGAAAAAATATGGTGTTATTCCAATTAAATTAGATGTTTCATCAATTGATAGTGTATTAGATGTAAAAAAATTCTTAATTGAAGAATTAAAAGATGGGAAATTAGATATTTTATATAACAATGCTGGTCAAAGTTGCACATTCCCGGGTATTGACGTTACAGACGCTCAAGTTGAACAGGTTTTTCAAGTTAATGTCTTTGGTGGAATAAGATTAACTAGAGAATTAATTTCATTGATTATTAAAGCTCATGGTACAATTTTATTTACAGGTTCTTTAGCAGGTATTGCACCATTTCCATTTGGTTCAGTTTATAGTGCTACAAAAGCTGCTATTCATCAATATGCTAGAGCCTTACATTTGGAATTAAAACCTTTTGATGTTAGAGTTATCAATGTTATTACAGGAGGTGTTTTAACTGATATTGCTGATAAAAGAGCATTACCACAAACTTCATTGTATAATATTCCAGAAGGTCAACATACATTTAGTGAAAGACAAGAAATGGCTAAAAGAAATCAACCAATGAGTGCTGAAAAATATTCCAGCCAGGTTATTAACGATATTATATCTGGAAGAGATACTATTGATGTTTATAGAGGATCAAAAGTTTTCTTAGTTTCTTGGTTGATTAGATGGTTCCCAGGTTGGGCTGTTGAATTGATTTTTCAACATAAATTCAAGTTGAATGCATTGTTCAAAGCATTGAGAAGAAAGTATAGTGATGGAGTTGACTTACACTTGGATTGAATATTTTCTTCATGGAGGCTTTGAAATTCTATTTTAAATCTATTTTAGCTCTCTCTTTTTGCTTCAGTTACCCCAGCTATTTATTAAGTTTTCTATATAAAATACGTAATTTGTGCTATGTTTTATTTATGAATGTATATGAGTTTTTCAATTTGTAATTGGTGATTTGTAAATATTAATACTATATAATTAAACGTCATAAATTGTGACGTTTTCGCTTACCAGAATCTGTTGATATGAAACGTTCCTTGTACCTTTTTATGTTATGTACCTTTCGATTATTTATTAAGTGCGATCATCGATATAGATCAATTATATCATAGATCAAAAGCGCAAGGGACGGACAGATCAAAAAGCAAAGCCTATAAATCTTGAGGAATTAACAGGAATACTACAATGATACATAATCCATCCATGGGTCCCAAATGTTTCCAAATTCCAAAGGATGGGTTGAGGCCTGATTTTCATGATACTTATGTGAAACAACTTAAAGTTTTCTTTGTGGGTACTAATCCTCAAAACCACATACTTAGTACATGCTTTGTAACACATCTGAATTTGTGTCCAATTATGACAAGCAGGTACATGGTATACTACCACAGTCGACTAATAGTTTTAACTCTTAACCTGTGTGCTTTGAGTCGTGTGTACGGGGACCTACTACCTACTACCCCTGTACTTCAAATTTCAATCAAAAATCATTTTAATCACGTACCTCAAACTTCTATGTAACACCTTAATTTACCTATTTGAGTTAATATGTATGATCTTTGAAATGTATGGCATACATACGGTGTACGGAGGAATATAAAAATTTAATACTACACCTCTAAAAAATGCGTAAAAGATCTAGTAATTTATCGTGATTGGTCGTTCAAGAGGAGGATTACATTTCAAAAATTTGATCACACAGTTTCTCACATTAATATTTGCAGCGTACTGTTATAAAATCGGAACGGTTTTTAGTTCATGCATAAAGTTGACTGTTCGAGGTACATTGGGTGCCTAAAATTTTTATAACCTAACGTCTATTGAGTCGATTTTTGACTCTAAGCGATCTAGAACTTCCAAAACCCAATTAGATTAATTTCTATAGTACATCAGCGATTAAGATCATGATGATGATATGCCTACATACGTACATTAAGATTACTGGTGGAATTAAGTAACTTGGAAGGAAGAAGGAAGTTTCATAGTCCACTAGAGTATGCACCTTTGAAAACTTGCGGACGTTGTTAAGATAAAGAAAGAAAAAATATTGATGTATTGATCCATTCAAAATGTAAGTAGACCCTTGTTAAGAACTGTAATCATGTACTGCTTGATTTATATTGATATAACACCATGGCGGCTTAATCAAGATATATAATAAATAGCTTAGCACTTTGTTTTAAAGTAGTTTCAAAAAGCTCTAGACTTGAGCATTACAAGTTACAACTTACTAGACACGAGTACGTTCGACTTCGATCTTAATTTGAAGTACTTCTAAGTTTCCATTGCTAAGTCTACAGGTTAATAAGTCAGATGGGGCACAAGGCAGAAGTACTGAAAGGTTCATGGTTTATGGTACTTCATGTGCTCTGGAAACTATATACAGCTGTGAAAAACGTACATATGAGTAGTCCTCTTAGTTGTCTAGTTTTGGTTTAATGAACTACAGCACCCATGTCAAATCAATATGGATCACCTATTGATCAAAAATAATTGGAGATGTATAGGAACTTGGAAGTGTGGGTGATCCTGATGACTTGATAGCGATAGATAGGGGTCAACTAACACAGGCTTGGACATACTATAACTATACGTTTAAAAAAAAGTCATGTTATATATACAGAAGTGCTTGTATCATATAATTTGATATAAATCGAGTACCAGGTGAGCTATATATATGGGCCGTGACCAGCCAACTTTCGAACTAGGTAATATTATATTATCAATTAGAGCCAGTGTACTATAAATGATTTGTAGCATATGTGTACCATATAGATCTTTAAGCAAAATAATATATTCATGTCGATGTACAAGATTTCATCCGCTGATACTTTAGAAACCGTTGATCTATATAGTAGCTTATAATATAAATTATCGATGCAGACTCGAAATGGAAAAAGTTCCGTATCAATATCAATATTTCCAAGCTAATTCTGAGGTCTTCCAACTTCCAAGTTCTAGGCCGAGTATACTTTCTCATTTTGATTTCAAATTCAAAGCTGATCATGAAATCAGAATATCGTATATATATATGAAAACATCTTAGAAGAAACTCAAAGACATGCAAAGTTTATGATCCACATTTATCACCAACAAAACCCTCGATGAACTTATCTATACGTTGTTATTTAGTCCCCCATAACTTGTAAGGTGCTACCTCTTCAAAGTTCTAGCTCATCATGAACAACTCAATCTAGTTTCTTCAACAACTGTCGCACAACTGTCTGAAAATGCTGGTTGCTGCCTGGACAACTTTTAATTTCAGAAAAAACCTGGTAATAACACGCACAGCACCGCTTTGGGGATTAAAGTTTAGTGCTGACATAATCCGATACAACAATCAGAAACTTCACGAACTTTTTTATAAAAAAAGCAGATTTCGCAATTTTGTTTACATTCTTGAAACGACTTCTTTTTAAAAGCTCACTACACTTATAGTATCTATTCCAACTTTTTACGCTCCTTTACAAAGCAAACTCAACAGGTACTACACACTCATTGTTTCTATACATTTCACTTGTCCAAATAGGTTATTTTCAAACAACTTATTAGTCACTCCTTTAGAAATTATAGATTTATTCAATTGACCAAAACAAAACAAACAAAGATCTCTCTGAAAAAAGAATATCAAGTTAATCTTAGTATTTGAAAAGTAAGTATATTTGAAAGCATGCTAATCATAAGAATAGTTTCAAAGAATGATTTATGATATAGACTTGATATTTTGAAATATTGATATTGAAAGTTTGGGAAAAGCCGCTATAGTTTAGATCTCGGGATCTTAAAAAAACTATAATAATAAGAGATCTATAAACTACAAAAGTCACCAATATTTGAACAGGCATTCATCATTCATCTTTCAACTTATACCCAATGAATAAATACCCTTCATACACTCTATATGGTGATTAAAATTTGATATCAAGCCATGCATTGCCCAGTTGATTTGAATTTCGTTGTTTATTTATTGTTTGTTGTGACTCCTTTGAGTGAAGTTGGAATGATCCCAATACGGTAATTGCCAGACCTGAAATTCGCGGAAAGATACCCGGTCGACTCCTACTACGTGGTGTGGTGCGTGGCGAAATTTTGATTTTGACGCGCTTTTAACAACTTTTAGGTTCGCGTTTTTTGCATAAACAAACATTTGAAGGAAAGATTTGATGAATAGTTTGATCAATGATGCGGTTTTTGACTTGGCCTTTGTGTGTTTTTTTTTCTGAACTATCGTTTTTTGATTTAAACTTGTTAAGATCTCGTGTCTATGATTTTTTTATAACCATACTTTCCATTCTTTCAGTTCAATTACAATTACAATTACAATTACAATTCACATAGTTTGGGTTATACATTCATTTCAATTTATTCATTGCATTAATATCAATCCAATTTCCAAACTTCAAGTCATTCATTAATACTCAAATAAATCTCTTGTATTATTGTTCATTTGTCTCATATCATAAATCAATTCTTTTGTCGTTCAATTCTTAATTACATTTAATATTAACATAAAATTAGCTTTACTTTGAAAAATAATGAAATTCTCAACTGCTACTGTCGCAGCTTTTGCTGCTGTTATGGGTTCAGTTTCTGCTGCTCCTCATGCTCATGCTGATAACTTAGTTAAACGTGATGCTGATTGTGCTACCACTGCTCATCATCATCATCATCAACATAAAAGAGCTGTTGCCGTTGAATATGTTTACTCAACTGTTGTTGTTAATGCTCAAGGTGAAACCATTACTCCATCATCAACTCAAACCACTTTAGAACCAAGTTCATCCGCTGAAGCTGTCAACAGACAAGTTCAAAAATCATCATCAGCATCATCATCATCAACTTCAACTTCAACTTCATCTTCTGCTGAAACTTCATCAACCCAAGCTGCGTCTTCATCATCAAAAGAAGAATCATCATCAACTTCAACCTCATCAACTTCATCATCTACTTCAACTGGCGGTGGTTCTTCAGGTGGTATTTATGGTGATTTATCATCTTTCTCAAATCCAACCAAAGAATTCCAAGATGATACTATTGACTGTACCGATTTCGACTCATTAGTTGGTCAAGGTGTTATTGCTTTAGATAACTTAGATTTTGGTGGTTTCTCTGGTATTTATCATCCAAGTGATACTTCAACTGGTGGTTCATGTAAAGAAGGTGCTTACTGTTCTTACGCTTGTCAACCAGGTATGTCCAAGACCCAATGGCCATCATCTCAACCAGGTAACGGTGTCTCAGTTGGTGGTTTAGTCTGTAAGAATGGTAAATTAAGAAGATCAAACACTGATCAAAAATACTTATGTGAATGGGGTGTTGATGCTGCTTACGTTAAAAATGAATTGAGTAAAGATGTTGCCATCTGTAGAACTGATTACCCAGGTACAGAAAACATGGTTATTCCAACTTATGTTCAAGGTGGTAAAACTTTACCATTAACTGTTGTTGATCAATCAACTTATTACCAATGGGGTGGTAAAGGTACTTCAGCTCAATATTATGTTAATGATGCTGGTGTTTCATATGAAAAAGGTTGTGTTTGGGGTTCAGAAGGTTCCGGTATTGGTAACTGGGCTCCATTAAACTTTGGTGCTGGTGCGGTTAATGGTATTTCATACTTATCATTAATTCCAAACCCAAACAACAATAACGCATTGAACTTTAACGTTAAAATTGTTGCTGCTGACGACGATTCAGTTGTTTCTGGTGACTGTAAATATGAAAATGGTAAATACTTGAATGGTCAAGATGGTTGTACCGCTGGTGTTACTAAAGGTAAAGCCGTTTTCGTTTTATACAACTAAGATGTTGAATCAAAGTTTGTTATAAAATTATAAGCTTGATTTAAAATAATTAGCTTGTTTTTTTTTTTCTATGAGATACCACCAAATCTCCCTTTTTTACTCCTTAGATTTTTTACTTTTTCAGTTTGAACATTTTTTTATACTATGGAACACACAAAGTTTTTTTATTTGTATTAAATTTAAACATTTTTTGTTTCATTTTATTTCCCTTTTATATGTTATTTTTATTTTATTGTTGGTGGACCATTTAGCAATTAGTGTGTTAATGGATATATTACTTTTATTCTTAGGGACTGTATTGTTATATAACTTTTTGAATGTATTATTACTGTCTAGACCTTTGTACATTTAACAGATCTAAAATCAGCATCTTTAGTTTAAGCCTCTTTACATATTCAGCCTTTCTTAGCTTTAATTTGCTTATAATTTCACATTCGCGTATAGTATTGAGTTTCAGATTTTTCGATTCCAGTTTTAAGCAGATTTCTAAAATTAGGGCCTTCACAAAAAATGAAATTTTAAAAAAATAATACTAGATTAAATTTTAAATAGCTGTGGAAAACAAAAAACATCAACAAACTGAACACGTAAATTGCAAACAATCAACAAACAGAGAATCAAGAGCAAACAGATCACAGCAACTCCCATCCTCCCCTTGAAAAAGCATCACCATCACTCACACGCTCTGATCTCAGCCATCAAATTGCCCTCGCTTCCTTCGCATCCCACAAATTACAATTCTCTATAATCCTTGCTCATAAAGTGTGTTAAGTGCTCTGTCTAGGAAAAGAGCACCAGATTTGAAGTTATTACCAGAAAATCATTTCAAAAGTCACATTGTTTGCATTCCCATATTACTGGCTTTCTTTCCATATCATCATTCTTTCCAGAAACTAGCTTACATTCCATTTGAGATCTCTCATTTACTTGTGTTTTCCATTCGGATCTGCTAAACAAACGAAAAGGGACCCACCCCCAGAGCCAAAAATTCGAATCAAGGTTGTTTGAGTTTCGAAAGTTAAAGTTCAACTACATAACGGCTTTCCAGCTTTTGCTATCGCTCAAATTTCAGTTAACAGAAGTTACGTGGATTGTGATTGTTGCATAATTTCGTTTCTGGTTGTGTCACAAATTTTGATAACCGGTGTTTTGTTAAATTTTTATTGCTTGTGAAGAGCTTTTGTTTGTTTGAACAAGACAACGGTAACTTCATCACAAGTTACAACAAAACAAATAGAGTAAAGAGAACCCCTAACTGAGTACCAACATCTTAACATCCCAACATCCCTATTTTTTTTTCAGTTTATTCATACTGGCAATTCAAAGGTATAATAATCTAAAGAAAGAATAACAAAGTTATACATTCCATACATCATAGAGAAGGAATCACTCAAAAAGTCATCAATACATACCAATAGTGATTTGAATGAGCCAACAGAAAGACAAGCCTTCTTCAAGACTTCGGTCGAGTCCCAGAGAAAGATCTGTTGAATCCCAACCGGAAGGTGATAAAAATCTTGAATCTCAACCTCAACTAGAAACTCATTCTCAACCACCATCATCATCAGCTTCATCCATATTCTCGGTACGATCTAAAGAATCAAGGGATACTGATAATTTAAGTCAAGGTGCTTCAGATACTGGACAAGGAAGTCCCAAAAAAACTGGTTCAACTTTAAAGAATTTGTCCAAATTTTGGAAATCTCATAAAAAGCATAAATCATTAGACGTAGTACCTCAATCTCAAGTACAACCCAAATCACAAAGAAGTAATTTTGAAAAGATAAGGAATCAATTTGAATCTCAAAATAACCCAAGTAGGATAATTGAAGAAGATGAAAATGTACAAAGTGGAAGAGAACGATCTGAATCAAAATCAAAATCAAAATCTCCAATCCCAGGTACTAGTACAGATATAAGGAAGAAAGAAGATATATCACATCTGGAAACATCAGAAGAAAATGTACGCAAGAAGACCCCAGAGCAAGAGACTGATAATCCCAAAGAATCATTATCACCTAAAAAATCACAATCCATTAGTGATTCCTACATTGAAGAGGTATTAGGTATTTCATTAGATCAATGGCCATATTCAGAAGAGTTATTATTATCAACTATAGCATTGAAAACTGAAAAGGAAAAGACTAAGAAACAACATTTGAAATTAACATCAATTCAAAGTTCGATTGATCTTATAAAGTTATCTGTTGCAACTGGTATACCACCAAATCAAATACCAAATGTTTTCGTTTCAAGTGAACAAACTAAAGAATTGATCAACAAGTTAACTCAGAAGAAAATAGAACTTGAAGAAGTACCATCTCATACGGAAAATGTCAAACCTCATCAATTTCAATTTCAGACTTCACAATCAAAGCATTCTCGTTCAAATTCTCAATCAGGTATTTCACAACCTTCTACACAAGCTAATCAATCCCAGGCACCACAAAATCAACCTTCATCTTCATCAACTCAACCGAGTTCAAAAAATGCCACCACTTCTGTTTTTAAAGTTAATATACCTCAACAAACACAATTTCAGTTTCATCATTGGCAAAAACCAGGCGAAGGAGGATCTTCAAATACAACACAACAAGAAACTGATAAAAAGAGAAAATTATCGACTGATGAAGGTTCAACATTACATACAGCTAAACCTCAAACTCCAAATAGAAATGCAAATGTTTCTTCACATAGAAGAAATCAATCTGAAGCAAATGTATCACAACTAAGAACTATGTTTGAAACACAATCCACTCAACAGCAACATCAACAACAAGGATTTGGTCTTAATCAAGGACAATCCCAAACTCAACAGCAGGCACCACCTCAATGGGGATCAAGAGCCTTAGGTTCACCTTATTATCCACCTCGTGAGAGAAGACCTGTTTATTATCAATTCCCTGCACCACCACCACCACCAAATCAACAAACTAGTTATCCACAGCAAGTTACACATCATCAACTACAACCTCAACAACATCCCACCCCACCTGGACAACAACCGCAACATCAACAAGTCTATCAAATACCCCAAAGTCAAGGCCAGCCTATTCCTCAATCTGCATCTCAGCAGTATACTTTCCCACCACAAGTTCAGTATTATCAACCAGTTCCACCACCACAATTTGTATTCCCACCAAAACCACCTCAACCATCATCAATTCAAGGAACACCACAAAGAATGGAACCATCAACTCATCAAGTCACATTACAACCATCATCCACTGGTCAACCATATAGTGCACCAAGTACAATTAATCCTTTACAACAACAAAACCCAATACAATATAGAGAATCTTCAAGTGTTCAAGGCTCACCAATTTCAATGAAGAGAGGAAGTACAAGTAGTACAGGTGATAAGGGGAAAAGTGATGTTAATTTTTTGATTTCTACACCAAATAATCCGCCAAAACGGTAATTTTAATCTACAAAATTTGCAAATGATACGCATAAATTCCCAATTGTTCCTTACTAAAATTGGAAAATTGTAGAGATTCCTGTAAGTATTATATAATTTTATTTTGGTGTTCGCGTGAGTCCTAAAATGTAAACAACGCGGTTTCGCGTAACAGAATAGCAAAAACGCATAAAAACACGAATATAACCAAGGCAAAGTACTCACAAAAATGGAATTTGTGTCACGTGAAACGCACTTGAAAGGGTTTAATTAGAATTTAGCTCCTTTAGAAATTATTATATGAATGTTGAGTTTTACTGGTACTTTGGTATTTGTTATAAATTGTTTAAAGTTCCCTGTTTCTTGAATCTATTAATACCCATTCCATTCATATAATATTATAATTTAAACAAATATGATCAGCTCAAGAACTCCTTCACCACAAAAATCAAGACCAAGTAGTAGACTTGCTTTATCAGAAAAAACAGATAAGAATTTAAAATTATCACCTTCTAAATCAAATAATTTAAGATATTCAAATTCAAATTCACCTTCAAGATCAAGAAGTTCAAACTCACCTACAAAAAAACCTTTATCATCATCATCATTATTAATTAAATCACAACCAAATTTTAAAATTTTTGAAGATCCAAAAGATTATTCAACTGAATTATATTTATCAACAATTAAAATAAATGATGAAAATGATTATTTAAATTCAAAAGAAAATTTAGAACCAAAACGTTCATTACCAATTTCAAATTTAGAAATTGAATCACCTTTAAAAAAACAATGTAATAAAAGATCACCACTTCAAGACTTAAATATTCAAGAATATCCAGGCTTTATTGAATATACAAGAACTCCAAGGATTCAAAATTCTTATCAACTAGATACAAAATGGTCAAATTCAAATATGAAACAAATCCCATCTTTTATAACACCACCAAAAAATGATAGAATTAAATATATAAGTTTTACTGATGATTTTAAAAATGATTTAGGTATTAAAAGATCTAATTCATTAAGTGATGTTGATGTTTCAAGACCTGTTAAAAAATTAGTCTTTGGTATTCATAAAGATTAATAAAAAATAAGTGTTTTTGAATTTTGTGATCATTAATACCATTTATACTCCCTTCTATGTTTTTTGTTTCATTATGAATTTTATTTATTAATGAATCTATTGTTTTATTCTTCATTGCTTGTTAATATTCAAGTTTATTTCCATTACGTTGTTATGAATCATTGTGTTTTTATTGGTTTTTATGTGTTTTTAATTTTAATATTTGTTTTTAATTTATTTAATTTGTCATCTTTATAAAAAGTTTTACTATACTAATACAATAAATATGTTTATATATGATACTACTGTAGCTTAAGACAATTCAAAAATACAACTTCATTAATAAAATTAGCTATAAAACATTAAACTAAACTCAACTTTTTTTTTCTGTACATCTAGATACCAGTCCAGAAATGAGATTTTTCAACATTGAATTTTTCAATCAATTCAATATCATCACTACTAGATCCAACATGAACTTCATATTCACCAGCTTGTGCAGACCATTTATTTTGATATTCATCAAAGAATGAAATGGAATCTTTTAATGAAATTTCAGTGGAAACAGTTGATTGTTTACCAGCTTCAAGTTCAATTTTTTCAAAACCTTTCAATTCTTTAATTGGTCTAATAACATCACTTTCAACTTTTTTAATATAAAATTGAACAACTTCTTTACCTTTTAATTTACCAGTGTTTTTAACATCAACTGAAAATTTCAATTTATCATTTGATTCATCAACAGAAGATTTCAAATTAGAAAATTCAAAAGATGTATAAGATAAACCATAACCAAATGGGAATGCAACTTTTCTTTGTAATTTTTCATAAAATCTATAACCAACAAAAATATCTTCACCATATAAAACTCTACCTCTTTCAGTATGGAAATTTAAAAATGCTGGATTATCTTCAAATTTTAATGGGAATGATAATGATAATTTACCACTTGGATTAACATCACCAAATAAAACATCAGCAATACCATTACCTAATTCATTACCACCAAACCAAGCATGAATTAAACCTTTAACTTTTTGTAACCATGGGAATTCAACTGGTGTACCTGATTGATTAACAACAATAGTATTTGGATTTGCTGCAATAATAGCTTCAACTAAATCATTAGTATGACCTGGTAAGGCTAAATCTGGACGATCATAACCTTCTGATTCCCATTCACCGTTTAAACCAATGAAAATAACAGCTTTATCTGCAGCTTTAGCAATTGATGCAGCTTTTTTAATTTCTTCTTGTGCATCAATAACTTTAGCAACACCAAATTGAATAGCACCATTACCAACAAAATCAACACCTGATTTTTGTTCATAAGTACGAGTAGAACCTGAACCAAATTCAACACGAACATTATATTTTTTACCCTTTTCTAATTGAACTTTACCAGTAACTTCCACAGTACCAGTATTAAAGAAAGCTCTACCTTGAATTTGTTTATCTTTATTATCAACAATTAATTTATCATCAATAAAGATTTGAGCAGTACCTAAAACTGTAACACCAAATTCATATTCAGCAGTATCATCAGCAGTAAATTCACCTTCAAAATCAGCATAAAATAAATTATTTCTAATCTTTTCATTTTTATAATCAAATAAAATATGATAAGAAGTTTCAATTTCTAATTCATCAAATTTTTCTCTACCTTCAGTACCTCTTGGTTGATGATAAAATGACATTTTAAGACCTGGTTTACCAGTATCTGGATTAATGGTTTGTTGAGCTAAACCTGGTAAATTATCATGTGCATAAGCACCAACGGTGAAAGGAGGTTCATAACCAAGTTTTTTGGTAACACCTTCATAAGGAGTAACAATATAATATGGTCTTAATGAAGCAGAACCACCACCAGCATATGCACCATATTTAGCATTTGGACCAAAAACTGCAATTTTTTCTTCCTTTTTCAATGGTAAAATATCATCTTCATTTTTTAAAAGAACAATTGCATCAGCTGCGATTTTTCTTAATAATTCAGCAGTTTTTTCAGTATTATTTTTAGTATCTTCACCAGTAAATTCAGCAGCTTCACCATCTAAAGCATATTTAACCAATTCCAAAACATTTCTAACTCTATCATTTAAGGCATTAATATGAACTTCTTTAGATGTAATTTGTTGACCAACAGCGTCACTAGTTCTTAATCTTGCAGGACCTGGCATTTCAAGATCTAAACCATTATTTAATGAATCCTTAGAAGTATAAGTACCATACCAATCAGACATAACTAAACCTTCCCAACCCCATTCTTTACGTAAAACATCATCAATTAAGAATTTTGATTGAGAAACATGTTCACCATTAATTTTGTTATAACCAGTCATAAAAGCTTTTGGTTGAGAATATTTAACAGCTAATCTGAAAGGTTCCAAATAAATTTCTCTTAAAGCTCTTTGAGTGATGATAGAATCTGAACTATTACGTTCATGTTCCAAGTCATTACCAACATAATGTTTAATTGTAGCAGCGATATGACCATCTTGAATACCACCAACAACACCCGCTGAGGCAATACCAGCTAAATAAGGATCTTCAGAGAATGATTCAAACCCACGACCACCATTTGGACCTCTTTGCATATTTGTAGTTGGACCTAAAATGACATGAGCACCTTTATGTTTAGCTTCTTCAGCCATTAATTGACCAGCTTCTCTAAATAAATCTTTATCAAAAGTTGAAGCTAACCCAGTACCATTTGGGAAAACAGCACTTGGAACACCATTGAAGAATTTAGTACCTCTAACACCATTAGGACCATCACTTGTTCTTATACTTGGAACACCTAGTCTTTCAACTGGATAAGTATGCCAGAAATCAATCCCAGCGGTAAGACCAATCTTTTCAGTAGTGGTTAATTGATCAAGGACTTTATCAACGTCAAAAGCAGCACCTTTACCCATTGTGTGTGTATATATTCTTTGTATAATTGAATTGATTGAAGAGAATTGAGTAAAACAATAGTGGAAAATCACCCTTATATACACTAAATCCCATTCAGCTCCACAAATTCATTTCCAAAGAACCGTCCGAGAATTGTGGAAAACATGGCGCGCCGCTGTCTTAAATAAGGAATCACACGCAGATCTGGTGCTTCCTTGGTCTCCTAATAAAGGGAAATGGCACTAACAGAATATGGGGATTTCGATGAAAAGAGTATGAATAGCCTAGATCAACACTAGGAATTGGTCATCTGGGGGAAAGCCATTTAATTCAATTGGTTCAATTGGTGTATAGCTTGTGTTAGCTGTTTGTCGGTGAATATACAAGATTGAAGGTGTAACGTTTAGTCGACTTATAATACAATGGAGTTTAGTTCAAGGTGTAAGCCTCTGTAGTAGATATCCTCATAAAATATCGGTTGAATAAACGATACTTTTCTGAATGGGTCATTAATCATCCTTGGAAATGTTTAACTTATACCAATTATGGGGTAAAAGCCTAATTGACAACAACTTTGAGTATTATACAACTAGCTAAACAATCAAAAGTCATCTACAGTTAAAGACTCCGGTTAAATAAAAATATACGGGTATAATGTATCATATATTTAATTGATATAAGTTCTTATGACTTTCAAGTAAAGCAAATACCACCATCAACAACCATAGATTGTCCAGTGATATAATCAGCTTTATCACTAGCTAAAAAACTAACTAAATTAGCAACATCTTGAGGTTCAGAACCTCTACCAAGTGCAATACCTTCAATATATTTCTTTTTTGTTTCACCTTTTGCTCTACCTGAATATTCACCCATTTTAGCATCAATTTCATCCCACATTGGTGTTAATACAATACCTGGACAATATGAATTAACTGTGATTTTCCTTGATGCTAATTCTTTTGCAGCAGCTTGAGTTAAACCTCTAACTGCAAATTTTGTTGCAGAATAAATTCCCAATATTTCAAACGCTTCAATACCTGCAATTGAAGCTGCATTTATAATTTTACCTGATTGATTCCCCAATTCTTCAAATTTTTTAGATGCTGCTTGAATTCCAAAAACAACACTATTAATATTAATTTGTAATATTTTATTAATTTGTTCTTCTGTTGTTTCCAAGATTGGTGCAATTGTAGCAATACCTGCATTATTAACAATTGTATTGAAACTACCAAATTCTTCATATGTTTTATTAACAGCTTCAAATATTTGATCTTTCTTGGAAACATCACATTCAATAAATATAGCTTTTGAATTTGTAGTAGATTCAATTTCTTTAACTGTTTCTAATCCTTTATCTTTTTGAAATGATAAATCACTAACTGCAACTTGATATCCATCTTTTGCTAATTGAATTGCAATTGATTTACCAATACCTTGAGCAGCACCTGTAACTAATACAGCTTTTGTATTATTATCACTTGTCATTATGATTAATTATGTGTAATATAGAGTTAACATATTGTCCTTAAGACTTTAAAAAAGGGTATATATCAGTCCATTTATAATTCACTTAAATCCCATCATTTTCTCTAAGGCGTATAGAACAATTGAACCTTTGAGGTATATACTTAATTATCATTTTCGATCATTTAATTTATTTTCCCCCACGATTTCTTAAATTGATATCTACCTTGTAAATTAATAGTTAGTACTCAGTATTCTTAACCCCTAAATATCCGGGTTAAACTTTAACCATAAAGGTAATAATCCTGGTTTAACAAACTTTTGATTAAGATACGGAAACCGATTGTATTAAACAAGTTACTCATGATATATTGGATATTGGCTATTTTTTAATCAATAAATTGTAATTGAATTGGTGACCACTGACCATTAATTACATTCTTATCGAATGGATTTAAGAAACAATTATACCAGCTATTTAAATTTATGTACCCCATATTTTATTTATGATGATCTGCATTAAAACTGATTTTTAAAAAATTACTCAAATTATAATAAAGATACATAAAATAGCTAGGCACTTTCAAATTATTATAATATATTATGGTTTAAATTATTTAAAATATTAAAAACGTATGATCTCTACTAGCTCTCTAAAGTCAATTCCATCATAGGGGTGTTAAAGTCACATCACATTGACCATGTTATTTAAAATTATTCATTAATCATAAATCTCTACATAGTACAATTTTAATAAATGAATATTTAACATGAATTCAAATGTAATTTTTATATATACACATGATGAATAAATACTTAAATAAGTATAAGTTATAATAATTTAATAATAACAATAATATAAATAACACCTTAAAACAATAGATAAAATAATAATCACTTCAATATCAAACTAAAGTTCTCTATATTTAAAACTATAAGTTTTTTTTAATAATAATAAATCAAGGAAATATGAATGAAAAGCAAAACAATAAATCAATAAATAAAGACATAAATAAGTTTGGAAAAAGATGGAAAACAAGTTGGTTAAAATGAATTGGAATATTTAAATTGAGTTGTAATAATAATAATAATAAATGGAATGAATCATTTAAGCAGTAACAAAACTTTCAAGTTCTTTTCATAATTCATTTTTATGAACAAGTAAATTTAAATCATATGAATTAACACCATAATTATCTAATGGATGATTTAAACTTGAATGAAAATTTGAACTTGGTTTAATTGGATTTGGATTTGGAGTTGTATTCCAATCAAAAATTAAATCTAAATTTGATGTAATATCTGGTAATTGTTCATCATTTATAGATGATGAAGAATCTGTTTGATCTGTATTATAATTTTGATTAGTAGTACCATTAATTGACATTGTATCAATTGATGAATTTGAAATTGTTGATTCTGCAGATGCAACTGATAAATTTCTATTTGTAATTTGATCTAAATCAAATAATAATGAATGTTGATCAATTTGTTGTGATAATTCTGAATGTTGATAAATTGATGGATGACGTTGTGGAGATGATGATAAATTTTTAAATTTATTATTAAAATCTGTTGAATCTTCTAAATCTGGATCATTTAATTGAAATTCTAATTTAACAAGATCAACAATTTGTTTAAACAGAACAAAATTTTCTGGATAACGATTTTTAACAATTTTTAAAACTTTAATTAAAATATTACTATTTGATGAATCTGTAAATAATTGATCTTGATGATTTGTTGATTTGGAAACTTTAACTAAATTTAACATTGAAATTAAAATCATCTTGAGAAAATTAATTGGAATTAAATGAAATTCAAAATTATTTAAATTATTTAATTCTTTTCTTGAATCTAATAATATAATATAAGCTAAAAATTCTTTTGATAAATTTGATAAAATAACATCAGATTGATTTAATGAGATATTTTCTGAAGTTTGTTGTAAATGAATCAACATTCTAAAATAAATATAAAATAAATTTAATTGAATTTTAGTATTTTCTTCATGTGAAGATAAAATTTTAGATTTTTTTAATCTTTTAGTTGGACGTTCATTTGAATTATCCATTGATGTTATAATACTTAGAGGGATTTTATGAAATAAATTTTGTAATTTTAATTCATCTCTCCAATTAACTAAAAATTCATCTAATTTATTAAATTGATTAAAATCTTGATTAATTGATTGTAAATTAATATTTTCTAAATTTTGTAAAATATCAATCAAAAGGATACAATTTTTTAAATTTTGATTTGAATTTAAAATTGTATTTAAATGAGGTATATGAAATTTTTCAAAAAATCCAACTTGAGGTAAACCATGAGAAATTGATGCAATATTTGATAATATATAAAAACTCCAATATAATTTTAATCTAACAGAATGTAATTTAAATTTTTCCTCCTTTGTTAATTGAATTTTAAGATTTGATTGTTTTAAATTATTATAATTTAAATGTAATCCTAAACTTAAAACCATTGAATGAAGAATATTATTTAAATTTATAACTGTATCTTTATAACAATTTTTATTATGAAATAAATAAAGGGATAATAAAGTAGTTTGAAATTTTGTAATTGAAGGTTTAAATGAAATATTTAAACTTGTAACTAATTTATGAATTTCATGTAAACTGAAAATTGAACAATTTAATTGAATCATAATGATTAATTTTGTAACGAAAACTAAAATTTCATCATCATCAGTAGAATTTTCAATTAATGGAATTAAATTTTCAGTTTTATTATCAATTGAATTGAAAATTTCTTTATAATTTTTAAAAAATAAATCTTCATCAAGAATTGGAATTAAATTTAAATTTTCAAAATGATTTGAAATTAATAAATCTAAATTTGTTTTTGATGGGAATTTAATTAAAAATTTTGCAATTATAAAATCTGATAAATTATGGAAATCAACTTTTGGAAATTTTAATTCTTCAATTGGTTGTAATTTAAAATTTTTCAAAATATTATTAAAAATTAAATTTAAACTGTTTAAACCAACATAATTTTCATTTTCAACAAAATTATCAAACATGAAGAAATTATCAGATAATCCTTTTATTGTTGGTTCTGAACCACAGCTATGGTGATGGGGATCTGAAATTGGTTCTTCCTTGATATGGATTGAAACAGTATTATCTGGAATGATTATTGAAGGGGTACTTGAAGATTCATGTTCAGAATTGGAAACATTACCAACATCTTGACCAGCAATTTTTGATTTAAAAGTTTCTAATTCAGTGATTAATTTTGAATTTTCATTTTGTAAAGATATTAAATTTTTTTCTAAATTTTCAGTATAACCTCTTGGGAATGCTCTTCTTGTTAATTTATCTGAAGTTTGACAATTATAACCAATTGAAAGACAATTGGTACAACTTGGGATTTTCCCATCACATTTGATTTTTTTTATCCGACAACGATCACAAGCTTGTGAAGTTCTTGTTAATCCACCGTTACCAGCAGTTTTGATCAATTTTGTAGTATCTGTAGTAGATGGAGATGATGATTTGTCCTTAACCATTATGTTTTGTGTTGTATGTTGTTACCGCTGTGATGATTCTTCCTCAAAGTCAATCAAATAGTAACTAAAAGTCATTTCCCATGGGATTATAAGGGGATACATTGATGTATTTATATTTCAATCCGCTTACCGATTACAATGCTCAATTTCTTAATGGTTGAATTTTGAATTTTGAATTTCTTGTTGATGTTTTTGAAAAGCACTCCACGAATTGGGAAAGGGCCACGACCCGGTGACAGTCGTGTCCCGTTGCGAATAATTGCAATGACAATTCCGTTTCGCCGGGAAAGTTTATAAAAATGATATTGAAAAGAATCAAAAAGAGAGGAATATACTTGGGAATTGGGAATTGATAATATGGTGATATAGCTTAGCAATTGATTATTAGATAGTTGTTCTCTTAATCTTTGTTCCTTATTCATGGCTATCTTTTTCATAATCTTCCCAGACTTCAGACTCCAGGGCTATAAATTGTTTCAAATTCCAACTTCCTATGCTCCCTATGTTCCTAAGTCCAATTGCTAACAATTAATTAATGCAAGTATATCTTACATAGGGGCAAATCTAAAGGTACCTCTTCCACTTTGACTCAGAGTCACCCCCGTAAAATACTTTTGTTTTATGCATGATACGACATTACACTTATTTAGTTATATGATACTAGATTTATTATCAAGAATTGGTCAGGTATCAGATGTTACGTATTATACTTTATTTTTTAGCTTTGATCATTGATTAATTATATATCGTTTATATTACAGAGACCCCCATACAATTTAGATATAATCACAATACGCTTAAGTATATACAGTCAGCTGTTATCTTTTAAACTTCGTACGTTTATTAAATCTTATTTTAATATCTTCTTATACATACCTTCTATTCATTTATATGCACTCCCGTTACTTTCCATAATCTGTTTATCCCGAGGCTCTGTTAAAGATTCCTTTTCAAGTTATTTATTCTAAGTAATCATACATTTGCTAAATATACTAATGGATCCATTACTCAAGTACTTGATTTTCAAATTTAAGGGTTAGAACTTATCGCCTATAATAGTTATGGTATAACATAATGATATATTAACTATATAACATCCAGCTGGTTGGCTGCTTTCAGAACTATATATATCGATGATCGCATATGATATAATCAGGAACAAGTGTACAAGAGCGTTTTAAGTAGCGTTATGGAAGCTAAGGGAATTATTTAAAGCTGGTTAAGTACGTAAATCACTAGTATTGTAGATCAAAAGTTTATTTATATATTACTTCTATTACGTAGGCTTATTTTAATTATATCTAGTTGGTCACATGCGTACTTTAAAATTTTGTTTTTTTGTATGTCATGAAAATTTAAATCGCTTATGTTCCACAGAAAATCTGGGGCAGTCAAACTTTAATTTTCAGGTGCCGCTGCCGGCCGCTTTGTAAATAAATTCTTAAAGAATCCGATATATTCCTCAAAATGAATATACTCAAAACTATCAACCCTTGAATTCAGTTGAAAGAGACTCCTTTAACAACAAGTGATTGATATATTCTACATACACAAAACAATCTACTCTGTGAAATTTGAATCAATTGATTGATCAAATGTTGATGATGTGTTAAATATATCATCATCAAGAACCCTGCACCTGTATAGCTTGCTCACATAAAAATTTACGTTGATCTTATATTTTAAAATCTGAAATCACATAAATTTCTCGTACCGTGTTTAGGTACTAAATATTTGAAACTTGATCTCTAAGCTAGTACACGAGTATATCTATACACTACTAGTAAAGGGAGTCTATAATTGAAATAACCGATCGGTAAATTCGCATTACATACAGGGAAGAATCCTCAAGTTAGACAAAAGTTGAAAACATATACAGATAGTCTAGAACTTGGCAATTAAAGACCTGCCTGTATAAAACGTTTTGAGCAGAATCTTGTTACAATTCTTTAACGTTTATGATATCATATAATTCTAGTATTAATAGTTGGAACTTGGAATTAATTATAATGTAACCAAGACGTATATAACTTTCAACAAATCGGTTAATTAAGATCTTGATCTCGGTTCTAGTTTTGATCCTTAATTCCTATCAATTTAGTAATTATACACATGAATTTAGAATTATGACTTAATCAAAAATTTAGTACGTATGATGTATATATCATCCCTTGAAAGTACCTCAAATTTAAATGCTCGATTTTTTATATTGTATGCAACGTCATCAAATTTAAGAGCCAAAATATTGGATTAAAATTACTGATAGATCACATATCACCGTCAATTAACCATACTCGAAGCAATTAACAGTTTTAATCTGTATCAACTTGAAGATCAAATTTGACATTTAATACCTTTCAAAGCATCATTTCTTATTTGATCAAGTATTGAAATTTGACATGATGGACCTGGCTTTGCTATGGATCAACAGTATAAAAATACATAAATATTAGATAGGATATACTTAAATTCACCTAAATCCGATCTTTAATTATACATCATCAAGTCGACTAAAATACCATAGAAAAAGTATAAGTACCAGCTTGCAATGCCCCAAGGTTCAAATGTCTATAAGGGGTACACTTTAGATCATGCAATATTCTACTTAAAAACTCTGAAAATCAGAGTAACTAGATCAAAGATTAACTGTATCAAGGTGTAAAGTGTACCTCATTTCTAAACATTTACAATGCATACATATCATATAACCACATGGTCATTTTTAGATTATTAAACTTGAATTACTTAGTTATTACTGGTCGAACATTCCATAATTGATATTCATGATCATACCTGGTACTTAAAAGGATTATGTAAGAGTGGTTAAATGAAAATAGTATGCCATCTACGATTTTAAACAGTATTCATTTCAACTAGAGTAAAGATCTTCCAATTTAGAAAATATTTTAATTTTAACTGAAACTTTTTAAACCTTTGCAGAATGCTATTGATTTTGTTAAAAACTGGAATTCAGTCGATCTATGTATTAAAAGAGTAGAGTTGGCCGTGAATCTAAATTGAAAGTATCACATATCACCTTCTATTTCAAGCTTGATTAAATTGAGACTGATCATACTACAGAATAAATAAATTTAGAAATTTGTACATTCATAAGTGTTTCAGAATCATGAGCCTTGTCAAGTTTAAGAAAGTGATTGAATAAATTTCCAAAAAATGTTTGACAAATTAGCTATGAACGTTGGGTATTAGATCTAGCTTTGAGAATTGAGATACTCTTCGAACTTCATCGAATCATCTTGAATTATGTGTTAACAGCACAGGGGCATGTAATTCTTAATTACTTGTTGGAAGATTCAGAAGTATATATGAAATCCATCTACAATTTTAATTGAAATAAACTTCATAAACATTAAAAATAAAAATCCATATTTGGGTCTTAATTACTATAGCATCAATATAAATTATGGAGTTGATGCTCAACAAATTTACCTTTTAACCTTTCACTTCACTTCAATTCTCTTAATCGAAAGTCCTCTCTATTGAAACAACATTTGGGCACATTTGAAATTAAAATAAAAGTTTCAAAGAAAATATCAGAAAAAAAAAATGGAAAAAATGGAAAATAAGCATCACAAATTTAGTATGAACCCTGAAGGTGACTTGAGTGTGTTGTATGATATTTCAATGATATTAATGGTCTGGGAAAGAACTGGACATCTTATGGACGTGGGTATATGACTTCTAAATGGTTTCGATACCGCACCATATAAAATTGGGAAAACCGTTTGATGAGATCATATAGAATGGCATGGTGGTCCAATTTTATATTTGGTTCATTTTTGGAAACTAAATGATCTGACACATCATTAAAGAGTTCCCAATGTAACTTTTCTTCGTCCAGTCGTTCCATTTCTGACCAATCTTTTACCCTTAATACAGCTTTAACAGCCTTAGCTAATCTCTTTCTCACTTTTGTCACAAAGATCTTCTTGGACTCTTTTGTATGGCGTCTTTCAGCAACTGCAATTTCTGGATAATATGGAGCTTGAGGGACCCCAAAAATATCCTCTAATTCATTAGCGGAATATGGTAATCTTTGAACAAATGGTGAAATTGGAGTATACGGAAGCTTTGCATGTGGTGATTTTGATTGAGTATTAGTGTTCTTTGGCAGATTGGTGGTTTCTTCTGAAACAACTGGGATAACTTGAAGTTCAAGATGAGCAAATGCTGCTTGTGTAATAGATGTAACTATATCATGGATATATTCTAGACAATTGGAGCTAACATTCTGGATAAAAAACAAATCTTCTAACAAATGCAAGTATTCTCCACAAAGCACCCTATGAAGTGAGTCTAAATTTTTTTGAGAAGGGTACGTGTTAGCTTCCTTCGGATCCATGTCTTCAATAATTTCATTCAATTGAGCTTCTAAAGTAGTTAGTTAGTACAAAACATTCATAATTTTTTCAATAACCTGGGTTTCAAATTACCCAATGTAGGACGTATAATTTCTCTAGTAACTTGGGATAAAGCTTCGATGTTATTGAACACATATGGAGAAGCCATTTTGAAGAGATAGAGCGGAAAAATATCAAAAAAAGTATGGAAAATCTAAATTAATAGCTTTGATGTTTAGTTTTGGTTTTGGTTTTGGTTTTGGTTTTGGTTTTGGTTTTGGTGTGTAGTGTGTAGTTTTTCTTTGCAAAGTAAGAATGAGAAAATTTGTATTTCAATAGCGAACGTAGTTGAGTCTTTTGTTCCAGTAATTGTATCAAATGAGTTTTATCTTGAGCCTCTTTACAAAGTGAATCATGTTTCAAATTAGGGCACAAATCCCCAATTCATTTAGATGTTCAAATTCGAAAGTTTATTAAATCACAAACACAAACAAATTTCGCGAGTAAAGAAGATATGCTACTTCGATTATATAATCACAGTGCTACAGCTGAGTAATCGTTATAACCTGCATTAATGATTGATAACACATATTTCAAACAGATTTTGGCTTATTCAATAAGGTGAGATGTGGTTTATACTTGAACATGTTTAAAACAGGTTTGGATTTCCCTGGTTGCTTTTTGCGGATTTCATTTGTCTCTTGGAAATCTGACATTCCGCTAATAAATAAAGAAGCATCAGTATCATGGAAAATTTTATCACATGATAATGTTTCCACCATCAATTTGATAAGAGATTTGACTTCATTAGCAGAGGAAAATCTTCTTTTTTGAATCTTGATATTATGTGAAGCAATTGCACCATCCATTTTTAACTGTTGACCGTCAAAATCTGGGGATTCTTTGAATTGATCAGGTGAAACTACATATTTCTGGTATGGATGATTTTTTCGAAGTTCCTTCTTTGTAGATATCTTGAATAGTTCATTTCTTTCACCTGAATCATAAGATTTGAAAAGTTCAGAAAGATGAATTAGTTCATTGAAATAGACCTTACTAGGGAAAACCTCATTTGCTGTATTGTGAGATACCTTGCTAAAACTATGAGCATCAGAATTATTAGATATACCTAATTTAGGATGGCCCCATCTACTCTCTCCCTTGTTAAAAAGCTGATGTGAATCTGTCCCATAAAAGAACTCGTCTGTTTTAGCTTGGATCATTGAAGAAAAGCTACCAATGTCCAATGATTTTCCATAGTGCTTCAACGCGTGGTTGACCTTAGAATCAGAATCATATATCAATTCCTTATACCCATGTAATATTGAAATATCAACCCTGATAGATTTGAAACTTTTCTTAACTATTGAATCAGGATTACTGATTAAATGGTGAAATAGAAATTTGATGTCTTCATAATCTGTGATAACTAATGTCTTCTCATCACGAATACGTTTTGGAGCATCATAAGCAACATCTAAGAATTCATACTCGAATTTAGAGCTTTCTAAATCTCTTTTATATATCGAGAAAGAATCACATGGCTTATCAGGGAAATCAGGACCTTCTCTTAAGAAACAAGCATCATTTTGTCTCATTTTTTTAGTGGAGCTAACCACTAATAATAATTGCAAATTTTGAAATCCACCACCACCAAAAGCATAAGGTGCCAAATCATTGAAGATTCCTCTATTAAGACGAAGAACCTCCCTTTTAACACCACCTCTTTTCATAATCATATCCCAGATTTCTAAGGGGAAAGGACCTAGGACTGTTTTTCCATGCTCGGATTTTTGAGTGATTTTATTGTTAGCCTCCTTTGCTTCTTTCAAAGACTTCAAATGTTTTTTAGAGTAATGAATCAATGGAAAGAGTGAACGTTTAAACTTCCAATACCTTAGTAAAGCTGGTCTGAGATTTTCAAGCCAGAATTTCTTTTTCTGGTTAATAATATTGCTTTTAGTTCCCTGCACTTGATTTAAGTTGAAATATTCACTTTCAAGACGTTTTATATCATTAATCAAAATACCACGCACGAAGTTGGCATTTCTTAATGACTGTTTGATATCTGTTGACATTTTAAATTATAATAAGCTTTATTAGTAAGTTAATGTAGTTGAAAATATAATTGTATGTTCAAATTGTATTGTAATTTAAAGCTGTTATATGATTATAGAGTATTTCAAAGGGAAAAGAAAAAGAGGAAAACCATGGACTTTCAGTGATATTTATAATTTCTTTATGAGCATCATGCATCAGTTTTTGTTCTCTACTTTGAGAGCTCTTGAGTTATTTGACGAGTTATGTGAGTTAACAAATTTAATTTGGAATGTTGAAGTTTGAGACCTTTATATGAGATATTTCATTTGCCCCAGCACAATCAAACTTTGAGAAAGCTCTATAGCTAATGTACATATCATTGAAATCATTTGTTATATTACAGTGTTAAATTGTCCTAAGGATCTTTTTCATTCAATTCGTAAACTATTCAATCCAAAATGAAATTGTTTCACAATATTCAAAAAATTAATTCTAGCATGACATTAAATTGCATTGTAATTGAAGGATGATCTAAATTTTGAAAGAGAATTATTTAGAATAAATAATATACACTCTCTGGAATATAAAAGAAAGACTTATGAGCCTTTAACATGAGAACATCAATGAACTTTAGTGTTTTAGAATGAAGCTACCCTTGAGAGATGTCATTTTATTTCTTCTGTAGAACATTGGCTTACTTAATAGCTAACGCTAAACGTGATCATTCACATGACTATGATTAGTCACTGATGCGAAAAAATAACGCGTATCTGTAATTTTAGTATACAATATACAATACCAGTCTCCAGATCATTTTATTGTTTCTATAAATTACAACCCGTCTATAAACTCAGCGTCACAAAGATTCATATTATGAGGAAATGTCTAAACCGTTCACAGATTTAAAATTTTGCTCGACCTCTGTGCCCAGTGACATGAGGGTACGTTAATACTGAATATTGATTCAAAATTTAAGAATTAATACTAACTGAATCGAATAGTCTGAGATAGCCTCGAAAATCAAAGCCATGGGTGGTACACATTCAAGTAATCTGATGTCTGATGTTAATGTGCTTATAGTTGGTGATAAAAATACTGAAAAATATAAATTTAGTGTCAAGAATAGATTTGATATTAGTTTCATAAAACCTGATGCTATATTGAAAATTCATAATCATTGGATAAATAATGAAGATCGAACCAATCCAGAATTGATTAAAGTTGATACTTATAGATTACCTATATTTGAAAATCTCAGTATATGTCTATCAAGAATATCATTAGATTCACATATATCAACATTTGATAAAGAAAATTTCATAAAAATTATAAAAGAAAATGGAGGTCAAGTTTCAGATTCTTTGACAACAACCAGTTCATGCTTAATCACAAATGAAAAAAGTGGGAGACGTTATGAAATGTCTAAAAAATGGCAAATACCCATTATCCATCCACTTTGGATCTTACATTCTGTCAAAAGAAAAGCTTCACTTGATTTCCAATATTATAATATTGAATTAATACAAGATGAAAATAATATTGGAGAAGATTCTTGTAAAGTTTGGGATAATTTAAGAAAGCATAAACGAAAAAAAATTGTATTGGATGAAGAGGAAGAAAAAGAAAAACCCAAAGAATTAAAAGAAAATGTTAAAAAAAATTCTGAAATTTGGAATTCAATTATGAAAAATAATAATAAAGAACAAATCTTAGCCAAAAGAAATGTTAGTTCATGGGATGAAAATATTAATGAGGATGAAAATATAAATAATCCAGAAAAAATAACTATAGATTTAAACAAAAAATCAAGACCAAATTTAGAAGTTACGAGATCAAGATTGACACCAGTTGTTACTTCTCATCTTTTCAAAAATCAAAGTTTCCAAATTCTAATGTTTGATGATTCTAAAAAGGCAACTTTAACAAAAGTCATAGAATCTCATAGTGGATCTATATTTTCAGATAATAATGATGAAGAAAATCCAAAGTTTATAATTATACCTTCAAATTTCCCTATTGATGATTTACCAAAACATTTAATGAAATATGAATTAATTACAGAATGGTTCGTTGAAAGATGCTTACATTATAATAAGTTAATTGTTGATGATTGGGGTAGACCTTTTTATAAATCCAATATGTCAAATAGACCCAACCTCCCAAAATTAAATATATCAATAACTGGGTTTCAAGGTATTGAACTATTACATACCATCAAACTTATAGAATTATCAGGCTTCAGGTTTCATGAAGTATTGAATGGTGATAGAGATTTATTAATAATCAATATTGAAACTGTTAATATAGGATCAAGTGATCATACATTATTACAAAAATATCCTTCATTATTCACTAAATCTTCAAAAGATTTTAGTAAAACTACATTAAATTCTACAAAGAAAAAAATTAGGTTTGCCAAACAGAAAAGTATTCCAATTGTTTCAATATCATTTATACTTTCATTGTTAAAAGAAAATCATATCGGTTGTGTTAATTCAAGACAATGGTGTATTTATTGTCCTAGTGCTATGAGAATTAAAGAATCATTAATCAGTCTAGTTGAAATAAATCCAAATAAATCCACTAGTGCATTAAATAACGATCAAAATGATAATAATCAATTAAAGAAGGCAGATCTAGAATCACCAACTCGTCAACCTTCAATTCCTCAATTACCATCTCCGATTAGAAATAAGAGAAAAGACAATTGGGGAAGATTGGTTGGAAGAGCATCCAAATCACAACTTGATAGTTTAGAAATGCAACAACCCACTGCTGATCCAATAGATCAAATTGATAATGACCAAGCGACTAATTCTACACAAATAAGTTATGAACAATCACAAACTAATGATAAATTATTAAAATTATTAAATAGAGAAAATGAAGATCCAAATACCAATAAGAGAAAAATTCCAAATATTCACCACACAACTTCAAACCACAACACAAATGATCATCCTAGAAAGAGAACAAGAGCAGGCTATAAAGAAATGGTAGATGTCTTGGATGACAATTAATGATAAACGTTTAATGAACTTTTAGACTATAGATTTGTAGGTACTTACTACTCTTGTAGTGGATTCGACGGGTAACATTCGCGGATATCTAAACAACTTGGAAAATTCATGCTCACCGATCATATCATAATCATAACAACGACTTTCATGAAAATTAGCCTTCGACTCTTGAAAACACTACAGATTCTATTTCAATCATCACAATGTCCAAGAATCAAGATTACATTGCTAGAATAAGGTATCAAAATGATTTACCTGCACCTCCATTACCACCAAATTTATTGAACTATAAAATTTCAAAAGAAGAAGACATAGGATCTTCAAGTTTATTATCATCACTTTATCGTAAACAAAATGTCAATGCTCTTATAAAAGTCAATGAAGACTTGGGTCTACCAATGGATATTATTCAAGTGCCCGAAGTTTTTGATCCATCAAAAGAAGACCAAAAATTACATGCATTATCTGATAATATAAGATTACATCCAAATGATCGTGTTTTATTAAGAGATCCAGGTGTTGATAAAGTTATTGCATCACAACCAAATGTTGCATTTTTAAGAAGAACCGAATATATCAGTTCCACAAGACAACAAGGTCTTTCTACTGCAGCATCGAGATCTGCAACTCCACAAACTCAAGATGATGACAACAGTCCTGCTTCACAATTACGTTCAATTGAATCAACATTCACAAATGCGTCTAAGACTTTGAAAGATATCACCCTATTAAAACATCCATTGAATAAAAAATTAAAAGCTAAAAAAGTCTGGTCATTAAAACCTGATATTTCAAGATTAGATCAAAGTTTCAATTCAGTTAGATTTTTAGGATCTGCTGCTACAAGTAATCGTGATGCTACAAATATACAACTACGCACATCTCTTTTAAGACCAGTGGAGCTTGAACAAGCTGATTGGATGTCACTTTATACTGCTGATGATGAAGTATCCAAAGGTATCAAGAGAAAATTTGATGATCTTAAAGAAAATGTTCCAATTGAAAGAGTTGATGAAGAAGCAGAAAGATTCAAGTACACTAAAAAGAATGATTATGCTATGAAAGCCATTGCAATGGATGGTGAGATAAGAGACTTGGCAATGAGATTCGATCACGAAAAGAATGTTGTTTATTTCAATCCAATTCAATCTAAAGCGGAATTGAAGAGACATAGAGTTCATGAAGCCTTGAAAGCTTTGATGGATACACAAGATTTCGATGAAATTCATTTGAACATCAGAGAGCCAACTATTAAAGAATTAAACATTAGAAATAATACAAGACATGCGCATGATCCAGTCAACTATGAATTTGTTCAAATCGCTGATGATGAACAAGATGCAGAAGCTCAAGAACAATCACAAGAGCCTTCTGAATAGACATTTCTAAATAGAACTGAAGAAATTTGTGCCAGTGGTGAAGGCATATAATATGTATATGTATAGCCTTAGAGCAAATAAGTTCAATATATACTGATTGTACACTAGTGACTCTAATTAAAAGTTTTATAGTCTATGTTTTTGTTCCGAGAAGGGTATGGTTAAGTTCCGATGACCGCGATGAGATTCCTAAAAAAAAAATTTGCAAATGTACTTAATTACTAACTAGAGTCTAGTACACAAATATCACAAGATTAAACTCAACTCAATACAGGTGTAATATTCAAAATGTATACTTGTAATTCATGCAGCTTACAATTTCCAACTCCAGAGGATCAAAGGTCACATATGAAGTCCGACTGGCATAGATATAATTTAAAAAGAAGAGTGGCCAATTTACCTGCTATTGATGAAGATTTGTTTAATGAAAAAGTTCAAAAATTATCATTAGAAGAAAGTAATGAAGAGACTCAAGGTAAAACCAAGAAGCTTTCAAAGAAAGATCAAAGAAGACAAGAGAAAGAAGCTCTTTTGGAAAAGAAGAAGCAACTTCTTGAAATTGCAAGACAAAATATGTTAAAATCTATGTCATCTGATAATGAAATTAAACAAGATGAAGTGAAACAGGAAGTTCAAAAGACTGAACAAGAAGTTCAGAAAGAGGATGAATCAAATGACCAAGAACTAACTGAAGAACAACAAGCTGAAAGAGTGATGGAAGAAAAATTAAAGAATAAAGTTGAAATACCTAAAGAAGTATGTTTGTTTTGTAACAAAAAATTTCCATATTTTGAAGAAGCTTTAAACCATATGTTCAAACACCATGGTTTCTATATCCCAGAACAAAAATATTTGGTTGATAAAGAAGGTCTTGTGAAATACATGGCTGAAAAAGTTGGATTGGGTAACTTGTGTTTTGTGTGCAGTTTCCAAGGAAGATCTTTAGAAGCTGCAAGAGCTCATATGTTATCAAAAAATCATTGTAAAATACCTTATGAAAGTGAAGATGAAAAAATGGAAATCTCAGAATTCTACGATTTCACATCAACTTATGATGATTACAAACAAGCCAAAGAAGGTGAAGCTAATGATGGTGATGATGATGGAGAATGGGAAGATGTTGAAGAAGCTTCTGGGGATGAAGATGAAGAAGATGAAGAACTACCACAAGAAGTTTCATACAATGATGGTATTGAATTACATTTACCATCTGGTGTTAAAGTTGGACATCGTTCTTTGGCAAGATATTACCGTCAAAATTTGAGACCTGAGGTTGTCTTATCTGAAGGTCAAGGTACTGTTATTTCAGCTGAATCAAGACATTTAGCTACCGTTCATGACAGAAAACAATTATTGGAAAAGAAAAGAGTATGGAAGAATGAAAAACATCATCAAGATAGAGATGATAGAAGAGCTGCTAAATTTATCAACAATCAACCTCACTATAGAGATCAATTGTTGCAATGATTTTTTCAATTTTTACGCTCTAGTCATTCAAGCACATCAATCACTTTTTGCATCAATCAATTTTTGTTTAATTTTTTAATCTTCTGTATATCATTATCTTACGATTCTGGGTTTTTTTATGTCATATTGGGTATAATATTTGGATATTTTAATTGATTTTATTTTTGAATGTTTCCTGTTCTTATAAACGTAGTGGTTGAGTAACTAAGTAGTTACTAGTACATAATAATAATTTCCGAGCCCTCGGGACCTTCATTGTTTTTTTTTCGTGTCACTTAAGATTCCCGTGTACATCAAGCCTCGACTTTCTTATGACAACAACGTGATTGACTCTAGTATATCGTAAAACTTCTTCACCTCTAGTTCATTGCTATATAAAAAGCAATGAGATGGTATCACATATTGCTTCTGGCTGTCCTTCAAATAGCTGGTCTTCTAGTATTTTGCTTGGGTTTTTTTCCTTCCAAAGTCGTGTTGAAAGGGTTTGGTGAATTTGATAATGGTAATTATGATCCACAATTCAATAAGATAGTTTTCATGGTTGTTGATGCTCTAAGGAGTGATTTCATCTTTTCAGAAGATTCTTCGATGCTATATGTGCAAAGTCTTCTAAGAGAAGGTTCTGCTTTGGGATTCACCGCATATTCTAATCCGCCAACAGTTACACTACCCAGATTGAAAGGTATAACAACCGGGTCAACTCCAAACTTCCTAGATGCTGTATTGAATGTTGTTGAAGAAGACTCATCATCAACGTTGGCTAATCAAGATAGCTGGATTACTCAATTGAAAAAAGCAGATAAGCGTATCCATATGTATGGTGATGATACATGGATTAAACTTTTTCCTTCTGTGTTTGACGAGGTTGATGGTACTGGAAGTTTTTTTGTTTCAGATTTCACAGAGGTTGATAACAATGTTACACGTCATCTTGATCACGAGCTTTCTGAACAGTCATGGGACTGTTTAATTTTACATTATTTAGGCCTTGATCATATAGGACATAAAGGTGGTCCAAAATCTATATTCATGTCACCCAAACAACGTGAAATGGATTCCATAGTGGAAAAAATCCATTCAAAACTTGATGATGACACACTTATGGTATTACTAGGGGATCATGGTATGAATGATATAGGGAATCATGGGGGATCTTCTGCAGGTGAAACGTCAGCAGGACTGGTGTTCATTTCTAATAAGTTGAGGAAATTGAATAGTAACGCTAAAGTACCATTACCAAAAAATGAGGACTTCAAGTTTTTGACAAAGGTTCAACAAATCGATTTAGTTCCTACTATTTCAAATCTTTTACGTCTACCAATACCTAGAAATAACTTGGGTATAATGATCAAGGAGTTTCTTCCTTTGTGGTCAGCTGATCAACAATTGAACTTGATGAAAGAGAACTTAAAAAATTATGAAAACTTGAAAGGTGAAGTCACAAATTTAGAAGACATCAATATGATATATGATTTTTTGATCAACTCACAATCTGGATTGACACAATCTGCTACAAACTATCTAACTGATAAAATGCTCTGTGGAATTGTTATGTTAATTTTTTCCTCCCTTTTTGTTTTGCTTTATCTATACAATACTGTACAGTTGTATTCAATCTGGTTTTACTCTTTAAATATACTTTACGGGATCACAATGTTCGGAAGTAGTTTCGTTGAAGAAGAGTATCAAATATGGTGGTGGTTTGCAACCTTTTTTATTGTGTTTTTATGCTATGGTAGACCCTCGAACTTGCTTTACATCTTGTTTTTAATCAGGTTAGTTAGAGGTTGGAACAATACAGGTCAAAAGTATATTGGTGATACAATTTTCCAGTACTTGCAGGAACACCCGTTTATAAATTGGTTATTGGTATTTTTGACTATTTCTGTTTATGGATTTAGCTTAAATAATGGAGCATTTTCATTATTTAGTCCATTGTTATCATTCTTGATTTCATTCTTACTTTCAATTACTTGCTTCACCTTTAAATTATTGTTTAGTTTGGCCAATGGTGATGAGATACCAAAAGAATTGGTAGGGTTAGCCGCATTCACTATGGAATCTCTTGGTGTTGATAACGCACAGGACAGTTTGATCGATTTAGCAAGAATGTTTTATTATATGGTTCTTGCTGTGCTGGTATTGAGACTGGGCTTGAAATTCAAATCCTATGATTACTGGTTTTTTACTGACCTCCATAATTTATTATCTTTTGTTTTGATTTTTCAAACATCTTTACAAAATATTCCGTTGTTTTTAGTGTTTTTGGGTATCAAACATCAAGTAGGGTTGGTATCAGGAAATTCCATGGGCCTGAAAAAATCTAATAGGATTAGTTTTGTCTCTTTATTTTGCCTCATTTTACAACATTTATCTTTCTTCAGTTTAGGTCAGAGCAATTCATTGGCAACAGTGGATCTTTCAAATGCATATAATGGTATTTCAGGCTATAATATTCTTGCGGTTGGAGTCTTGACTTTCATTTCAAACTTTTCTACACCAATTTTCTGGTCTTTTGGATCTCTTTCCATTTTATTTGAAAACAAAGAGAAACTTGCACCAATAAAATATGAGGTTTTGAAGACTAGGTGGCTTGTATCTACATCTTTCTACACAATAGGTACCACTTTCACATTGATTGCATGTTATGCCTTAAGATATCATTTATTTATATGGACTGTATTTAGTCCAAAGCTACTTTACACTCTAGCTTGGAATTTACTCATGAATGGATTGGTAGAAATTTTGTGTTTATTACTAACCATTTTGCATTAACAACTTTAAAAAAAATATATAGAACTGATTTAATTTTCTTATATTACGATGAGTTGTTGCATCACATACATTATCTGCATTTAATTTATATACAAGTTTTTGGTTTATTTTATCTGTACCATATCACTTCATTTTAGCCATGAAATTACTGTGTTTGATTTTTTGTCTATTACTTTGTCTCATCATCTTTTTAGCATATTTTTCTGGATTAGCTTTAAGGTTTTCTAATTGCTTCTTTGGGTCCAGTATTTCCCATAGCCATTCTGGGTATTCATGATCTTCAAGGGCAACTGGTTCAGCACCTGACTTTTTAACTTTTAAATTTAGCACGGTACCAGCTTCACATGATGATTTGATTTTTAAATTTGATGCTTCTTTAGCTGCTTCTGATTCTGCTCTGAAGACCAAACTGGTAGAGAACTGTCTTCTAGGAATTTGTACAAGGAGTCTTTTAAAAGTGAACATGGTAGAAATGTCTTGAATTTAACAAACAAGCTATTACAACTTTGGCACTGAAACCATTTTTGGTTCCTCTTTGATTAATTTTTCTAGCGATCGGTGACAGTAAATTGTATATAATTCGCGAATATTACCCGATCATATTTCGTGTCCTAACCTCTTTTGAACCGTCAGATCAATTAAACAAAAAATTATAAACAGAGGGTACTTATGATTTCAAAACATCAGGATTATAGAATTTTGGCTGTTGAAATTTATGGTATATTGAGCTTAACATGTCAATTACTGATATAATTTCAAAAAGTGGCTTGTTCAACCGCCTATATGATGCTGCTGCTCAAGGATCAACATTTGATAAAATCGCTTTCAAAAATGAAGATGAGATATTCTTTGCCCATGGATCCACCATCAGATATTTTAAATCTTCAGAGGGTCCTTCCTATTCAGTCTTAAATGTTGCAGGACTTGACTTTGATATCCATGGTCTTCAATTGAACAGCTCGGGTACTCTTTTAACTGCTTACGATGAGAAGAGTATAATTGTCATTTCTCTTTCCTTCAATAGAGCTACAAAGAGTGAAGAAAATGAAATAAAAACAAATTCCTTCAAAATTGGCTCTTCTATTTACAACAAAAGCAACCATATTATACAACTGCTTTGGAACAAACTTTCAAGATTTGATTCATCTCTTTTGGTTCTTTCAAGTGATGGTGCTATCAGAACATTCAACATTAGACTTTCACCTGATCATCCAGACAGCATTTTTGACCTTAAACAAACACACTCAAGAAAAATTGGTCTTTCAGAAAACACAATCAATGATCCAATCTCAATGTGCTTTGGAAATAGTGAGACCTTATCAGGTGCATTGACTCTTTATATTTTGAACAAAGAGGGAGACATATTTGCAATTTATCCATTCGTTTCCAAAGAAGTAGCTGTTTCTAAAGTTTTGGTTGAGGATCTTTTGAATGAGTCATTGTTGTTATCACATAACAGTACAAGAAATGGAGATCTTTCATTGAACGAACAACTTCGTTTTGTCACTAATTTATGGGATCAAGTATCAACTTCACAGAAAGAGCTTAGAGGTACTCGTGAATTATGCATTTTAAAAACAGACGTTTCCAATTACCAAATACAAGGACCGTACGCTATCAAACCATATCCTACAACTCTTTATGAAGACTATGGTTCTAGTATATCAAGCTTCACATTCAAGGATTTACATTTATTATTGATTTCATACCAACAGAATGGGTTTGTGGCTGTTCTCCCTGATCAGAATTTGAGAATGAAGATTAACCAAAATGAAGACCTTTTGGATTCAGACACTCATATCCCAGCTTTATCATTGGTACAACATGTCATGTTTGGCAAATCACTACCTACAAAACTTGGTCGACAACTCGACGATTTCAGTTATGCTGCTATAGTTGGGCACTCCATCATTAGACTAGACTTCACATCCATGGTTGAGGAATTCACCAATACACTCAATAATAATGGCTTTAATGAATTTAACCCACAAATAAATATAGAGGTGGAGCCTATTTTAAGGCTTCAGGAAAACGAATTTTTAGAAGGATTACTGCAGTTAGAGGATACCAACAATCAAACCATGTTACTCTTAACTAACTCAAATATGAGATTCACCACCAATAAAAAGGCATTAAATCCTGATTTTGAAGAGTTTTCTAAGGACACTGAAGAAGGAAATGAACTTCAAGAGCGTTTCTTAAAGGGACCGTATGTTGAAATTGAAAACTTGTTGAGACTTATTGGTACTGTGAATATTTCATCTGGTGCAGCTGATGGCTCTAATATCAGTGCTAATGACCACTTTTTACGTGAATTGAACGCAATTTCAACACAAGCTTTACAACACATTGTTACGTTCCACAAGTTAGCACTCTCTCTTAATGATAGATTAATTAATCAAAGATTGGAATTGAAAAGACAAGTCAAAGATGCGTATGAGTCGACAGAAAGGTTAAAAAAGTTGAAAGAAAAGATTGATTCAAATAAAAAGTCAACCTCACAATTAAGTGAAAGACAGGAAAAAATCGATATCAGGTTCAAGAACCTCCAAGAAAAACTAAAAAATGTGAATGATCTTCCGTTGAGCTCTAAGGAGAGACAATGGTTTAAAGAAGTCAAAAACCTAACTTTATTTTTCAACAAAGGAGTTAAACAAAATAAGGAGTTGAGGGAGCAGTTGGTTTTCATCAAGAATACACTCCAAACGTCATCATCTCATGTTAATTCAGACTCATATACTGATAATAATGATTGGCAAGCATTGAATGATGTTATAAAAGAAGGAAGTCTGCTTCTGAAAAGTACAAAAGAACAGTTAGAAGAAAATTCAGCTCAATTTGGTAAAAACTTGAATGAATCTTACTTTAAATAAAATATGTAACCTACGATATGAATTGAAATCATTTTTTGCATTTTAAATATTAGCCTAAAAATCCGTAACTCTACCATTAAAAGAATAATCACCGTGTCTCAAAGGATCTTGCTTTGGTCCTCCTATTTCACCTGTTTTTGGATTCTTTTCGCCTTCAAACTCTGGAATTGTCTTGAAATATTCAGGTGAAAAGCCTCCGATATCTGTTTTTGCTAAATTAGGAGCATTTATAGTTGTATCTTCTTCAGCTTGAACCGAGCTGTTATACTCATCTATGGCAGCTTGTGAGTTTGCAATTTTTTGTAATCTCTCAAATTCCTCTTGTTCTTCTTTATCAAGTTTAGGAGGTGATGGAGTTGTCCCTAATCCAAGTTTGGATGACATCATACGAGCTCCAGGAGACCTGATAATGGATCTATAGCTCAAAAATCTCAGCATCGTAAAGATTTTATTTCAATCAAAATGACACTTTTTGAAATTAGTATGATCTGATATCTGATCTTGATAACAATAATAGTGTAGTAATAATATTAATATGTAATATATAATAATAATATATAATGATATTAATCGCGCTCATCGCTTACCCGACTTAAAAAAAATAAAATTATAAGATACCAAAAATTTAAAAATATATATGTAATGAAGTAAATCAAAACGGGAATAATATAATCGTTTCTATAACCAGATCTGAACATAATGTCTTCAAATAGTGATGACGTTATTTCTCAAGTTTTTCCCAAAGCTGTTCAGGCTATAAGATCTGCATCTGGTCTTTCAGCTTATGATATCAAGTTTTACAAAAGTTTGGATAAGAATATTTCAGATACAAGTGAGAATTCGTCTAATCGTTTGCTTAAACTAATTAATGTTCTTTCATCATCAGTTGACCTACAGGATAACCAATCATTGAACCAAGATGCTATAGAAAGTGGTTGGCCTCGTGTCAGTAACTTGTTGGATACAATACTAGAAAGATCTGATTTTGCTCTCGATACACTTCAACGTTCTCCAAATCAAAAAGACGAATCACAAAAATTTACATATTTAGATGATGACAATGCCCATAATAAGGGAGCTCATCTTAATAAGAGACAAGAAAAGCCTCAGAAATTTTTCAAAACACCAATCGACAATAGTGAAAGCCATCCATTCAAACCATTATTAAAAGAAAAACCTAATGCTATGGTTCCTTTCCAAGAAACTTTCATATTAACCACTGAAGAAGAAAATGATCCTGCGCATTATAAACAACCTTATGAAATTGAGATTTTAAATCAAGAATACAATTCTAAAATATTAGAAAAAAGTGATCCAATACCTTCTAAGGACTGGCAAGGAACAGAACCGATCTGGGTTGATACAATTGAAGAATTGAACAAAATGCATAAAGATTTACAGTCTGTATCTGAAATAGCTGTTGATTTAGAACATCATGACTACAGATCATACTATGGGTTGGTCTGTCTTATGCAAATTAGTACCAGAGATCAAGATTGGCTAATTGATACGTTAGCATTGCGTGAGGATTTAAAAATCTTGAATAGTGTTTTTACTGATCCTAAAATTACCAAAGTGTTCCATGGTGCTTTTATGGATATTATTTGGCTACAAAGAGATTTAGGTTTATATATTGTTAGTCTCTTTGATACATACCATGCTTCCAGGCAGTTAGGTTTTCCTAAACATAGTTTAGCTTACCTTTTGGAGAGATTTGCACACTTCAAAACTTCTAAGAAGTATCAATTAGCAGACTGGAGAATTCGTCCTTTGACTGGACCAATGAAATTATATGCTCGTTCTGATACACACTTTCTTTTGAACATATTTGATCAATTAAGAAACATGCTTATTGAGTCTAATAAATTAACAAACGTCTTGTTCGAATCCAGAAATGTCGCTAGAAGAAGGTTCGAATATAGCTCATTTAGACCACTGGCCAGTACCAATGTTGTATCCCCAATTGAGAAACCAGAACCTTGGAAAAGCTTGTTGTACCAATACAACCTTTCTGCCTCTAGAGAAGCAGTGGTTCGTTCGCTTTATCAATGGAGAGATCAAATTGCTAAGCAAGATGATGAATCACCAAGATATGTGATGCCAAATCAATTACTGGTATCTTTGGCTTCTCTGGTGCCGACTGATCCAGCTGGAGTTTTATCATCAAGCAATTTAATTTCTGATCATGTTAGAAAAAACGCCAAAGAGATTTCGGAACTTATAAAAAGATCGATGAAGGAAGCTGAAGAAGAAGATATGTATCTTTTAAACAATATTTCAGAAAAGTTTGAGGAGAAAGATACCATAAATGAAGATAAAATAGAATTTTCAGAGGCGGCATTCAACTCTGAGCTTCAAAGGCTAAAAACCAATTTACCAAGCTCAAAATATGGAGGTTCATCTGAGCTATTTTCATTAAGCATTTTGGAAAATAATTATGTCAACAACATTATCAACTCTGAGGGTAACTCTAACTCATCTACGGAAATGAAAAAGAGAATCAATTTGATACGGGAATCTTTATCATTTAGATACAATCCTACTTCTCACCACGGTGATGATGATACATCCAATAAAAGTGAAGGTCAACTACAAAAAGAAAGCGATGTGAATATCGAGGATGCATCAACTGATGAAAAATCAGCTTCCATGTTTAGCAATCCTGATGATATTGTTGTGTTGAAAAAGAAACAAGCCCACTCTCGAAATAATACTGCCAAAAAGGATAAAGATTCTGAAAAGAAAGAAGTGCTCAACTATGAAGATGCCAGTAAAGTGATGAAGAAAAAGCCTTTTGAAAAAGCTAATAGAAAAAGAAGTTCAAGTACCTTTGATCCATATACTTTGGAATCTGAGGGGCCAAAACCTGTCAAAAAACTTCCAAAACTACAAATGGGTAAAAATACGTCATTTTTCAGTAAGAAGAAAAAATAAAATGGGGGTAAACTGTGTATAGGTAGTTATAAAACTTTATAAAAGAATCCATTTAAGGTTTATTACAAGTAATTTTTAAGTTCTTTCAATCTCAAAACTGCCTTTTCCAATGTCTCATCATCTTTACAAATTGCAAATCTTAACAAGTTTTCAGCAACATGTTCATGTTCCTTGATATAAAATTCAGTTGGTGGGATAGCAACAACACCCAATTCTTGAATTAACCAGTAAGCTGTTTTGAAATCTTTGGCACGATTTTGAAGGTCCTCTGGGTATTCATAATTTTCTGGTATTTTTACTTTTGAAAAGTCAACAAGTAAGTAATACGCACCTTCAGCAATTGTGTATGGAATTCCCAAATCATCCCAAATTTTTGTAAATATTTCATACTTTTTGATGTATTCTTGACGAGTATTTTCAAAATAATTATTTTCTAATGCCTTATTTAATGAGGTTGCAGTAGCTTCTTGGAGAGGTGCTGGAGTTGAAAAGCAAATTCTTGTATGTGCTAAAGATGCATACTTTAACAATTCTGGATGGCCAATAATCCATCCGATTCTCCAACCTGTTGCAGCAAATGACTTACCACCAGAACCAACTGTCAATGTCAATCTTCCAATCTCAGGTGATAGGGTAGCAATTCTTGTGAATTCAGAAGTGTAGTAGAGATTTTCATAAACTTCATCTGAGATAATCAAAATATTGTGTTTGACTGCGATTTCACCAATTTTTGTTAATTCTTCTTTTGTAAATACCTTCCCGACAGGGTTATGAGGTGTATTCAATATAATGATTTTGGTTTTATCTGTGATCGCTTCTTCAAACTCAGCAAAATCAATCTTCCAATCTTGACCTCTGACATTGCGCTCAGAAATCTCTTTTGGTGGGTGGAGAGGGACATAAACAACTTTTCCACCTGGTATTTCGATATTAGAAATGTATTGGTCAAAAAATGGCTCGAAAACTATGACTTCGTCCCCTTTCTCTAAGAATCCCGTTAAGATTGTAAGGATAGCTTCATTGGCACCAGTTGTGACCAAAATTTCATCTGTTTTTAACTCTCTGCCATAGTGTTGAGAGTATGTTTTAGCCAATGCGTTCAAAAGATTTGGTTTACCTTTGGTATGGGCGTACTGGTTGTATGCTGGAACATCTAAAGCTTCCTTGGCAGCTTCAATTGCAAAACTTGGAGGTGAATATGAGAAGAAACCCTGGCCTAAATTAATAATCTCTCTTGATGATGTAGAAGCAGCTTTAGCAGCAGCTTCGTTGATTAATGACCAAACATCTTTTCCTGAAGCCTTGAAATAAGGATTGTGTGACGGGAAGTTAGTGCTCATTCTTCTTTGTGATAATCTCTTAAAGCAGTTTAGAGTATTTTTAACTAACATTAATTAATTGCTAGCTCAAATTTTTTTTTGAGGAAAGCATGGTAATTTATAACTTTCCAATCTTTTGATCCTTTATCAACGAACCGGGAGATATTGTGGATTGTGGCTCCGGCAGAAACAACAAATAGCTCTCTACACGTGATCCTGCAGAAATAATTATGGTGAAAAGTGAGAAGACTGATAACTGATAACCATGATGATAGCCACGGTCCACGATATTATAATCAATTGTATATGATTCTTGATATATTTAACTTTCTCTGAAATACACGTGAAATGAACCCAATTGCAGAGTATCAATTAGATCAAATATCAACTACAAGAATACGTTAACAATTCTCAAATTCATGAATGTTCCTAAATAAATTAGAAATTTTGATTTATTGTTTAGTCTTACCATCTTATGATGTTGATTCATTACAAACTTTAGAAGATAAATATCAAGATTTTAGAGTTGATAAATATCCATTGAAAAGATTATTAGGTTTTGTACTGTTTTAGATTTATAATCTTTCGACCAATTCATGAAATTAAAAATTAAATCATTCATATCATAATATAATTTATTTTGACTATAATATAATTAATTAATTATATTAATTTATAATTTTGAAATATTCAATTACCAAAAAATTGCCAATTATATTACGTCGTCAAGGATATATATATTTTAAGCATCATATATATTTAATTATAAGCTGTATAATTATTTATATATAAATAATATTATAATATATATATATATTAAAGTCCAATATATATATATGATTAAATTTATAAATTTATATATATATATATATATTATATAGATTGTTAAATATCTTTATATATATATTTTCAGAAGCATTATAGCCGACCAAACTAGTGGTCTAATATTTCACTATATATTATATTAATATATACTTCTAGATCTCGAAAACTTCAGTTATAATCTTATTATAGGCGTAATTAATTGTGCTTATTTATTTAAAGTATTCCCAGTACAAATTATTAACCTGAATTTTATTCACCAATTGGTGGAATGACATCAAGTATACTATTATGCGTTATAGTGTTATATAGTATGTGTAATATGTATTCGAGATTCGAGAAGGATTGGAATTAAAGCTGCTTTTGGATCGGGATTTTTTAAGGACCGACTTGTGCAGATATGCAGGATGATTCATCGAGTCGAAATCAGATGGAACCTGATTCCAATTTCCAACTTATAATTATAAATATATAGCGAACTTCTGAATTTTGCAAGCCATTTACTGGTACTACTTTGGAAAACTAAAACTAGAGGTCATAACTCAAAAATAAAATGCTTGGTAGAAAGGGCGTACGTCATTTAATTTCCATCAGTGATCTTACAAACAAAGAGTTTGAAGTCTTAGTCAACAAAGCTCAAACTTTCAAACAAATTTATAAGAATGGATCACCACAAGAGTTTGCCTCTAATCATCAAAAACTCTTAGGGAAAACAGTTGCTTTGGTATTTTCCAAGAGATCCACTAGAACCAGAATTTCATCGGAAGGTGCTGCTGCCTTTTACGGTGCTACCCCTATGTTTTTAGGTAAGGATGACATTCAGTTAGGCGTCAATGAATCCTTTTATGATACTACAAAGGTTTTGTCATCAATGGTCTCTACTGTCTTTGCAAGAGTCAACTCACACTCAGAAATTCAACAATTGGCTGAACATTCATCGGTTCCAATCTTAAATTCATTATGTGATACTTATCATCCTCTACAAGCGATTGCTGATCTCTTGACAATTAAGGAGGCATTCCAAGATACAAAAGGGTTAAAATTGGCGTGGATTGGTGATGCTAATAATGTCATAAATGATTTAGCTATTGCTTCATTGAAATTAGGTATCAATGTTTCTGTTGCTACTCCAATTGGGATTGAAATGGATAAAAAGATTTTACAAACAGCTGAAGAAGTTAGTAAAGAAACCGGTGCTAGTTTTGAACACACACACGATCCAAAAGCCACTGCAACCAATGCAAACATATTAGTAACTGATACTTTTGTCTCCATGGGTGAAGAATCAGAGACTGCTAAAAAATTGAAACAGTTTGAAGGGTTCCAAATTTCTGAAGAACACACAAAATTGGCTAATAAAGATTGGAAGTTCATGCACTGTCTACCTCGTCACAAGGAAGAAGTCACTGATGAAGTTTTTTATAACAAGAATTCATTAGTTTTTGAAGAAGCTGAAAATAGATTATATGCGGCTATTGCAGCTTTAGAAGTATTTGTTGTGAATAAAGGTGATTTCTCAAAATAGGTTCATTCATATGTACATATTTTACTAAATGTTACGTTTTTTGAGTACTTATACGTATATTCTGAGAATTTGTAAATAAATCGTCTTTTGAATACCCAATACTATCTATTTATACTCAAAAGTTGACAATGACAGGCAACTGTTTCAAAACAGGCTCATCATCGAAATGTAAAATATGCACACCGTTATCAAAAGAACCTTGATCATCAAATTTACTAGCATCTTCAGCTAAACTATTGGAAAAGAAGGGCTTGACGCCTTCTGACAATAATGCGTATGTTATATGAGGAAACTTATTTGCTGATTTAACACTTAGCTCATTGCTAGAACCATCACGATATATGAGTGAAATATCCACCAAGACTGTTGCTATCATATCATTCCATATCAAACTTTTGAGCTTCAAGTCAGCGCTATATCCTAGAAGGTTACCTTTTGATTTTCTATTTTCAAAAACATTGATGTACTTTGACCATACAAACTTTTCAAGTTCATTTCCTCTTTTAGCTTGAATGCAATGTGCTAATGTAACATGGAATTCATTCATGAGTTTAGTTTTCAAGAGGTCACCGAAAGATTTATCAACATTAGCTAAACTTCCTTTTTGAATAAGAAGATCTTGAATTCTGGAGGTGACCACTGCTTTGTTTGGGATATCAATGCTGAAATAAACAGGTGGTTTGACTTTCATTCTTTTCGTAGGATTTCCAATATTTGATGTCTCCTTTTCACCAGTTGCCTTCTTCTTATTAGCCTTTCCCTGTCCCCCAGACTTTCCCATGACTTTATGATACGAAGGTTTATAATTCAATGCACTGGAAAAAGCAGATTCAATGATTCCAGACGCTGGTAATTCACCAATAAGAACCGGATACTTATCTCTTAAGTTGTCCAAAATTTTCAAGACATTTTCATAGGAGGACCTTTCTCCAGTAGAGTCTAAGTCAATTACAGAATTGAAATTTGAGTCTGGTTCTTTCTCCTGAACCACAGGTTGAAACCTTTTAACAAAGCCAGACATTATTCCTTTGACTTTTGCTGATTCAGTCTCAGCTTTAATTGATTGGTGATTATCTCCTCTTGCAATTACTCTATTGTATGTTTTTTCCCACACCTTATCAGTATCACAGTCATCTGGAACAAAATTTAAACAAATAAATTGCACATTTGTGTCATGAGGTATATAATCATCACGGAACTCAGCAAAATCTTTAAAAATTTGATCCCTTTCTCTGAACTGATGGTTATTTCTATCCATTATAACGACCTTATTTGTTTTCAGACCCTCCAAAGCTTTCTTGACAAACTGATGCTTTGCCGCCTTTCCACTTGGAATATCATCATTTGACACCAGAGACCATTCATCACTATAAATATTCACCAAGGTCTGTGAAGTGGTAGTTTTCCCACATCCGATAGTTGCAACAGGTATAATGACGAATTTAGTGTTTTCATCAATCTTCAGACTTTTCATTGAATTCACAACTTCCAATTCATCAAGTAGTTCTTGGTTCAGAATTTCTGGACCCGATTTACCATAGCTTTCTAAGAACCTATTTCTAAGCTCAATGATCTTGAAACCTGAATTATAATTTTCAGCAAGCTTCGGGTCTTCCTCTAACAATGGTATGACGAAATCTAAGTATTTATTTGTTATAAATCTATGTTTTGAAAATTTAATTGATAATCTATCTTTATGACTGAGATATTCTTTTGTGACTTCTCTCCACTGTCTATACATCAAATAAGGTTCCTCAAACTTGAATTTGAAAAAATAATCCTCTTCTTTGAGCTTCGTTGTTTTTTTACATCTTATCACAAAACCTTCAATTTCTTTACCATTATAACATCCACTCAAAGAGTACTCAGTGAGTCTATTTTTCAAGCTTGCAATATCCTGAATAGTGAAATGATCCACCGTTTTGAAGCCATAAACACCAGCGAAGTCACTGACTTCTTCAATGGAATAAGTCTCAAAAGATGGTTTATTCAAGTTGAGCCCGTGAAGATATAAACCAGCGCTATCACTTTTATATTGGATAATGTGCTCTTCAAAATCATCATCACAGAATTCAGCGACAGCAGTGACATTTAGATCATACAACTTGAGAGCAAGATCTTTCGTAGATAAATTTCTCAATTTTAACTGATGCTCCAGAAACTTTTGTCCAGCAATAGCATGGTTTTTTGTACCATCCTGTCTATCACCAGTGGAATGCTTGCTGCATACAACAATTGTTCCATCCCTGAGCCCTGAGATTAATATGATACAACCATTTTCCTTTGCTGTAACTTGATAAGGCCCTTTAGTATTAGACTCCAGCCATTCCCAGCGAGTGATAGGTACCTCGTTGATATTGAAAAATTTATCATATCCTCTAACAGCAATTCTAGGTTCATCAGCCAAAGTAAAGAGACCTCTTGCGTTTGATGGGAGCTCTATTTTATCTTTTGCATAGTCCCATTCATTGAATTTCCAACTAACAATCTCTTTGTCACTATTCAATACTTTGTAAATCCTTTTTGTAGCCTTTCCCCTTTTCTTTAAGGTAGTGGCCAGCTCCAATTTTTTTATCAGCTCATTGACTTCTTCTTGATCTGATAACTTCTCTTGTCCCATATCGAGTAAAAATGTGATCTTCGGCTTGTATTGTTTTAATTGTTGAAGTCGTTATTCAGAAAAAATTTAGTACTTGAAAAATATTATTTAATTATATATGGTATTACGTAATATAAACGCGCGCTGTATAGCTGTGAACTGAGATATATTTTACCGATCTGTTAAAACTTCGTTACATCAAACAAATCGTTAGACAACCATGCTAAAACATTCACTTACACACTCAAATCATTATGGACTAAGGTTGATTTATTTAGAAGCTTCAATTCGAAAGCCTTATTCACTTTAGCGCTCCTGAGAAGCGTCACGGAGTTTGTGCACTATGGATGGTGTGAGGTGTGAGTCGTGACTGTGGCTTTAGGTTATCCTAAAATGATAACGGTGGCATCAATATAAAGTCGAGGAATTCTTTGAACTAAAAAATTAACCTAAAATTCACATAACTGAGATGGTGATAAAGTCTGACTGATATTCAACTAGAATATGATAATCAAATCACTAAAATGTGGGCTCAACTCTATTGGTAGAGCGTCACATTCTTTCAGACCACAAAGAGCTTTCCTCAGTCAAAATCGGATCTTTTATCAATCAAAAAAATCGTCTCTCGAGCATATTAATTTCTCAACGAGGGCAAACTTTAATAGTTATTTCATAGGTGCAGCTCTGTTTGCTACTGGAGGCTTTGTTTCTTATGGAATTTTCCAAGGTTTTGATAGAAAGGTGAAAAATGACAAGTCCATAACCAAATTGAACACCCTTGATCCAATTAAATATGGTAGTTTGTCAGATTTAAAGAAAGCATTTCAAGAGATCGAGCAGTATTTGGGCCCAGAATTCGTCACACGAGCTGATTCAGAAATTGAAAATCACACAGACTCTTATTATCAAACACATCATCCGCTCCCTGGCCAACGCCCCAAACTCATTGTTTATCCAAAAGATACAGAACAAGTATCTGGTGTTTTAAAAATATCCCATAAGTATAAAGTCCCAATTGTTCCATTTTCAGGTGGGACATCTTTGGAAGGTCAATTCATTGCATCAAGAAGTGGGATCACCATTGATTTAAATAGGCTAGATAAAGTCCTGGAGTTGAATGAAGATGATTTAGACGTTGTTGTACAGCCTTCAGTTCCATGGCAAGATTTGAATGAGTATCTTTCTCCTTATGGATTGATGTTTGGCCCTGATCCTGGTCCAGGTGCACAGATTGGTGGTATGATTGGTACTTCTTGTTCCGGTACTAACGCTGCCAGATATGGGACCATGAAAGATAATGTTCTTGGTCTAACAGTGGTTTTAGCAGATGGGACTATTGTCAAAACCAAAAAGAGACCAAGAAAATCTAGTGCTGGATATAATTTAACTGGTCTTTTTGTTGGTAGCGAAGGAACCTTGGGTATTGTCACAGAGGCCACGCTCAAACTTCACGTCAAACCAGAAGAGGAAACAGTAGCTGTCATTAATTTCGACACTATAAAGGACGCAACAAATTCAGTTTCTTCCATTGTTCGCAAAGGTATTCAGGTTAATGCTGTTGAATTTTTAGACTCCAATATGATGAAATGTATCAATGATGTGGGTTCCACTTCAAAGACATGGCTTGAAAAACCGACTCTAATGATTAAAATTGGTGGATCAAAAAGTATTATTAAAGAACTAGTTGGTACTATTAAAGAAATTACAACTCAAAATAATTCTACTAGGTTTCAGTTTGCAAATGACGAAGAAGAAAAGGCAGAATTATGGTCTGCTAGAAGATTTGCACTTTGGTCTACCATAGATTGGGGGAAAACTCATATAGATCCAAATATTAAGGTTTACATAACAGATGTTGCAGTTCCTATATCAAAGCTTTCGAAAGTTATTACAGAAACTCAAGATGATATTCTAGCAAATGGTTTTAATTCCACCACTATTGGTCACGTTGGTGATGGTAATTTTCATGCCTTAGTGTTATATAAAGATGAAGAGAGTGATAAGGTCAAAAAACTGGTCGGTAGAATGGTGGATAGAGCTATAAATAATGACGGTACATGTACTGGTGAACATGGTGTTGGTGTCGGTAAGAGAGAATACCTGCTAAAAGAAGTTGGCGAGGATGCCGTTGACACAATGAGACATATCAAGCTCGCTTTGGACCCTTTACGTTTGTTGAATCCTGATAAAATTTTTAAAATAGATCCTTCTGATACAAATGAGCATTAAGCATACTGTTTATACTCTGTTATATAAACAAATATAGACCCCAATGATGATAAAATATAGAATGTTATATAAATAAATATATAGTATAATTTTCTTTGAGAACTAAGACACACATTCACTTTATCTTTTAACCCCAATCTCAATATAGGGTGGAATTCATTCTGTAACAGAATGACACTAAATATAAACGAATATTGAGCTCACTAACTACACCAATGAAAGATAATGAAGCCTTGTACATTTGTCTTGCTCCTACTTTCAAATAGTTAACACGGTTTTTTTGATTATTAAAATAAAAGTATAGGCCATATATTTTGAAAGCTCCAAAAGTACATCTAATTTTAAGAATAATAGAAAAACAAACAACTAGTACTCAATTTAGGAAATACTGATTCAATAGATATCTACCTTGTTTACTAACTTCCTTTCACCAAATAAAACACACAACTATATGCATGGTCATACCATTTGAAAAGCTTGTTTTTTCTTTACATTTGGTCATTGAACATTTGTTATAAGTTAGAGAAATGGGAATAAAGAATATTAAATTATCTATTGTTTATACTCTTGGTTTCTTTCTCATTTACACTCCATAAAGTTACATTTCCTAATGATTTTCCACAGATTTTTGTTTGCAAGATGCAAAAACAAAGGAACCTACCGAAAAAACTTTAATATATAAAATTCTGGCTAGCCAGTTGTTCAACACCCCGTGCACTATATTGCTAAGGCGTTATTTTTCAAGCGTTGTAATACTCATATAACTGACCCTGGTGTAGAATAAATTGAGCTGGATAGAGAAAAAAACAAACGTCAATGAATGTGTGTGTTTATATGTGGTGTGTTAATTCAAAACACCAAGTCTGGTACATTCTTCTGCAATGAGTAACATCGGCCCTAGCACCAGTAATATCAACTAATAATGTATTCTCTTTAAACATGACATATAGCTTATGAAGTCGTTTCACTCCCCCAGATCTGATATGCTTCTATAAAAAGTTTAACGATAGATTCTAATTTGAAACACTATGCCGGAATAACTTTGAATAATAAAAAGGTATGATTCAACATTTCTAGAAGCTTTGCATAATATATACATTGAAAAAATACAACAGTGAACAATGCGCTTGAGGTTATAGTGCAAATTATTTTGATAAAGTGTTTGCAGGTCCTCTTTCGAGCTTCAGTCTCTGAATTAGCAAAATAACCGCTACCAACTTGTTTGCTCAATTTCTTTTCATTTGAGGTTGCAGAAGAAGAAAAATGTATGGATTAATTAAATGCTGTTAAAGATCGAGGGATAAATTAAGTAAAATGAGAAATGTAAATTCAAGAAGAAGAAATTTAATCGAATGTTATATAAAGGGTCCAGATTGTGTATTAGACATATGGCTAAGTTTTGTATAACTTTAATATAGTGCTTGTAAAAAAATAATGTCTGTATCAGCTACGATCTTCAACCTGGAACAGTAAGTGTGTGCATCCATGATAGGGAATGATAGTAGGAGTTGAGGAATTTTACTCTTATTACTTTCGAATGTACATTTCATTAGTGCAGAACAGTGAAAAACAGAACGACTTGATTGGGTCTCTGGCATGTTCACCAAAATTAAACATTTACTAGCGTGACCGAGGGGAATTGAGTCTTAGAAATCAAAAAAGACGCTAAGCTTGCCAGAAACTTGTTCACTCTATAACTACCAATAGTTGATGAAAATATATTTCTGATATAACTTTTTACCTGAGGAATGAACATATGTGATTTGATACTCAAAGGAAAAACTGTAACTTCCTAATTTATATTTGTTGTAGAATTGAAAGGGTTCTTGCTACTCTTGCTACTTTGCTTCACTAAAATGGTCGTCTAGCTTCAGATAACAGTTGATAGCTCTTCTTCCTTAGCTACACGGCGAACCATGCTCGTCTATTCAGATTGTGTACATTATTTTCTTTTCATCTGAATCATATCCTTAACTACGATTCTAGTGTTATATTAGTAAAGGTTGATTAAGGTTAGACATGAAATTATGACAAGAAAATAGACAAATTGCTGATACCTCAATATAGTATCTATTACCACTTCTGTCATATGCTGTCCGCCGAAGAATCTTGCAAATACAAGTTTGATATTTAATATGTGCAGTACTAACAAGGGTGATAATACGATGTTCAACTCCAATTTGATTTTGCTGCTGGCCGCGATCTACAAATACCAAGGGTAGATGTGAAAGTATAGTGTGAGAATAGTGTCAGTATAAATAGTGTCGTGTGATGTTAGTTATAGAAAAAGAAATAAATATGCATGATCTAAAAGATATCTTATATGTATGATCTAAAGTTGTGTGATATTGAGGCAAAGGAAAAGAGAAAAATGGTATGAATAATAGAATTTGTTAAAGATCAAGTGATAAATTAAATTGTCAATTAAAAAAAAAGATATCTAATAGAATGAGAATATAAAGAGTTCAAATTGTCTATTAGTTATATACTTAAGTTTTTTATAAGTTTAATATAGGGTCTAAGTGTTAGAAAATGTCGTCATTAGTAGGATTGATCTCTAACCTCCAACAAGAACAATGTCGGTAGTAGGTATGATCTCCTACACCTTCTTTGCTAATAATCGGCATTCATGTTAACGCTGATGATTCGAAAGAGTGTCTTCGAATAACAGAAAATAGACAATAGCGATGTATTCCTGTTGACAAATTGCAATGTCTCCCGTATGGTTTCATACTCACCTATAACTCAGAGCAGCAACAATTAATAGAGGTTAAAATTGTTGTGGGTTAGAGATCGTACCAGATATTGTACTCAGTTTTATATACCAAACTCTATATTAAACTTATACAAAACTTAACTAATAACTAACAGACAATTTGAACTCTTTATATATTCATTTATTCTTCTAATCTTTCTTTTACAATTTCCTTTCATAGTATATATCTTGTTTAACCATTTATACTCAATTCGTGCATAACAAATGTATAATCTATAGTATATATCAAAACCATTTATAATCACATTTATTTTGATAACGGATCCTAACATTCAACAAAAGTTAATAGAGGTTAATGAAAAGATCAAGTGATGAATTTAGAAATTTGTATATTTAGAAGGCGAAATTGTTTGATGTAGTGCTTTTCAGATTGAAACTTCAGTGTAAGTAACAAATCATGGTCCCGGATACCTCAATTGTAACTCGTTGAGCATACATAAACATAAATATTTTATTTTATATATACATTATATATTTACGTCAATAGGTGGTTGTAATAGTAGACTGAAAATAGAAATGATACTGATAAGAGAATATTTGTTAGACTTTAGCGATACAATGCATAAGTATTTCGTTTAAAAGGTTGCTGAAGACATAGGTTTAAAGTTATAATGATATGTTGGCATGCTTTCTTAAAATATATCTGGAACAGCATTGATTTCGAGATTGGGAAAAGGATGTTCGTGATAGTTGTGGCGTTTTATTCAGGTGGCTTTGTAGATGTTGTACCATTTGAATAGTCTATATTACAGAACATCTTACCTATCTTCAATTAAAGCGAAGTCCAACACCAATCATGAGCTTGAAATATGGCTCTTTTTGAAAAACCAGCTTCTATGTGTAGTTGATTCCCCAAAAGGTTCTATTTTGAATACATATTTTCAGTAAAAAGATATTTTTGGTTCATTCGGGACTTAATTTGACTTCATCATTAACAATTATGTATGATACTGCTTGTGTGAACGATGTTAAGCATAGATTTGGATGAAGCTACATTCGATATATTATTTATTAGATGTGCTTAAAGTGCCTGATTAACTACAATATGTGTTATAAGGTACATCTGCATCTCTAGTCTAATATTGTATCGAATCATGAATGCACTGAAGGTTCAAATGAACAGGCTTTTGTTTTTCAGATGTAATAGTGACATGTTTTTCCATAAACAATCTAGCTTTATTTTAATGAGAATTTTCAATGCCACAACCATTGTGTCTCTGGTACTGTTTTTATCAAATTTGTAGATGTATCTTATGAATCTGGTTAGCTCATACTTGTTATTGTCGTGACTGATAATAACGATCTGGATCTATTTGTATGGTCACTAAATTTAGCAGTATTGACCTTCAACTAAAATCTTCAACTTTAGGAGGACCACATAACAAAACAATCTAAGATGAGCATCAGATAGAGCCAATAACTCTTTCAATTAAGTCACTTTGCCTGTCGTGATGTAGTCACCTCAAACCGATATCTTGTAGCATAATCCGAAAGTATGATAAACCAGAAGCCTTAAATCACGCTTATATCAATAGAAGATATTAATGAAAGCCAGATCCCATATCATTAACAGAAAGCGTCAAGTTTCAGTCAGAATGAACAGTCACCAGAAGCCAACAAAGCAGCCAAGGTAATGTGAATCATAGGGTTAACATACACTGCTTGTATTATACCCAAAATCAGGAGAAAATATATTGAGTAGAAACAATGACTAACGAGCTCCCTTTTGTAATATCCCAAAGAACTAAAGCAATCATCTATGAGTATGCGAAGTGATCACTTAAAGTGACCTTGACATGTGGTGTATTTGATCTAATCAGGATTTCGATGATGATTGAATCTTGATCAAAAAGGGGAAAGAAAGAAATTTGAATTTCTTGGAATTTTGTGTCAGTTTATCATAAAATCACAAAGCCATACACCCAGACATCACATCTAAGTGACACAAAGACGAAGTATTACGGATTTCAGTGCTCTGATGTATATGAATGGTTTCAAAGGATTAGTTCGATGAAATTGGGTGGCTTGAGGTGTATTGGTGTATTTAACTAGCGACAGTTCTGTTATTTTATAATACACTTTTGTGAAAGACATAACTAGCCCACCCTCCAAAATTTAGCTAATGTTATTCAAATTAAAAATATATAAAATAAGCAATTAATTATATAAGATGACAGCTTAACATGATACGGAATTAGAGGACCTATATGAAATGTGAATACATACTTTATGTAGAATATAGAAAAGCAGAAAATAATAAATCCTATGAACTTTATGAACCATCAAAGTGGAAAGCTGAAGTTACGCCTTCAATTGTTAAAAAACCTTCAAAATAAAACTCTTTCATGAATACTAAAAGATTTGAGGCAATTCAATTGAATCATATACGCTATAAGCTTCATTCAATACATCTAAAATTGTAGTGCAACTTCAATTTGGAGCAAATTGTGTATTTAGTGTAGTATGATAATCGTGTACTTTATATTGGCTAATATTGAAGCTGCTCATTGATAACTATAACATTTCAATATCATGTTTGTCTTGTGTATTTTTTTGGATTCATTATTCAGCCACTTTAAAATCTGGTGTTTTTGTCATATTGTTTAGATCAACCTCCCATTCTTCCATTCTCTTGTCGTTATCTCTTCTTTCTACTTTGAGTTTTTCGAGTTCTTCTGATAATTCACTTCTTCGTATCTTTAAGCCATCAATGACTTTCTTCAGTCTATTAGACTCATCTTCAATAGAAACACCATCCACAAGTTTAACCTTTGGAAGAGTTGTGCGTTTTTCCTTCGGTACGTTCATTATAGTACCACTTTTAAGTTTCGTGGATACCCAATCTTCATTGTCACTAGTCAAATCACTTAAAAACTCACTATCACAGCTAGTTAGTATCACCCGTTTTTATAAGTTTATTTTATAAAATACTCACGGTTCATCTGATATGTTACCTGATCCAATATTTTGATTCTGTAAAACAAGCTTCTCGTTCCCTTCTAGAAGCTTTCCTTCTTGGTTTTCTAAATGTTCTTGAGAATTCCAATTTCTCTTGAGGCTTTCATTAAATTCTTCTAGTTCTATGAAACTATTGGAATTTTGAAATTCATCAGTTTTCTCAAATTCCTCAAGGTCATTTTGATTCAAGATCTGCCCAATCCCGTGTTCATGACTCTCTGTATGAGGTAGGTGTTTATTAATTATCGTGGTGTCATCTTTATTTGCTTTCATATAACTCCCAATAGTACCATCTATTCCTTTCTCGGTGTGAGATGGTTCAGGATCACTTAACTGGCCATCACCAAATACTTCGAAGTTGGGCAGCTTCAAAGAACTACTCATGCGGTCTCTTTTCCTCTTTTGAATTGAAATGTCCTTGAGAGCCTCGTTTTGGTCATCCTTGAGATTGTCAGTAGCTGGAATAAGGATCACTATGAAGTATTAATATAACTTACCTCTTCTTGTTCTTGTGTATTCACGCTCATTTTGATCTTTGGTTTGATTTTGCCCTTCTTTTGAACTGTTTCGGAAGTTAGAGATTCTCTTCTTTATTCTCCCCCAAATTTATGTACTTACTTGGCTTTCTGTTGCTTATTGTTTCTATATCCTCATCACTCGACTCATTTTGTATAACTTTAGCTTTGGGTCTCCTAAAAGACATGATTTGACACTTTAAATATTACATGGTTTCAAGTACAATTTGTGATCAGCTTCGAAAACCTTAAAGGTCTTGATTTTAAAAGAGATGACAACCGGACACCATCGCGGTGATGTTTACAAAAAAAAAATTAAAAAACTCTTTAATACTTTAAGGTGATATCAACTTTTAGGTCAACCCACTTAATTTTCTTCTTTCTAAACCAACCTTTTTTCAAAAGTAAGGAATACTCTAATATGTCCTCCACAAATGAGCAAGCAGCTAAAAAGCTACATCAGGCTATGATAGAGGAACCTGAAAATACACTTTTCACAGAACCAGAACTTAGGAAGATAGCTGAGGTTGAAAGTGCTGCAGATTTGATGGTTATAGTTCAAGTATTATTAAATCAAAGTCTCGTGAAATTAGTGAAGCAAAATGGTGAATTAAGATTCCAAGCTGTGGAGATCCAAGAAGCAGCTAAAAGAGCAAATATGACATCTGATGAATCAATCATATATTCATATATTGAAGCATCAGGAAGAGAAGGTATTTGGACCAAGACTATAAAGGCTCGTACAAATTTACATCAGCATGTTGTTCTCAGATGTTTGAAGTCACTAGAAGGTCAAAGATTCATTAAAAGTGTTAAATCAGTCAAATTTCCAACTAGAAAGATATATATGTTATACCATTTAACACCATCAATTGAGGTTACCGGTGGGCCATGGTTCACGGATGGGGAATTAGATTCAGAATTTGTTGACAGTCTACTAACAATTGTTTGGAGATTTGTTACAAACAAGACATTTCCAAATATTTTCAACGATGATGCAAATTTGAAAAAAAACCAACTGTATGCAGCAAATTATAAAAATTACTCGACTTTGGAAGAAATTTTAGAGTTCATCACTAGAAGTCAGGTCACCTCAGAAGAATTAATTGAAAACGATATTAGATCGCTTTGTCAGGTTCTAGTTTATGACGATAAACTGGAGAAGCTCAATTTAGATTGTTATAGATCAACATACCAAAGTGTTGTTGACTTAAAAGAGGAAAGATTAGATGAAGGGTTTTCAATTTTTGATGCAGCTAGTTATACTGCTCCATCTCAGGAAGAAGATACAGAGAATGTATACTTTGATGAATATGTGCTATGAAATTTACGAAATTACATTGTTAATAGAAAACATGTCAATAAAAGTTTGATAATTATTTAAAATTCATATAACCATGAAAATAGAACTATTTCATAATAATTTTATTACCAGAATCAAGATTATAACTTCAATTCATATTCTCCTTTCCATCTTTTTTCAGCAGTTTCCCAGTTTAGAACATCGAAGATTTTTTTAGCATATTCACCCTTGTTATTATAATATTGAATATAATAAGCATGTTCCCAGAAATCAATTCCAATCAAAGGAGTATATTTTGAAGGGACTGGATCTTGATTTGGAGAGGAGTATAACTCTAAATTGTTTGATTCGTTATTTTTAACCAACCAACCCCATCCGGAACCTTGAATACCTAAAAGTAAACCAATAAATTTATCTTTGAATTGGTCAAAAGAACCATATTGTTCGTTAATTTTCTTCTTCAATTCAGTACCACCTTTAACAGCATCTGAATCTGCAGGGGCTAAATTTTCCCAAAACAAAGAATGATTAATATGACCCCCACCATTGAATCTAATAGCTTGTTGCAATTCAATTTGTCCTTTGACATCATTTTGTTGAATTGCAGTAGAAATTTTTTGGTAAGCTGCATTCAAGTTATTGACATAAGTTTGATGATGCTTGGTGTAATGGATTTCAGTAATTTTAGCCGCAATTTGAGGCTCTAAAGCGTCATAAGCGTATGGTAATTTTGGAAGTGTAAAGTTTGACATATTTGATTTTTATTTGATCTCTTTGTATTCAGCAGTTATCTAATGATAGTTTGTTTAGTTTGTTGGTGAATCGAAGATGGTTGTAATATAGTAGATGAATACATGTGTACACAGTTTTCGGAGGATTTATCCCTTTTTTATAGTGAAATTCATAATTAGGCTAAAGTCATTATTAATATTGCGCAATTAACTTTCAAAATGTACGTTTATCTTACCCCTGAATTCTGTTTGTGTATATGGGTCTTGAATTGCGAATATTAGCATAATCTGATATCAGCTACTAGTTTTACCATAAAATTGATCTCAGTGAACATCTGTATGATACTTATATCAAATAAGTCTTCCTATATACCATATACCAGGTGCCTGAGAGTACAAAATCACTTCAATAGATCTCTATTAGCTTTGAGTTTAGTTATTAAATTTGCTCGTTTATAATAATAACTAGAAAGGTAAAATTCGTAGTTGATCTAGCTGATAGACGGATCCACCGAATAAGCGAGCAAATTTTCCACAATCTTATAACCTGTTCTGGTTCTGGTCTCAGAGATTACATATTAGATCTCCACAGTTATCCTATAGGGTTATATTTCATTACACACGTTGGTCAACTGATTAAGGATGCGAAGCGCAAACTCTCTTCACAAATGCAAAAGAAGTTCTCTAATGAGTTGCATTATTAATAAACAATAAATACAGTTCGCGCACAATAGACTAATTTCCCTGGACGATTGTGTCAACATCAACTCATCATTAAAGTTCACTAATTATATTATACAAGAATAATTCCCACTAGATAAACATATATATATACCATCTCTATTTACAAATTTGATCATATATACAGTTATATTTGTGTTGTTATAAATTAGACCATCTTAATTCTTTATATATGAACTTCTGAGCTCCAAAATCGTCATAACCATCAATAATCCTTTCATTAAGTATTGAAAATCTATGTTCTTGTAATAATGACCATAATTTAGATCTTTCTTTTTCAAAAGTTTTTCTAATTGGTATTTGTAGTAATATCCTTGCATCTTTATTTTGAGCTAAAAATTTGGACATCATATTCACAACCCAAGTTGGATGATCTGATGAATAAATTGGATCAGCTATAACGATTGTATTAAATTTTATATCATCACCTCTTTTATTTAAAAAACTAGAAGGATTTGTCCAGTCTAATACTTCACATTGTGCACTGCATTCATTGAGTTCAATGTTTTTCGATAAATTTGGTAAAATTTCTGGAAGATCTGTCAATATAACATCATTATATCCTAATAAATTAATTGTAATACCACAAAGACCAGTTCCAGACCCTAATTCCAATACAGGTTCTAATATCAAGTCATTATGCTCTTCTACTATTAGTTCACTTAAGATTAAAGATGATCCCCAAGTTTTTAAGCCTAAATTATCTGATGTTAAAGCAGGTTCAAAAAGATTAATTGATTTATCGAAATCTTTCAATAAAATTTTTCTTTGGAAATTAGGTCTTGCAGTTCTACCACAATTTTCTGAAATTCTTAAGCTTGCTAACATTAAAACAGTATCATTTGATGCAAAACTAGATGATAATATTTTGTTTAAATATTGGAAAAAATTGGATGAGAAATGAATATGACAAAGATTTTTGGCTAATTTGGAATATCCATTTAAATTTAACCAATCTTTTGATGAAAAATATTCATCTTTAGATATTTCTTTAAATTCCAAAATTTCTTCAAGGGTCCTACTGTCATCTGTATGAACACCATTTGATCCAAAATTTGTTTCTTCTTCTGGTTTTAATAGTTTTAATATTGTGATTAAAACTTCAACAGGTAAATTTTTGGTCAAATATGGTAAATCCAAAACATGTATGATTAAATCTTCATCAACTTCTTCTTCTTCATCATCAATTTTTTCATTGTCAGTCACATTTGAGTTTGTTTTGGTACTACTTTCAGCAATTATAATATTCAAGGATTCTACTTTGATTGTTGGTTCTGTTGTTGTCGTTGAGATGGTCGTGGACGTAGTCATATAAGGTGCATCATTTTTAACGTCTTGAGGGGTGAAGAAGGATAAAGGGTCAAAAGATTGGTTCATCAAAAGTATTTAAACAAGGATCTTTGAAATGAAGTGGGAGATTCTGAGTTTAAAAGTGAGTTTGAGCAGTTGAAAAGTTGGAAACTTAATATTTGTGGGTATTAAATGATCCAAGATAAAAACATAACGGTTTTTTTTTCTTTTTTTTTTACCCTAACTGGCTGTAAGATCTTAAGATCTTAAAAAAACCATAAAGTCAAATTTCTTCCATTATTCAATATTCGATTACATTTACGATATTAAGATCCAAAATATCCTAATATAGTTATCAATGGATCTTTCCTGTGGTACATATAGTTTTTGTGGTACACTTATCATCAAACATTAAAATTTGCCTCATTTTACGAGATTCATTATAGTTATGTATCCTAAAACGGGTTCCAATGAGACAAAGATGAAGAAAATTCTTACAAATTGAGTTAATAACTTGTATTAATGTAGTATAACATGCATCTTTATTTAGATGTATTTATTAACTGAAAAACTTGTTTAATATGTGTTTAAAAGGAGTTGAATTTCTCTAAATTTTTATATATTTAGCCTTTAATGATAAATCAATATATATCGATCTAAGTGATTTAAAGCTGTGAAATATTTAAAAAATGAGATTCAATTATACTTTATTCCCATTATTCTTCATTACAAGTGCCTTAGCAGTTAATAATGTTGAATATGCAACAATTTTATTAAATGATGTTCAAAATAATATGAATGATTATGGATATTTATTTAAAGCAGAATCAATAAATTTACCAACTGAATTATTTAATTATTATAAAGAAATTATAACTTATACAGATGATTCATTTACTTCAGTTTTAACAGATTTCCCAGTAAATAAAGTTCAAAGTGTTGTTACAGAATTTCCATGGTATTCATCAAGATTAGAATCAAGATTAAAAGCAGCAATAACTCATGATTCTGATTTAACAACAAGTCAAATTATAACAAGTTTTTCAAATTCTACAAGTTATAATATTTCAACAAGTTTTAATTATTCATCAATCATTTCTAAAAATTCATCAATTGATACATTAACACCAATTGAACCAACAAGATCACATATTTCAACTCAAATTCAAATTAATTCAACAAGTGGTAATATCTCAAGTTATTCAGGTGAATCAAATCAATTGAATCAATTTTTACCATTAATTTTAATTCCATTATTATCATTATTAATATAAATTGTTTATTTTATAAACCTCTCCAAATATTTTTTTCTAAAGTATCACCTTTTCTTTTAATTTGTTTACAAAAACCTAAATCAATTAATTCACCACATTTTTGTAAAAACCAAACAAGAGTCAATTTATCCCATTTTAAATCATTTGATATATCCATATCATTAAAAAATTTATAAATAAATTTAAATCTAATTTCATCATTTAAATAATTTTCTAATATATTATTCTTGTCATCTAAAATTTCCATAATTTTTTGTAAAATTTCATCTTTATTTAAAGAATTTTTAAAAACTTGATAAAAATCAAAAATATTTAAATTTAAATTTGTTTCTCTATAAATTTGAAATAATTCAGATAAAATTGGATTTATCTTGGAATTTAAAATTTCCATTGAATTTGAATTATTTGAAATTCTTGTATTTATATATAATTCAGGATTTATAAGAGAATCTTCTAATATTGATCTAAAATTTGGTGATAAATTTGAATTTAAAATTTTAAAATCATTAAATTGAAAACATTCATTTAAAACTAATTCAAATGGATTTTTAAATGATGATTTAATAAAATTTTCAATTAATAACATTAATGAATTAATTAATTTTTTATATTCAATCTTGTATTGAATTTTTGAATATTCTGGATCATTTAATAATTCATTTAATTTTGTTAATTCTAAACTTATTAATGCTATTTTAATATTTAAACTTTGAATTAAATCATTATTAAGGGTGAATTCATTAATTTCCAAGATTAATTTTTTAATTTTATCTTGATTTAATTTTTTTAAATTTGAAATAATTTCATTTATAAAATTATTTTTAATTAATTCATCTTTATTTGTTAATTTATAATAAAATTCCAAATAATTTCCTTTAATTTTAATAAATTTTAATAAGACATTTGTTATAAATTTAAAAATAGTTTTAAAATTTTTAAATTTTTGATATAATCATTTGTTGATTCATAAATAAATGATTTTAAATATTGATTATCTTCTAATAATTTTAAAATTTTTAAAGAATTTAAATTATCATTTGAAGAATTAATTAAATTTGTTATATGATTTTGGAAAGATGGTAACATTTTAATAGCATCATAATATTTTGATGAATTATTATCCAATTGAGATAAATTTAATGAATTTATAATAGATAATGGATTATTGAAAAAGAAAATCATTTTTAAAAATTTTAAATTTTTTAAAAAATCATTTAAATCTCTAATTGAATTTTTAAATTTTTTCAATAATTCTCCAACAGATTCATTACCAATTAAATATGAATCTTCTAATATTATCTTGGAAACAATTGTATTCAAGATAGAATCTGTTTGTTCAATTTTGAAAACATGAAATTTTAAATTATGAATTAAATTATTATTAATCTTTTGGGTAAAATTTTTTAAATTTGAATTAATATTAAAAATTAATTTAAAAGGAATTCTATTTGTATAAATATTAATCAATCTTATGAATTCATTTAAAAGCCCTAAATTAAAAGAATCAGTATCTTCAAATATAATTATAATTCTAATATTTGTTGAATTTATAGATTCATTTTTTTTCAAAAAAGATTGTTCACACCATTCTTCTACAGCATCAAGATCAAATGATAATTTTCTTTGTTGTAAAAAATTTAATTCTTCTTCTTCATCACTATCTATATCAATTTGATCAGGATCAACCATATTTTTTTCATAATCATCTTCATGATTTGCAAAATTTTCATTAAGTATTGAATTTACAATTTTTTTCAAACCAATTTTAATTGTATGACATTCTTTTGAATTTAATTTTATAACTTTAATATTATTTGTATTATTTTTGGTTAAATAATTTGATAATTGATTATTAAAGTTGGAATTATTTGTTGACGAGGTTGAATTTGAAATTAAAAGGGAACAATCTATTTGGAAAGGTGTTATTGGATTTGCAATTGAATTAAATATACCTAATAAAATTTCATCATTTGCAGATTCTAAAATTGATTTAGCAATGGAATCTTGATTTTTAATGGATTTTTGAAATAAATTATAACGTAGTTGAACATTTTCTAAAGGTTCTTGACCATTTAATAATTTTAAGAATGGTAAATTTGGATTATTTATTGGAATACCTTCATTAGATATTATTTGATTTGATGTATCAAGTTTTATTCTTTTGTTTGGATTTTTCTTTAATAAATAGACGGTCTTTGATTTAGTTAGTATTGATCTTATAATAGCTGAGTACATTCAACGTACCTTTTGTGACTCATTAAACTCTTCAATGTTCATTGTTTGTTTGTTTTTGTGGTATTTGAAAGAGAAATAATGAATTTAAAATCTCGAGATTTAATTAAAAAACAAATTCTTCGGCCGAAATAAATATAAACAACAAACAACAAATACACACAGTAATATGGTATATATACTAATATAGTATAGTATAATATAGTATAAATTTTATTTAATTTCATGAGCGCTTAAATGACGTAATAGAAAATGATATTAGTTTAATGGCGGCTGTTATAAAATATATTTGTAATATGTATTTAACAGCGGTCATAATTGACAATTACTTGATTATAGTATATACTAGATACTTATTAATTACAAAAAAATACTTAATATAATATTGAATTAATCAATTATAGTAATCAATACATCACCATTTTGGAAATATTTTAATAATAATCAAACTCAACAAGAACAATAATATCACAATGACAAATATTTTTAAAGCATCAATTAAACCTAATGAATTTATAGTTTTAGATAAATTTTTCTTAGAATTTATTAATTTTTTACTTGTAACATCTAATCCAGTCTCTGCAGCTTTTAAAACATTTGAATCTTGATTTAATTTATCATTAAAAGCATGTGCACCTTCTTTAATACTATTAATAAATTGAAACATATCTTTTAGGATATCTTCTTGTTTTGATTCTTCAATTTGTAAAGATTGATCAAAATTTAGTTCTGAGTTTTGAGAGTTCGTTTGACCTTTTAATAATCTCTTCCTTAATTGTGAAATATTATCATCATGATCATTATCATTATTCTCGTTGTTGTTGTCATCATTATCATGTTCAATTTTGGTATTAATTTGTGATTGTTGCTTTGTTGTTAAATTTAAATCATTTTGAAATTTATCATTAATTATACCATTTGAATAATCAGCTAATGAATCTCTTAATTTGGTGTTATTTGTAGAGAAGCTTTGTAAAATATCAGCTCTTAGTATATCAGAGTTCTATGGGATGTTAGTTGTTGTTGTTGTTATTATTATTTGATGATCTGTTAACTTACTTTATCATGTTTTGCGAATAAAAGAGAATTTATAAAAGCAATTGAATCTGATTGAGAATCATTGGGAAGAGGGTCTTGCTTTAAACAAGTGTGTAAGTTATTGAGTATAGTTTCCTTCATGGTGTGTGTTGTGTTGTGTGTTGATGATATTGTTCAAGTATAAAATGTTCAAGATTTGATTCGAGAAATAATATAATAGAATAGACAATAACAAGATATAGAATACAAACAAAATACACTACAACTATCAATCAACAAACAATTACATATATTATTAACAACTATTTAAGATGTCTGCCAGTCTACTATCAAACGACAACATGTAGGATTCAGTTGCGGTTAGCGAAAACGGCATAGATTGTATTACTCTTGACCACTTGAGCTTGTTCGCAATACCATTGTACCTCATTAACTTCTTTCAAATCAAATTCAAAACGAACCCAATTAAATAGAATGAAGAAATAAGTTACTGGTACAGAGAAATGTGTTAAGGGTCTTAGTAATTTTAAAAAAGAGTTGTTGGTAAAAGAATAAACAAGTTTGATGTGAAAAGTTTTATTTATGTCTTCAATCATCACCGCGTTATTTACCCTTCTTTATACCGTTTTTGATTTCTTTTCAATTAGGGTTGAATAAATGAATAAGTGAATATAAATCTATAATACAAAGAAAAGATCTATTATTCAATTGATAAGAGTTATTATACAATGTCCACTATCAATAACAAAGCTGCTGAGAAATTCAAAACAGTATGTGTACTCAATTCTTTAATTATATAGAATTATACTAACTTTATACAGAAAGGGAATAAGGCTTTTGCCAGTGAAGATTATGATGAAGCTATTAATCTTTATACTCAAGCGTATGTTATTTTAATATAGTATTGATTGAGATATACTAACACTGTTCAGAATCCAACAAGATCCAACAAAAGCCAATTATTATACAAATGTATGTACCTGATTATATTATATCATATGATTTCATTTCCACTAACAACACATATAGAGAGCTTTAGCTCGTATTAAATCATCAAAAAATGAACAACAATATGATTTAATTGCAAAAGATGCCTCCAAAGCAATTGAATTGGTTCCAGATAATTCAAAAGCTTTTTTTTATTTAGGTATTGCATTAACAAAATTAGATCAACCAGATTCTGCTTTAAAAAATTTAAATAAAGCTTATGAATTAGCTCTTCAAACAAATAATAAATCTGCTCAACAAATTTGTGAACAAATCTTGGAAACAAGAAAAGAATTAGCTAAAAAGGAAAAAAATGAAAAAATTTCCCGTACAAATCCCCTTTATGAAAAAACTTATAGATTAATTCAAGAATTTTATTGGAGTAAAATTAATTATTTAAGATCAAGATTTAATTATAAACCATTTTATGAAGATGATACAGATTTCCAAAATGAATACAAGAATTTAAAAAATCAATATACCAAGGATCTTGATGATTTACGTCATGTTTTTGAATCATCTTTATCCAAAGATAGATCAACAAAAAATCAAATTGAAGCACCAGAATATATTTTGGATCCAATTAGTTTTAATATTTTCCATGATCCTGTTATAACTCCATCTGGTAATACTTTTGAAAAAGCTTGGATTATTGAACATTTAAAATCAAATCCAACTGATCCTTTAACAAGAGAACCTTTAAATGAATCTCAATTAATTCCAAATTTAGCTGTTAAAAAAATGGTTGATGCTTATATCAATGAAAATAAAGCAATTTAGATAAAAAAAAGATGATAAGAATATTGTATAATTTAGCTAGAAATCAAAAGAAGAAGTGATTTAATTTGTATTAAATATTGTACTTTATTAATCTGGTGTGCGGATGTTTGGATATTGATAGATCTAGATCGCGTTTTTTATCATATTGAAAACCTGTCAAAAACAATAAACATTAATAAACCACAAACCACAAAACCACAAAGCACAAGAATACAATGTCACTATCACAAATCTCAGTGGATATAGATGAAGCAGATGCAGTTGTTTTGCAAGAAAGTCTTTTGAAAACTCGTTCTTTAATAGCATCAATTAGTCAATCTTTAAATAAAATTGAATCATCATCATCAAATTCTGAAAAATTATTAAAACCAATTATTGAAAAAAATAAAAAATTATCTATATTTTCCAAGAATGTTAATGATTCTTTATTAGCCGTATCAAATGTTCAAGGTATTGCAAGTGAAGCTTCCATATATGAATCAAAATTAAATGAAAGAATTGATAATGTTAAAAATTATATAATTACTATAAATAAATCACAAAATATTTTATTAAAATTAAAAGATAATAATGGTGGTGGAAGCAATGGTGAATATAGAGGTATATCTGAAAACTTAAGTAAAACAATAATGGATAGTGAATTTAAATTACATCAATTTTTTAAAGAATTAATTAAATCAGATTCTCAACCTTTTGATCCACAAATTTTTATGAATCAATTAAAACCATTCCCATTTTTATCAGTTTCTAAGATAAGAGATGTTGGATTAATAATGGCATATTTTAATGATCAAAAAAATCCAATTGATGATTTATATATTGATTCAAGATCAAATTTAATTTTAAAAAGTTTAGCATTTTTGGAACCGTTCACTAAGATTAATAATCAAATGGATAAAGTTCCATATGAAAAAGGTTCAAATGGTATTAATAATTATACAGAAGCATTCTTAGGGTTTTTATCAAATGAATATGCATTATTAGAAAGCATATTAAATGAAAACAATGATCAAATAATAACAATTTATCAAAAATTAATTAGAAATTCAATTGAAAATTATTCCAAGATTATAACAAATTTAATTAATTCAATTGAAAATTCAATAACAAATTTAGGTTCTTTATCATTTGAATTAATTAATAATTTATCCAAAATTTTATCATTTTTAAAATCAAAATCATTTAAAGAATCTTATCCATCATTATCAAAAAATTTAAATTCATCTCAATCTATAGCAAAATCTTTATTTAAAGAATTATTAATTTATACAGAAAATAGAGTTTCTTCATTAACAACAATCCCTCAGGATTCAGGTGTTTCAGAAGCAACTGTTGATATAATGTCTAAAATTAGAAAAATTTCTGAATATAAATTTGAACAAATTAATTTAATGAATGGGTTTAAAGCTGGTAGTTGGATTCCACAACCAAGTCCTCAATGGTTATCACATTTTTCAAGTATAAGTCATACTACAATCATTGATGATTCTGATCCAAAACAATTATTATCTTCATATTATCTTGATGTTATTGATGCATTAATTGTTAATTTAGAAATTAAATCTTTAAATTTTATCAAAAAAAAACAAACTCTGGGGTTTTTCCTAATTACAAATATTACACTTGTTGAACAAATTATTTCAAGATCTCAATTAAATAATATCTTGGATTCTACAGGTTGGTCAAGATTAGAAAAATTGAAGAAAAGATCATTGAATTTTTTCCTTACAGGTTGGAAACAAGTTGCTGCATATCTTTTAGATGTTAATGTTGTTGGGAAATTAAGTTCAAAAGATCGTGAAATTATAAAAGAAAAATTTAAAAATTTTAATTTAGAATTTGATGAATTAGTCAAGAGTTATAAAGCTTATAATATAACTGATCAATCATTGAAAAAATTTCTTTCCAAGGAAATTTCATTTATATCACCACTTTATAAAAGATTTTATGATAAACATTCATCAGGTGATTTTACTAAACATACTGATAAATATATTAAATATAATCCAATGGAATTTGATAAGATTTTAGAATCACTTGGAAAATGAATTAACTATATAAAGTATATGAATATAATGAATTACATATGTTTCTTTTGTAATATTTTATTTAATGTGTAACGGTTATTTAAAAATTCATTTAAGCGAAATTTAAAATTTAAAAAAAAAAAAAATCGGGTTTATTGTTTTATACTCAGAAACTCAGGAACCAAAAAGGAACCAAAATTTCAAAAAAAGCTTATATTTAATAATCAAAAAGATCAAAAAAGGTCAAGTATTAAACAAAAGATCACAAAAAGAATCATAATAAGATACCATAACTCACTTATACACTGGTATGATCAATTCTGATTTCAATAGTCCAAGCACTCCGCCATCTCCATCATCTCCATTATCACCATCATCTCCATCATCTCCATATCTACAAAAAGATCATCAACAACACCCAATACCTCCATATTATGTTCAACCTTGGATAACTGATAATGTAATAAACCTGGAAGATATAATTAAACATGGAAATATAATAAGAGAACCTGAAGATGATAATTTTAATTATGTTATATCAATGAATATAAATGAATTTATTGAAAAATTTCATGTTTTACCCCCACAACAACAAGGTTTTTTAACAAAATCTGGTAAACCAATTGAAAAAATTATAATAAAATTACAAGCAATTTCAACAATGTTGGATTATTATTTTAATAATAATATTACTTCAGATTTTTTACAGAAAACTTTTGGTTCACCACAAATTTATGTTGGTGATAATTTATTAAATTATCATATAAATGAAATTGAATCTTATGAAAGAATAGAAGAATATAATTATAATCAAATATTAAATCATAATGGAACAAATTTAATTAATATACCAAATTTATTACAACATGGTATTATAATTGATTCAAATAAAATTATAAAAGCATTTTTCATTATAATTTCAGATTTAAATTTTATAAATATTAAACCTTCTTTAAAATTCAAAAATTTAGAAAAACAAGCAATAAATCAAATTAAATTATTAAGTTCATTAGGTATAACTCATAATAATATATCAAAAAATAATGTTTGTATTGATGAAGAAAGTGAAAAAGTTTATTTAATTGATTTTGGTAATTCATTAATTACTGATGAAATTTTAGATTGTTCTGAATTTTGTGATGCTAAAAAGGAAATGAAACTAATGGAAAGACTGTTTATGACTTAAAAAAATAAAAATAAAATGAAATTAAAACAGGTTTTAATTGTAGATAAAAACTTTTATTAATCATAAAAGCTAGGTACGTCATAGGGTATACTATATTTTATCCAAAAATAATCATATAATTATGAAACACATACTAATGAAATCACCACTCTTTTCTATCACTCTAATATACTGCTATATCTTTAAAATGATTGAGTTGAAATTAATATAATTTAAAACACTTTACACATATTCGTTTAATAGTATGTGTCCCATAACGCTGATTTTCAAGATAATGAGATATTCTTTGAAACATATTATAAATTAACAGGATTTAAGTATAAGGTATTTTAGGTTTGTATTCAACATTAATAAACCCCTATTTTAATATGGATATGCTTTATAATGATTTTAAATGAAAAAAATTTTGGAATTTTTTTATAAATAAAGAATTTTTTTTTAATTTTAAGTTTTTAAGGTTGTAATTTAAACTGATAAATATAATTAAAAAATTTAAATTATTAAATTTAAATTATAATTTTTAATATAATTATAAATATAATATAAATTTATCTTCATATATTGAGTCAACTATAAGATCAACTACACATTGTATTAAAACAATATTTTAAATTAGAGTAATAAATTTATACAAATATCTAAAAAAATTTGTTTTTAATTCCATTACATAATCTTTTTGTGTCAACAAATATTATTAATTTTATTCTCAATTAAACAACTCAATTATTAAATAAGAGCAGAAGCAATAGCTGGTAAAGTGGAATTACTAACAGTACCATTAGAAGAATCTAAAGCCTCATCAATAACTTCATAATCATATTCTCTTTCCTTAATATAATCTGGCCATTCTTTTGGTAAAAGAACATCAGGAACATCAAGATCAGCTAAAAGACAAACTAAAATATTAAGTTTATCAACTCTACTAATATCAGCTCTTAAGAAATAATGAATAAAATAATTGGTATCCATCTTCATACCATCAAGATATAAATTTAATTCTTCTTTTAATGGTCCCATAACACTTTTGAATACTTTTTTCAAAAGTTTTTCACCTTGATCCATCATTGGTTCTTCATCTTTATAAGCTTCAACTAATTTATCAACAACATGTAATAAAATTCTGTCTGGAATTTGAGCAATTTGCCATGGAACATGACCAAACTCTCTGAAAAGGTGACAATAATAAAGAAATCTTGGAACAGCCATAACAATACCACGTTTGGAAAGTTGATGTTTTTCATTATTATCATTATCATTATTATTATTATCAGTTGATGAATTTGGTTCAAATGGAAGTGTAATTTGGAAACTACCATCTTCCTTTGGTTCAACTGGAATTGTAATTTCATATTGGGTTTCTCTTTCAGGATCAATAATTAATAAATCTTTTGGAATTGTAAATGTTTGTCTTTGTTTATTTAAAGGAACATCAACAGGAACAGGAACAACACCATCTAAAGAATCCGATGAAGTTGAAGGAATTTGTGGCAATGAAATCACAATATCATCTTCTGGTGCTGGTTTTCTAAATCTAATATCGGTATATGTACTATTGGAATTTGAAGTAACATTACCTAAACCAATTGGTGCTGCAATAGTTGATGATAAATAAAGTGCGATTGTAATAAAGTTTTCAATTGAAAGTCTCATTGTAAATAATTTTAATTATAATAGTTATAAGCTTATTGTTTCTGTAGTGAAGAAAAGAAAGAAAGTGAATAAATTTTTGAAAAGTTTAAAGATATTTCAAGCCCTTTTATAGTTTTCTTAAACATTTATTTTCTGTTTATTGAAAAGTTATTTTCTGTTTATTGAAGACTTATTTTCTGTTCAAATTGAGGCCTTTTTCATTAATACCATTAGTTTTACAAAGCCTTTAACTAATTTACTCTTGAAAGAACTCAAATCTCATGAAAATAACGCATTTATGTATGGAACCCTATATACTATGAAATTGAATAAAAAATAACTATGAAAATTAAAAAGCACAGCTTAAAAAACAAAATTGAAAAGAACGAAATGAATAGTATAATAAACCAAATTTAAATAATATTTATTTTTTTTATTGATGTTGTTGTTGTATAGTAAACTTTGAACAAGTTCTTCATAATTCCAATATATTCTCATTAAAAAACCTCAATTTTTTTCTTCAACTAGATGAAACTTGTTCATTATCATTATCATCAAAATCTAAACGATGTTCATGATTATTTATCTGTTTATTGATTAATTCTTCATTAAGATTTGCACTTGTTAAAGTTGAACTTGATGTATTATTCTTTAATGAAGATTCTTCAGATTGTGAATTTGTTTCTTCAATTGATGATCTAGTTGCTGAATTTGGTAAAGTTCTTGGATTGTTTGATTGAGAATCATTTGTAGTATCTAATGCTGATAAAATTGGGGCAATTGTAGTTTGTTGAACACCAAATGACATATTCCTATTAAGACTTGGTTGATGAATATGATTTGAATTTTCTTTAAAATTATTTATAATTTCATTTGTATTTATTGCATTTGGTGTATAACTTCTTTTAGGAATTGAATCATTTTTCAATGGATGCCATATATTATCTGGTTCATTTGATGAATATAATGCAGTAATATCAACAGATGAAGATTCATTAATTAAATTTAAAGATTCACGAGATTGTAAAGGATCATAAACTGATGGTGCTTTTGCTGGTGGATAAGGTCTAAATGATGATGTTGATGATTGTTGCTGCGATTGTTGTTGATTTAATGAAATATTTGTAGTTGTAGTATGTAATAATGGTTGTAAATCAACAATTTCATTTTCTGTATCAATTCTCAAAGAGCGTAATGAAGTTGGCGACATTGATGTTGATGACGCACTTTTATAATCAGAAATACCTGTTGAACTTGTACTACCATTTCTTGAGTTTGAAATATTTGGATTAATTTCAGATTCATCTTCTTTTGGTGAAATTAATGAATCAATACCATTTTGTTGGGAATTTGAATGACCATGATGTAAAGTACCAGTAGATGAACTATCAAATGAATTTCTTGGAGATGTGTCTCTATTTGATCTTGCACTTGATCTAATTCTTAAACCTTCAGGACTTGTATTTCTAATAACAGATTGTGGCATATTTGGTGAAGTACCCCTAAATTTAAAATTTGTTGCAATATCACCTTCATCATCGTCTTCAGAATTTTTCTTTAATTGTCTTGGTGTACGTTCATCATCATCATCATCATCATCTGGGTTGTTTGCAACCAATGGTGGTGATGGAGTTGAATTTGTAAATGTTAAATGAGGTGGTTGAGCAGTTGCATTACCAGTTTTAACGTTTGATGGTGATTTAATTGGTGTATTTGAATCTTTATCAAATTTAATTGTTGTATCTTTTGGACCACCTCTTTCACTTAATGTTGGAGGTGCAGGCGATTTAGCCTTTTCTTCAATTAAGAAATCATCATAAGTTGGTGGATCTTTTGGTGCACTATCTAAAACAGCAGAATCTAAACCTTGAATACCTTCAGTCAATAAGTCTCTCATTGGTGGGGGGCTTATATCAGCTTCAAATGGAGGAGGTTCAAAACTTGGTCTTCTAATTAAATGAATAGGTCTTTGTTGTGGTGAAAAACTTGGTGAAGTTGCAGGTTGAGCTTGTGGAGAAGTTAATTCTAATTCTAAAGAATCTGGTTTATAAACATTTGCATTTAATGTTGATTCAAAATTTGGTAAAGATCTATTACCCAAGGTTGATACTGATCTTGAACGAGCTCTATTATTATTACCATCATTAACACCCAATGTTGCAACACTTCCTCTTCTACTACTACCATCACCACTTCCACCACTACCACGATGTGGAGGTGTACCATTTGGATTTAAAGTATTATAAATATTTTGATAACTTGAATTATTATAATCAACTGGTTCAACATCTGGAGAATTTGGTGGAGATAAAACTTCTCTTGGGAAATAAATATTTGAGTCATGAATTTGAGTTAATCCATCACTTGTTGTAGAACTTGAATTTGGATCACCATAAGCTGGTAATAAAGTATTTGCATGTGAACATAATGGGTCTAAAACATGAATAGGAGAATCTATACTAATTTCATAATGTTTTGGTTTCCCATCAATTAATCTTGATAATCTTAAACAAATTTTAATCCAATGATGAGATTTTATATTTATATATGAAGTATTTGGATGTAAATTTTGACGATTATTTAATTTTTGTGGTACATAAACTTGAAATTCAAATTCTTTTGCCGTTATATCATAACCATCAGAAGTTAATAAATTTCCCATTTTTTTAGCTTTTGCATCAGCATTTGGTGGTAAATCAGGTGGTGGAGGAGCTTTATGTTCTAATAATAAATATTTTTTGATTGGTTCCATTCTATGAACTTTTTTATTTCGACAATAATATTCTAAATTTTCAGTTAAATAAATTCTTATACGATGTAATTTGATTTTATCCAATGGAACTAATTTAAAAGCAATTGGTAAATAAGCATTTAATATGATAGCTTTTGTTGCAATAACAATATCATAATGTAATTGATCTTCCCAATCTCTACTTATAGCAATAGGTTCTGAATCTTCAACACTTTCTTCAGATTGAGCTCTAATGATTTTAATTGGTAATGTTGTTGAAATATTTGATTTAAAAGCACCAGATCTTTCAATAAGGACAGATAATGAATAAGAAACTGAACCAAAAGTAGCATCAATAGTTTCAGGTGTTGAACTTGGTATAGCTTGTTCAAAATTATAAATATAATCACCTGGAGCGAAAGTAAACTCACCATTATTATTTGTTTGTTGATGTTGTAAATTATGTAAAATGTTTGAATCAGTTGAATTCCCAGTAGCACTTGATTTTAATGAAGCTAATAAAGAACTTGAACGATGTCTATTCCCACTTGGTGATGGAGAAGTTGCTCTTTTAATAATACTTAAAGCATTTGAACCACCAGATTTTATTGAACTTGAATCCAAAGCATTTGTAATATCATCTAATGAATTAGAAGAACCACCATTATGATCATTTAATCTAACAATATCAGCACCACTTGAACATGTTGTTGAAGTATTTATATTGAAAAAAGGCCATGTATGATTAAGCAAATCGTTTTCTTCAAAATATTCAGTTCTTTTAGGTGGGATACCTTCAGGCCATTCAGTTTTGGAAACACCTTTAAAATTTAATGATATATTCTTGATTTTGGAATTTTTTAATACTCTTAGTATAAGACAACCTCTTAATAAAGTTGGAGGTCTATCTTGATATTCATGAGGTTCAAAACCTTGAACAAATAGGGTTTGCTCCACAAGTTGAAGGAAAACCTGGATGGTTCCTGTCTGAGTGAGTGGCCTAGTCTCAGGAGTGATTTCCAAAGATTTTTCCAAAGGAAAGAAACTCATTCTATGGATTTGAAACCAAGTTGTTGATAGTTTAGTTTAGTTGATTTGATTTCAATTTCCTTCTCAAAAGTGTCAAATTTCGTTTTTGAATTTGGACATTTTAAAGTGTCCGGTAACGAAAAATTGCTGCTTATTTATTATCGGTTGTAATGGAATAGAAATTAATTGAACGTGCGTGTGGTCTTATGATAACGGCTGAGTTTAAAGCTTTGATAAGGTGTTTATTAGATTCTACAGGGCTTGTTTAGGTAAGGCTTGTTTTTCTACTTTGGTAGTTTTTTATTGTACAAATGTTTTCTGTGTATATTTTGTATTTTGACCGAATTACTCCTATTATGTTGTAATCAACTATATTTTTAAAATGATTCTAATAATCATAACTAAAGTTGTGTTTGAATGTTTATCTATTGTGGTAATTCAAATTTAAATCCTTTTAAGACTCTATGATAATAGATGTAGAAAAAATCTGAATAAATAATAGTTTGAACAATACCTGTGAAAATAGCTAAATAATCAACTCTACCTTCACTAATCCATCTGAAAATCCAATTTGGAATGTACAAAGTTCTATAAGCACCAAGAGCAAAGATATAATGAGTTGTTAAAGTTCTTGCCTCACCAGTTCTTTGTAACATAAATAATTGAGGTAAAATAGCAACAGATTCTAACCAAAGACTAAAAGACCATAAAATTTCACCAAATTGGAATTTATAATTAAAAATTAATGATAATATAAATGAGCCACCAATTAAATATTCAATTGGGAAAGTATCAATTTGTTCAGTTTCAGTGTTTTTAAATTTATAAATCATTAAATAAACAATATATATGGAACTTGATATAAAGAAAAGTTTCATTAATGTGTTATATATAGAAACATATCTATAAGTTAAATCCAAATATCTTGTTAAAAATACTAAAACATATAAGATTTGAGTTTTCAATGAAATACCTGCAATTGATCTTGATTTTTGAATTGTATTTAATAATATAAGAATTGAAATTAAATGGGATAAATCACCTGCAGCTCTGAATATATTGAACATTTTGAAAATTATTCCACTGAGTGAATTGAGATGATATAATTTGAGCTAGAATATAAAGTCAATTAGAATTAAATCAAAATCAAAATCAAATAAAAGTAAATTAAATCAAGTTTGAATTGATTGAAGTTTGAACACATCAACAAAAAGCAAATTCGCGGGTACTCGATAATCTTTTCGAATGTGTCCTCTTACAAAGTTTCATTACTTAATAACACATTTTATTTTATTTTGTTTTACATAAATTACTTTCATTATTTATAATTCCCTTAATTTCCTATATCTTTCCTCTTCTTCTTCTTCATTTTTATAATCTCCTTGGTTTTTATAAACATTAAAACCTTTTTTCAACTGGAAATTATCATCATTTTCATCATCAACTAATAATTTTTCATTAATTAATTGATTTAAATCTTTATATTTTTTACCTATATCATCATCATTAATAAAATTTTCAATTGATTCTTTATTTATATCATCTTTATTCAATATTTGGAAATTTGTGCTTAATTCTTTTTGATTAAATTTCATTAGTGTTGGGAATTTATCAATTTTATATAAATTTGTTAAATCTGAAGATTCTTCAGATGTTGAATCAATTCTAATAAAATTATAATCATTTGAATAAATTTTAGCAATTTTTTCAAATATAGAATAACGACCATTCCATTCATCTAACCATGGTGCTAAAAATACAACAATTGATGGTTTGATTTGATTTAATTTTTTTAATTCGTTAATTGAACTAATTTGTTTTATAATTTGTTCAGGCCAATTTGGTTGAACACCTGTATGATCAGTTATAAATTTTGCTAAATTTTCAGTTGATCTTTCATCAACAAATGAACCCATATGACTACCATCAAATGAATATAATCTCAAGGTTGGGAATCCAATAATTTTTTCTTGTTTACGTATACGTTTATTTTCACGACCTTCTAATTGAACAATTTGTATTTTAGTATTATTAAATAAATCAACTAATGGTTCATATTTTGGACCTAATTTTTGACAATGTTGACATGTTTTTGAATAAAACTATTTGTTGTTGTTGTTAATATACAGTGTAAATCATTGGTTAATCACCGAATCTTTAACTTACATTAACAAGTGTATATTTCCCCTTTGCATAAATGATATCTTCAAAATTTGAATCATCAGCAACAATCACACCTTTAAAAGTCTTATATGACAGTACAGATGATATAAGAGCTGTCAATAATAGTATTTTAAGTAACATTTTGTGTATGTGTTGATCTATGATGAGTATAAAAGATGGTGTCAAAAACTGTGGATTTAAATTTTTATCAAAACGATCGGGTACAATTTAATTTTTGAGCGATAAATCACGACGATAATAAACATTTACTCTTAACTTAGTATCACTAATCAATTCAATTGACAACTCACTTATATTCAATCAAAAGACAGTGGAACATTATGACTTGGTTAGATAGAATCCTTTCTAAACCTCATAAAGTCCTTCTTTGGGCATTCACAGGGTTAATAATTTCATCAACAGTTTATACATTATTAGAAACTCCTAAATCCATTGGAAGTAGTACAAAGAAGAAGACAACAAAACCAAAACAACCTAAAACTCCTGAAGAAATTGAAAGGGATTCAAGAGATACTTCTACATGGTCTAAAAAGGAATTATTTGATTATTTATCAAAGGTGAGTTGAACTGATTTATTACTTCTTTATATGGGTTACTAACAAGAGAATAGCACTCTGTTTATCCAGATGTTGACATTGAAAGAGATGAATTACTTAAACTTGTCAATTCCATAAAGAACTTGTATCCAGATATTGATTATTAAATATTTAATTGAACTTATTTATTCCATTTTATTCATACTTTATTAGTTGTAACGTTGTTATTTCTGTGTAGTAAGTCCTGTCCTTACCGTGAGCATTTATTCCTAATCGATTGTCAATTTGAGCATTTAAACAACAACTTTGATGGTTAATTGGGATAATCTGGGAATAATATAAATAGCCATGAATCCCCAGATTTATTTAGATCTGTAACACTACTAATATACAAATAGACAACTATACCATCATTATACAACTATACAACTAGTACTACTTACAACTTCTCAATATGACTAACCATTATGTCTCTTAACCAATAACACTTAAATCCACCTCCCAGCCAATAACATTAATAAGCACTGTGGATTCCAGATGAAAGGGTAACACATTGAAATTAAACGCAATTAACCACAGAATAAGTAAATTCATCAATTTTCTATGAGACTTGAGTTTTTGGTTATAAAAAGGGGATTGAATTCGGAGTTTTTACACCTTTGATCTATCATTGTTTAATCAACTTATTCAAGTTTTATACATATTAATATATCAAAATGGTTAAAGCTGGTATGTAATAAATCAATTCCAATTCAATTGACCTCAATTGAGTAGGTTTTAAGGGTTTCAAGGGTTTTAATACTAACTTTTATACTAGTTGCTGTCTTAAGAGGTGATGCCGGTGTTTCTGGTACTGTTCAATTCGAACAAGCTACTGAAAATGATGCTACCACAATCACTTATGAAATCTCTGGTAATGCTGCAGATGCTGAACGTGGATTCCATATCCATGAATTTGGTGATAACACTAATGGTTGTACTTCAGCTGGTCCACATTTTAATCCATTCCAAAAAACTCATGGTGCTCCATCTGATGAAACTAGACATGTTGGTGATTTAGGTAACATTAAAACTGATGCTAAAGGTGTTGCTAAAGGTTCAATCACTGATAACTTGGTTAAATTATTAGGTCCAAACTCAATCTTGGGTAGAACTGTTGTTGTTCATGATGGTACTGATGATTTAGGTAAAGGTGGTCATGCTGATTCTTTAAAAACTGGTAACGCTGGTGGTAGACCTGCTTGTGGTGTTATTGGTTTTGCTAATTAAGAAATCAATTACCCACACCCATTATTAAGAAAATTATGATTTAGTTATGTTTTTATAATTTAATATACTATTGATTAGTGTTTTAAATATATTAGTAGTTTGTTATATGTATAATCTAAAATTTTTTAGACTCCGAATAATACGGGTACAAAACATTGTGCCAAATTACCATTGAATACTACTCTACAATAAATTTTATACTATATGCACATCATCTATTTTACATTAAAAAATTATCTATTACTAGTTTATTATTAGTTTAAATTTTCTTTTCTATCTTCTAAAAATCACCTTGACTAATTGGTTTAATTTCACCATTTAAAACTTTATCTAAAACTCCTGAAGCAGCAGCAACTAAACCTAAGAAAGGTTTTGAAGGATCTAAAACTTTTGATAAATATTCTGGATGATATTGAGCTGCAACATAATATGGATGATTTTCTAATTCAAAAATTTCCATACGTTCACCTGCAAGATCTTTACCAACAAATTTTAAACCTTTACTTTCAATCTTGGAAATTAATTTTGGATTAATTTCATAACGATGACGATGTCTTTCTAAAATTTCATCAACTCCACCATATAATTTTTTTAAAACTGAATCTTCAGTTTGGAAAACAGTTTCTCTTAAACCTAATCTCATTGTACCACCTAATTTATCTTTATCAATTTCTGGCATATAAACAACTGTAGCTTCTTCATCACTTAATTCTGGTACAAATTCTTGAGAATTAGAATTTGTAATACCAACAACATTACGAACAAATTCAATTGTTGCAACTTGGAAACCTAAACATACACCTAAAAATGGAATTTTATTTTCTCTTGCCCATTTGGCAGCTTGCATCATACCTTCAGTACCACGTGAACCAAACCCACCTGGAACCAAGATACCATCTGCACAACATAATGAATGCCATGCTTTATGATATTTAACTTTATCTGTATCATTTGATTCTAATTCTAAATCTGATGCTTCAACCCAAACAATTTCTAAACGACGTGAAACTCTCATTGATGAATGTTCCAAAGATTTAATAACTGAAATATAAGAATCTTTTAAATGAGTATATTTACCCACAAGTGCAATTTTAACAGTTTCAAATGAACGATCATATTTAGTTGTTAAAACTTTCCATCTATTTAATAAATCTTCACCTTTTGCTTTAGCTTCAGGTTTAACATTTAATGAATCTAATGATAATCTTTGAGTTAAATATTTAGTCATTTTTTGATCAATTAATAATAAAGGAACATGATAAGTTGAATTTAAATCATGAACACCTAAAACTTGATTTGGTCCAACATGACAAAACATTGAAATTTTATCAATAACTGGTTTTTCTAATTTTTCTGAACAACGACATGCAATAACATCTGGACTTAAACCTAAAGATCTTAAATCTTTAATAGCAGCTTGAGTTGGTTTAGTTTTTTGTTCACCATGAATAACTGGAACTAAAGAAACATGAATTAATGCAAAATTTTCATGACCAACTCTAAATTGAAATTGTCTTAAAGCTTCAACAAATGGAGCAGATTCAATATCACCAACAGTACCACCTAATTCAATAATACAAACTTCAGGTTCTAAGCCAGTATCATCAACTGGGACTTTAGCAACTCTTTCAATCCAATCTTGAATAGCATTTGTTAAATGAGGAACAACTTGAACAGTTTTACCTAAATAATCACCTTTTCTTTCACGTTCAATAACTTGTTGATAAACTTTACCAGTAGTAATATTATGATCACGAGTTAAAGTAATATTTAAATAACGTTCATAATTACCTAAATCTAAATCAGCTTCACCACCATCATTTAAAACGAAAACTTCACCATGTTCTAATGGTGACATAGTACCAGCATCAATATTCATATAAGGATCAATCTTAATAGAGGTAACTCTAAGACCTAAAGTCTTTAAAAGTAAACCAGTAGAAGATGCTAACACACCTTTACCAATACCACTAATAACACCTAAAATTCAATTGTTAATATCTGACATCTTTAAAAAAAAATCTTCATACACTTTTACGCGTAATTGAAAATTACTTACCACCAGATACAACAACGTATTTCATTTTGTGTCAAAAAAATATTAAATTAAGAATTAAATTAAAAAACAATATCAAACTTGATATTATTGCCTCAAGAAATTATAACAAAATACCTTGTTTTAAATTATAACTCTTCGGGGAGGAATTTCAAAAAGGTTTATTAAAAGGAATAAGTTTATTTAATTTCTAAAATTTTTTTTTAATGTGCAGAAAAAAAAAGAATTTAATTTTCATGGATTACGTAATGATTATGTCATCCATTTTTCTGGTGATGAGGTTACCCTTTCTGATCAGGGGAAATAATAAAAGGATGTACTTTCTTTGTGTATTTGGTGGTGTTTTGACATAGTGATATGTTTATTTTACTATAAGATCAATAATTTCTTTATTCTCTTCTTTTTCTCCGTGTAAATCCATGAATAATTGGCATTTTACTTAATAGTTATATAGTCTGCCATTTGCAATATGTAGTTCATATGTGTCAATAGAGCTACATATAAGTTAAATTAGGTATAAAATTAAAACATTATTTATTGAGGGAAATAAAAACTTATAAGAGGATATTAAAGTGCTAAATGAGGTTTATATTGTGTACTAGAGTGAAGGGGGATCAGCAGCTAGTATAATATAGTCTAAAAATTAAATGAAATTGATTGTTTAGCCTTCTCTTTATTTAATTCATCTTCTTCATCAGATTTTGAATTATTTGAATTCAATCCAACATAAAGACATTGTAAAAGATAAGCCAACAATAAAATAATCATTTTTAATAAAATTTTGAAAAAAGTTCCAAACATTGTTGAATTTTGTGATAAAAACATACCAAGGACAATATTTAAAAATTTCCAAAAAGCTTGACCTAAAAGTTGAAATGATTCAGCTAATACTTCTGATGATTTATTTTGAGTTTGAACAGTTAGGGCATCTGGAGTTGGAGTTGGAGATGGGGTGACTTCAACTGATTAAACATCCACTGGAGCTGGGGTAGCTCCAGTAGAAGATTCAACTGGTGCAATAACTGGAGATTCTTGATTAGGAGCAGCGACAACAGCATCAGAAGCAGCATCAGTGGGAGCAGGTTCATCTGGTGTTGATTCGTCTGATGTAGATCCATTTGATGAGGTTGTAGATTCTGAATCAGCTGGTGTACTTTCATCTGAATCAGCAGTGGAATCATCATCTTCTTCCTCATCATTATCATCTTCATCTTTAACAGCTGCAATTTGTTCAGACCTTTTCAACTGTCTATAATTCAATTTCATTTGCTTGTTCTTGTAAATAACCTTTAATCAAATATTCAATTGGTGTATTATAAACCAAAGTGACATCTTCTCTTCTTGGAGCAAATTCCGGCTTAAATTCAGTAATTCTATGATTCAAAGTAGCAAATGTATATGAATAATCCGAACAATCTGCAAATTTATGATGACAAATTCTTCAAATTTTGCAACATTCCATGATGTATTATAATGATTTGGTCTTCTTGTAATACCAAATTGTGTTTCATATGATGCAAAATCAGAATGAATATCAACTGGGAATTCAACTTTTGAGGATTTTCTTGTTTCATTCCAATGAACTTTTGAATCAAAATCTATAGCTGATGCCTGGTCTAATGATTGTAAACCATCAATTGAAATTATAGTCTTTATAGAGGAAACATCACTAATTTTTTGTTCAACAATAACAGAAGCTCTTAAAGGACCTGATTCATTAATAGAAACTTTACCAGGTTCAATATATCTAAAAGTATCAACATTGAAAACTTCAGTATCCCAAGCTTGCCAATTTAATGGAGTACCATCAAATAAAACAAATTGATTACCACCTAATTGATTTCTACCACTTGACAAATCTAAAATTTCACGATCTTCAACTAAATCAATTAATGAGTTTAAAACACCACCTTTAATAACAGTCCTTTTTGAATTTCAATTTCATTAGATTCTAATAATGAAGAATTTGATAAGTTCTTTGGTGATTTAACAATACCTTCTCTTAGCCATTGTAAAAAATTCAAGAGCTCAAATTAACCATTAGATTGAACAATAGCATTATTATTTTCTTCAATATCACCAAATAATACAGATAAAGCTTTTTTAGTTAAATCTTCAACTTTTTTAACTGCATTTTTCAACATTGGTGTAACATCATCTTTATAAAAAACTTCAATACATGAACCT